TTCTTCTTTTTTAATTATTTCTTTTCCCCAGCCTCGGAGAGACCAATTAATGCGAGTCCACCTTGTCTCGCCTTATACCTTACCTTACCTCCTGCTGGTACCGGGCGGACCTTTCAACTTTCAACTTTCAACTTTACACTCTTTCATGTCTCCGCGTAATTTGTAACACGGGCAGGCTCCTCCTTCTTACTACAACTGGTCCTTCCGTCGCTTGATTCTACTTTGCCTTCACCTCTCCCATCTTTCTCCCTTCCATTCGCTTCCTGTGAGCAAAGCGCTTCCGACACGTGCGCTCTGTCCCTTTTCTTTTCCTCCTCCTTCTTCCCGTCATCTCTTTCTCTCTCCCGCTTTATTAATTTATTCCCTGTCATCCGACAGAATCTATCCTTACAGGAGAAAAAGAGGGCCGGTTGCTCCAGAGGAAACCACCCTGCAGTTCTTGTCTAACATCTCCCCCCCCCCCCATTCGGTTCCCTCTTCTCGAGGGCCGCTCATTGCATATCCCGATTGTTCTCGGTTGTAACACCGCTTCCCTCTGTTATCACAGCGGCACTTAAACCACCTCTTCCCCCGAATCAAGCTTCCAACATGCTGTGTGGTCCTTGCGCTGTTCTCCGTCATTAAGTTGCCGCTGTCCGGCGAATTGATGGCACACAACCGGTTTCGCAAGGTTGCGCGCGACTGTTGCAGAGAGCCGTTACGGTAACGAATAGCTGGTTCGACCTCAAACAACATTAACCTCCAAATTTTTGGGCGAGGTACGTTTATTCTTCAGCCCTATTGCCTATTGCCTATTCATCAAAGTTGCCTGACACCTTGGTTCACTGCGTTGGTAGACCCAAATAACCTTTACCCACCAAACCCATTTCCGCGACAAGAGAGTGGTCTTACGTACCTCCCACCATTCCTTAACCTTTTTTATTTTCTTGTTCTTGAAAATTGTTCAGTTCCTTCTTTCCTTAAAAAGCCATTGCAGTGGGTTACGTTTTGAGGGAGTTCGTGGCCTTAGAAGCGGGATCTTCTATCGAAGCATCGAACAGCCCGGGGGCGATCTAAGTATTCGCATCCGGCTTCAACGACTGGAGGCAAAATTCGACCCCATATCGCCCGCCACTCTCCAACTCTAGGTGCTCCGCTCCTTGACTTGTCTTTCCTTTTGAATGCCGATGAGCTAGCATAGCCTTTTTCAATCTCCGCTTCTACGATGGACTTCCCACGACTTTCGCCACCTTCGATTCACGTGCATGACATCAATAACCGCTACGATTATCCTCGCTCTGCCGAAAGATCACCGTATATTATGCCTGGACATTCATATTCACCGCATGGGCCCATGCCCATTCCAACAAGCTCAATAGCTACTTTTGCTCCGCCGCCTTTGCCCCCGCCGCCGCGTATCAGCGATTTGGAAAATGGCTACGACGCTGGATGGCTGCATGCGAACCCGAAAAGCCCCGTCGGAACCACCAAACTTGCACCAATCAGCCCCAGCTCGAGTTTATTTGGGGGCCACCGTCGTCCCGAATCAGTCCCGCAAGGTGATCGAATGATGGTCGATGAACTGGACGGCAGGCAAAGCGGCTTGCCCATCTCTCGAAGCCCCGAGGCTCATATCAAGATCGAGCCGCCACCGCCAGCTGACGAAGGCTTCCGAAATTCTATGCAAATCAACCACACCAGCCCTATCTTGAAAGGCGAGCGGGACTTCTCCCGGCGCAGCGTGAAAGATTCGTCGGATGCATATGACCAGCATCTCTTGTCCAAAATCGGCAAGCCGCTTTCCCCACGGCAGTCCATCAGTCTTGGAACGGAGAATAAAAGCTCCTTGTCAACCCTTCCGATCCCGTCTCGAACCTTGGGGAGTTTACCATCCCCCGGAGGCTCTGACGGCCCTACACTCGATGTCCGATGGTCGACTAATTCGCAGGGGGCCGTATCGCCCGGAACGAAAGTCGGCTGGAGGGAGTACATTGGATATCGGAGTCCAAGTGTCGAGAGCAGTGCGCCATCGTCTGCAGTGGACTATGACCATTCGGCCTACCTTCGAGATGTCTGCCGCCGCCGAGTGGGTGGGACGACGCCCCAGTACGATGAAACCCTCAGCCTGCCCAGCCGATCGAACAGAGGGAGCTATGATCATGGCGTCTTTTCGGATATTGAAGGCGACTTCTCGACCGATGAAAGTTTGCCGCCTCGGTTGTTCCATGTTCGGGAAGCCACGCCGCCGTATTTGGAAGTTTCAAAATCGGGCATGAAACGACGGGCCTCTTCACCACCCCGGGAACCGATAGGCGATGATAGGCATGCTATCCACATCACCACGAGTAATGGCGACCTCTCCCAGAGACGAACCAGCGGCCATCCGTTCACCAACAACCTTTCCGTCCACAGTGGCTATGCCCCTAGCCACGGAAGTCTCTCGGCTGCTTCCTCACTCAGTCTTCGAACATCGGGATCGTATTCATCGGCTGCTATTTCCGCAGGAGGAAGCAGTATGACCAGTATATCGCCCTATGATCGCCCGTCGCCTGGAGGCCATTCGCCAAAATCGGATCCGGATCCGTTTCATGAGAAAGCGATTCTCAACCCCAGCTCTCCCAGTGGAGGTATCGGCCCGTCGGTCGCAAGGGCTGTTCAAACCCAGAATACGCTGGAGCCTTCGAGCGCAAACACGGCCCGGAAAATGTCATTGCAGACGACACTCAACGTGCCTAAGCCCGCGGGCCCCAAGATAGGAGGACTGTATATATGTGATTGCTGCCCCAAGAAGCCCAAGAAATTTGACAATCCTGAGGAGCTCCGGTAAGTGTTGAGAACCAAAGAGTCTTGACGAATGAATCTAGTCTAACTTATTCAATTTGAAAAACAGGGCACATGAGATGGAGAAGCAATATTCGTGTCTATTCTGCAACAACCGATTCAAAAACAAGAACGAGGCGGAGCGTCACCAGAATTCCCTTCACCTGCGACGTCACTCTTGGTCATGTGCAGCGTTATCAGGGTTCCAAGCGGCATTCCATCCTTCGTCGTCTCCGTCGTCTCAAACGAACTCGGGCCCCTCTCATGACACATGTGGTTATTGCGGTGAAGAATTCTCCAATTTCCCCCAGCCGGATTGGGATCGCCGATTCGAACATCTGACTGCCGTGCATAAGTTTGGGGAGTGCAACAATGCAAAGAAATTCTTCCGCGCCGACCATTTCAGGCAACATCTCAAACACAGCCATGCGGGCACGAGTGGCAAGTGGACTAATATTCTGGAGAATGCTTGCATGAAAGAAGAGGCGCCTCCGGAGCCCAGGAATTCCAACAATGGCGGAAGCGCAGGCTCTGGGACGCTTACGTCAAATAAAATCAACGAGGTTCTCGGTGGTTGCTGACAACTATTGCCCTTGATCGGTTCACGATTTCTCTCCTCGAGCACGATGATCCTCGACTCAATTTTTGGATTACGACGAAGTCCTTTTTATTCCCATGGTCACCTTATCTCATAGACGATTTGCCGGAGTCGGGTTGTTTATTGAAAAAAAAATACCCCGGAATATGTGTACTGCATCGTTCTCTGAACTTTTATGTTTCATATGTTGATCTTTTCGAAAGATGGTCTATTGTCACATGTCTATCTCGAGGATTCCATGGCAGTCTCGTCGGAAGGAATCTTTTGTGTGGCATGATACTATTCTTCTTTTTCTTGTCTATGACATGTATTTTCCCGACGACATTGTTCATTTCTTGCTTCATTGGGTTTTGGATCGTCATGACATGATACAGGCGGCTGTTTGGGTACACAAAAGGACTTGAAGGGAAATTCTGAAATGACCGGAGAGTGATTGATGTGACATGACTCTTTCTTTGTTTTGTTTTTGCTTTTCAACTGGTTTTGGTCATACTGGATACTGGTGATGGAAAATTCTGGAGTCTTCGGGGGGATCTCTGGTGGGAGGCTGTATTGGGTTGGTCTGTATGTTGCTTAGACAACTGGCTTGTGATTTTTCTGGCTTGTTTTGTTTCGTTGCCTCAGACACTGTTTTCATTTTCTTGCTGGCTTTTTCTTGCCTTGTTTGATATACCTTGACTGATTCGCACTTTTGGAGCCCTTTCACCCAGTTTTGTCTTTTTAGCTTCTTTTGTCCGCTATTACTTACCCAGTGCCTAGATGTGTATGATCCCGGGCGCTGGGCTTGTGTACATAGAATCTTTGTATATGGAACGGGATACAAAATTTGCATACCCGTTCAGCACGTGTCTTGTAGGGTATGGAGATGTAGTTGACAAGGACCTGGGGGTTTTGGAAACCTATGTATCTCAGCTCTATGGTTCACATATTTATATTTCAGGACACAAGATTCAGTGAAGCATGTTTAGCTGCTATGTAGATTGACGACAATATCCAGAATCGTCTTACCAACCCTTTCATCAAACAACTGAACCGAACACCTAGAAGCCAATTAGGTGCTTCGTCACGGCAGCTGCAGATGATGATGACGATCCAGTATCCATAGGCTAGAGGTTGCGTATAACCGCCGAGCCTTAACGTCCCCGTCCATGAACAGTATTGGGTCATTGGATGGAGATAGACAAATGATGGACGGGCAGGGAGCGTATAAACCAAGTCCATGCCTGATAGAGGGTATATGTGCACGTAAACCTCGGATCGACATTGGCATTGGGATTTGATCTTCATGTCATGACTGGAATGCTGGGATTCCTCTTTAAGTAAGAGGTGGTAGTGGTGGTGGTGAGTTGTCGGCACAGAGGGTGGAAAAGGACGTTGATGTGCAGTGTATTGAGAATCAAGAGAAAAAAAGTGGAGAGAAGTTGGTGGTTTGAGAGGAGGGAATCATAATGCATGACCCAGACGAGTCATATTACATCAGAGCCCATGTCCATGTCCAAGTAAAGTAAAGCAAGACAAGCAAGGGTTTCACTGTAAGAAGAAGAGGGAAGATGAAGGATGAGGTGCATGCTAGGCATCAATCAATCAATCAATAAGCAATCAATCAAATCCCGCCAGACGGAACGGATGGAAAGAAAGACGGATCCTGCATTCTTTGTCGATTGCGCTTGGCGACTTCGGCATTACGCAGTCTTTCGAGGCGCATGGCGTAGAAATTCCTTTGATTCGGGAGAAGGATGTATGGTTAGTTTTGACTCAGATCAGATCAGTTCGGGTCAGTCAGGTCAGGTCATGGTAGATAGGTAAGGCTATGCCATGCCAAGCCATGTATGACCGGTTGAATTGGGCAACATGAACATACTTGTGTAAAGCGAAGATCCGAGGCGAATCATCGGCCGAGGACGTGGTTTCGGACTTTTGGATGGATGCGATCTGTATTTCAGTCAGTCAGTAGTCAGTTTGCCAACTTACAATTCAACTCGCCGTGGTACGTGATATCCAAAGGAAGACAAGCAAAGTGTGTTTCCGGACAGGAGAACAAACACAGCTCTGAACAAGAAAAAGAAACATACCTTATCATCTCTCTCCTTCTCATCATCCGCCTTCTTATCCTTCTCCTCTTTCTGCTCATCCTTCTTCGTCCCATCCTCCTTATCCCCACCATCCCCCTTCTCTTTCGATTTCTCCTTCTCCTTCTTCCGCCTCTGCCTCTCCTCATACTCCCTCTTCACCTTCTCAATCTCCGCTGCCATGGCCTCCTCCTTCCGCTTCGTCTCCCGCTCCCCCTCGTCCACAACCGGCGTGCAGAAATTGCGATCTTTCAGATGCACAGGACACACGTAGAAAAAGTCCTTGTTGTCGGGCGTGATCAACACGCTGCTGGATGGTTTGTAGCAGATGGTACATGCCCGGGCGGCGGTGTCCGCGACCCGGCGGAGGTGGTAGATGTTGGGGAGGGACATTATTCTATTGTACTGTATTATAGGATTGGGTGGTGGGGTTAGGGATGCATGGGAGGTGGGATGGTAGGGTTTGTTGAATTGGGAGGGAGGGAGTAGGGGAGTATGTGAGGGTTTGATTAAGGTGGAGTGGTTTGTGGGTGTCGGATTGATGAGGATAAGGATGTTTATCGTGATTGTGGGGGAGAATTGGGACGATGATGTCATGTGACTGCATAGTGCATATATACTTCTTAGGGTGATTTGGGGAATGGAGTGGGATTGCTGCACATTCGGGTTTATCTTAGGGTAGATGTGGATAGCGATGATACATTCATTATGTTTATGAACTTTGTATAAATTGTGGTGGTTGTCGGTAAAACAAGTCTATATACGGCGAAATATATGGTATAGAAAAAAAAAATACAGAAGGAAACATGATAGACAAAATCAAATACCCAACCATCTACTCCGTCACACTGTCCTTGATCCCCCGAAGTGCACTCGGCTCTTTCGATCCCGGCGTCATCGCCGCGGCGTTCTGCGACCGTCGACGGGCGTCCGTCCAAAGCATGAACTCACCATAACTCTTAGGCATGACCTGGATGTCCTTCTCCACCAAGAAGGTGTAGTTAAACTGACCCGTCGATTTCTTCGTGCCGTGCTCCACGTCCCGCACCTTCGAGTCCACGCGCACCTGCACCTTGGTGTACTTGCTGCCGTCGCGCTCCAGGGGTTCCGTGTAGGCCACGGTGGCCCGCAGATACAGCACGCTGCCGACGGGGACAGGGTTCTCGAACGTGCTGGGGTCGAGGGAGATGAAGTTGGGACGGGCGTGGGAGAAGGAGGCGGCGCAGCAGAAGGCCAGCTCAAAGGACTGCTTGAGTAGGAAACCGCCGAAGATCATAAAGTTATGGCGGTTGCGGTCCTGCGGTTGCATGATCATAGCAGATTTCAGTACGCTGTCACTCATGAAGATCATGTTGGATGGCCGTTGGGCGGGGTTTTCGGGGTCTGTAGGAGATTCATTAGCATGTTACCCTCGGCCCTTGGATTGGACCAGGTGCGTACTCAGGTATGACATCTCCTTGGTCCACATCGAGTGGATCAGGTCACTCTCTTCGTCTCCGGGAGCCTTCTGGAGCAAGCTCTTTGTTCGCAGGGATTTCTTGGCCTGGTAGTTCTCCTCGCCCTGTTTGAAGAGAAGACGCTCCTCTGCGTTTTCGACCAGAAGTGGTGCAACGGACACGGGCCTGAAAAGATGTAAGTAAATTGCCTTCGCCTCAAGTGGAGTAGAAAGAAGTCCATACGTTTTAGTTGCCGGATCCAAAGAGACCATGGTGAACGCACAGGTGATGAGCACGTCCTCCGGCTTCGCTTGCTGGCCCTGAGCAGGGACCTTGGCCACTTGCAGCGAGACCTCCATACTCGACCGGCCGGTCGCGTAGGTCACCTGGCCGCTCAGTTCGAGGTCGCAGATCTCCATTAGGGGATGCTCGATGGTGATTCGGTCCACGGCGGCGGTCACGGTCGTCACCGAGTCACCGGTGTGTCTGTAGGCGATGACACCGGCCAACGCATCCAGGTCCATCAACAAAGACCCCAGTCTAAGAAAGCGAGTTAGTCGGGTTCAACGACTGGAGATCTATATCCACATACCGGATGTGCCCGGAGGCATTGAGATAGCTATCAAGCAGCCACTTGTCTTGAGCCAATGGCAGGATCTAGTTATCTCGGTTGATGAATTAGCTCACGGCATACCGACGAACCGACTCCGAGGGAGTTCCTACCGCGCTATAGAAGCTGTCGGACATCTTCTTGGGAGTCAAATCCGGCTTGGCAAGCGGCGTGGAGGAGGCCTGGCCGGACTGCGCATTCTCGCGACTCTTCGTCAAGGCCTCAACCCAGGGTGTTTTCACCCGCATGGGCATCCAGGTCGGTCGGAAGGCGGCCTGGGATTGACTGGAGTGGAAGTCCTTGGCAGCGATCCATGACGGCGATGTGACTCGGGACCTCGAGACGGTCGCAGTGCGGGCGGAAGCCAGACATTTGGCAGGCGTGACGGCGGACCGTCGTGTTAGGCCTAGCATGATGATTTAACTCCGAATGGTACGATGTCGATCGGATGCAGGGGGGTCTATGCAAGATGCAGGAGGGTTGGTGGATTTATGGGTTGATGGTGGATGATTGATGGACAAGAAAGATAGATGCAAGTGAGTCTACGCGCCGACCGGGCCGGTCGACACTCCCGAGGTCGCCGGAGCATCTCGGGTGACGCCAAAGCGTTTAGCAGGCATTCCTTTGAGATATCTTCATTCACCAGGACTTCTACTGAGTAAATACTAAATAATAGGTTAGTAAGTAATTGAATCTACAGTCGGATGCTCCATGCCAAGCAAGCGTCGTGCGGAAATAAGCGTACTCCGCAGTCTCCAGTGTCCTCCGCATCTTCTTCCAAACGGTCGCCAGCCCTGAACAATTTAGGTCTACGCCTACAATACTACGTTGTGTAAATGTTTCTTTATAGTTGCGACGTGATATAATGACCCCGGTCACGACGAAACAAAACATTGGTCAAACTGTTAGGGCTGCGGATTCTTGCCCGACCGGTGCATCCATCATCCATGGGAATTTCTAAAGATAAATTCGAGGCTGAGTGCTCATGTCATGTATACTGACGGAGTACGTGTCTCCAGTGGCAAGAGCGCTGAAGCCTGAATCAGAATGAATGATGAATCCACGGTGGGTCGGATGAGAAAGCTGAAAATCGCGTCGTCGATGACAGATCCATTGGCGAGACGATCCCAAGAGTCTCGGCGGCAAAACAGAGGCCGCGATGTAACGGTTGATCCTCCGGCGCCAGTGGGCGCAGCGGTTGATCTTAAATGGGCGTGGCAGGACTTCTTGGTCGAGTTTCGAATACCGTGGCGTTGGGAATGTGAACCATTGAGCGAATGTCGAGAATGTTGGTATTTGGAACGGTAGGAGGGTCAAACGAGAGTCGAACAGAGAACAAGTGGACAGTGGGAGGAAGAGGAAGAAGAGGAGTTCAGGAGAGAAAAAGGAGGTCCACCGGGCGTTTAGTCTGCAGAGCCGGACGAACTCTAGACCCGTCGACGTCTCCGCTTCCAAGTTATGTCCAGTTCGAGGGGATCTCTCAGTCTCTCTCTTTTATCTTCCTTCTCTCTCTCATTCTGATTCTTTTTAATATCTTTTACCGGCATCTTCCATTTCTTTTTCTTGCCTTCTCTTCTCTCGTCCAGTCCCCGCATCTTTCCTTTGTTGTTCTCAGCGCCCGTTTAGCATCTTCTTCTATTTATATTTTAGCCTTGCACGTTCCAATAGTTCATAGATCCATCCCATTCTTCCATTCTCTTATCTATCCCCTTAATTAATTCTCCGCATCCAATCCCTTCATGGACTCTATTACTCCTACATTTTTTATCTCCCTGAACTAGATCTATGAAAGTATAGCAATCGAGAATGCATCTTCCGCTGCGATGGGTGCTTGTCGCCATCCCCTATCTCTCCGCCAGCGTCACTGCCTTCATTCCTTACACAATTGAGCTGGACATCCCCTCCGGCGATTCCTCCAGCTCTCCTGAACGTCGCTTTGTGCCTTGGTCCCTCACCGACGGTCTCCAAGATGACGTCGAGTCGTCCGCCGGCGACAAGCTGCCGGCGACCTCCAGCACCTTCGAATTGCGGCGATTCCCCGTCCTCGACCGCCGCAACAACCAGTACAAGATTGTGCGCTCCGATAACTCGTCCGAGCCCAACACCGCGCCTTTTAACCAGGACGGCAACGACCTATCCTACTTCTCCGCCATGCAGGTTGGCTCCAAGAACCAATCGCTCTGGATGATGCTGGACACCGGCGGCGCCAATACCTGGCTGTACGCCTCTGACTGCACCTCCAAGGCCTGCCGGGTGCACAACACCTTCGGCGAGGCCGCCTCCGCCAGCCTGCAGATGACTGGCGACAAGTGGAAGGTCGGCTACGGCACCGGCACCGTCAGCGGCCTGCTGGGCTCCGACTCCCTCTCCATTGCCAACGTCTCCGTTGACATGACCTTTGGCCTGGCCTCCGAGGCCTCCGACGAGCTGCAGTCCTACCCCATGGACGGCATCCTCGGCCTGGGCCGCGCCAGCAAGGGCGTCTTCGGTCACGACTCGTTCATGGACGTCGTCGCCAAGCAGAAGCTGCTGTCTTCTAACATCGTCAGCTTTAGCCTGTCGCGCGGCTCCGCCAAGGTCCAGGACGGCTCCGTCACCTTCGGCGGCGTCGACGACTCCAAGTATAAAGGAGAGATCAAGTACACGAACACCGTCGGGTCCAAGGATCACTGGAAGATCCCGCTCGACGACGCCACCGTCGATGGCAGCGCCTGCGGCTTCTCCGGCAAGTCCGCCTTCATCGACACGGGCACCTCGTACATCCTGATCCCGCCGGCTGACGCCAAGGTGCTGAACGGCAAGATCCCCGGCGCCACGGCCCAGGGCGAACGCAACCACATCATCCCCTGCAACTCCACCGCCGAGCTGCAGTTCGGCTTCTCCGGCGTCAACTACACCATCTCGCCCAAGGACTACGTGGGATCGAAGACCGGGTCGGGTTGTGTGTCAACAATCGTGGGCCATGCGCTGTTCGGGGACGATGTCTGGCTGGTTGGGGATGTCTTCCTGAAGAACGTGTATACGGTGTTTGATTACGATAAGGACCGGATTGGTCTGGCGGAGCGAGCGTATCCGGGAGACAAGGATTCGAAGGGAGACGACGACGGTGACTCCAACTCGGATTCCAAATCGAATTCCAACTCTGACTCCAACTCGGACTCGGACTCGACCTCTGGCGCGGACTCCTCGGCCACGTCGACCGCTACCTCGACGGGAAGCTCGGCCAGTGCGACGGACGCTTCTGGCGATGCGGCGGGTATCATGCCGAGGTTGTCCTGGTCGGCGGTGACGGTGCTGGGTGTGGTTGGACTGATGATTTAGACAGAAGGGGGTGGGCCACAACTGTGCATATATGGTCTGCCGTGATATGCATACTTTATTCACATTCATATACATATTCTTATTCTTATTCACATTCACTTCATATACTTACCAGACATATTTCTGGAACTTGAAACCAGACTCAATTGTCCCGTCCATATCCCCATCACAGCACCCTGTCTGGAATCAACGAATACATCTTCGGATACGACTCTGCCGGACGTCAGCTCCATCCATCCACTGGGACCAAGACTCGTAAACTCACCTAAGATCGACCGATCAAACTCCTCCACAGAATTAAACCCGGCCACCCCCATCAAGATATCGAAATCCGCCAACAACGACCGCATGACATGCCTCACGCCCTCCTCGCCCATGATACTCAACCCCCAAATCCACAGCCTCCCCACAAACACGAATCTCGCCCCCAACGCCAACGCCTTCACGACATCACTCGCCCCCCGCACCCCAGAATCAAACATCACATAGGTACGATCCCCCACCGCGTCCACAATCGACTCCAACGCATCTAAACTCGCAATCGCGCCATCCACCTGCCGTCCCGCATGATTACTCACCACGATCCCATCCACCCCATACTCCACACACTTTCGCGCATCCGCCACGCTCTGAATCCCTTTGATCGCGAACGGCCTCCCGCCTGAAATCCGGCGCCACTGCTCCTGCAACCACGGGATTTTCTCCCACGACCACGCCCGTCCATGCCATACGGAATCAATCCATTTCGTCGACGCCGCCACGACATCTTTGTCCGGGTCGATCCCCTCGGCTTGACACCGTTTTCTGAATACGGGGTCCGACAATCCCAGATCTGCGCCCATGCCGCGGTAAAACGCATAATTCGATCCCGCGACGTCGTCGTGTCGCCAGCCTAGTTGCCACGTGTCGGTGGTCAGTAGCAGCGCGTCGAACCCGGCGTCCCAAGCCCGCTGGAGCAGGGATATCGTCAGCTCGTCGTCATGCGGCATGTAGAGCTGGTAGAAGCGCGGGTTTCCGGACCCGTTGGCTTCCCCGACCTTCTCAATGGGCGTGGACCCCGCTGTTGAGAGACAGTATGGGAGGTTCAGTTCGCCGGCGACTTTTGCTACCGCTGCTTCTGCCGAGGGGTGGTAGATTTTGTTAATCCCGATGGGTGCAAATCCGATGGGCGCGGAGACGCGGTGGCCGAAGATCGTGGTCGTGGTGTCTCGGCGGTTTGTGTCGACGAGCTGGTTGGGGATCAGTCGGTGGCGGTAGAAGGCCTGGCGGTTCGCTTGGTGGGTTTGCGACATTCCGGCGTTCGAGGACGCGTAGAGCCAGCCGCCTTGGCTGAGTTTTTGGTGCGCGAGGGATTCGAGTTTGATGGGGTCTGAGGGATATCATCCTCGGTTAGAAATATGTCTTCTGGTTTTGCAGATGGTTTGGTCTTGGGGAGAAAATATCCCGTATAGCTCATGTCGCCATATCCAACGGACAAGGTAGAAGTATAGATAGAGGAATCTTACCGGTATTAAACGGCACCGTCTGCCCCTCGTTGACTTTCCAGAAATTCTCCCGCTGGTAGAGACCCCATTGCGGCGTGGTTCGATGCTCGATGTTGGGGTTGGTAGGGTCGCTCATTTTGCATATACTTCCCTCTTATCTATCTAGTTTATAGAAATTAGTTGCAGAAGATTGGTATAAACGAATTGAGTTGTAGTACTCAGTAGTAGAAGGTTATTTGAAACAGACGTAGAAGGCGAATTTATACCGGTCCATGAGTACAGTGTATGACCTCACATTGACATCTCTCTCTCGTCCGAGAGGCGACTCAGGCGAGTGAAGAAGATCAAGTGGAGTCGATCCGCTAAGCCTAAGCTTTGACGAACGCATCGCATCCGTCGACTGATCACGGGTGGTTTGGTCCGGTCGATCTTTATGAAGTAGAAGATTAAAGAAGTAGTGGTGGGTGTGTTTCTCTGCAAGAGACTAATTCAATGAACTAGAGAGTCAGTAACTGTAGTACATGAATAGAGAAGTGAGGGTGAAGATGATGATGTCACAGGGCTGCGGATATAGTTCGCCCGAGTGATCTGCCAAGAATCAAAGGCGTTTCTATAAAACATAGTAATCTGCAGTATTATAGTCTATGCATAACCTAGAAACCCTCTGCACAACTATTTATACTCGCTAGTCGCTACCTACCTCCATGGTTTCAGATCTAAAGATGACACTCTACACTTAGGATGATGGAAATCTAGGTCTTCGGCCCGGAAGCGCAAATACTCTTCGTTAAGGAAAGACAAGAAACTAAGAAAAATTTGGCGCGCGAGCTGAGAAAGATTGGCATTGACTGTTTGGCAAAAGGGGGAAGAACTAAACAGAAACAAGAACCATGTTATACCCATTGAATCCTTCATTTGAGGTGACATCTCAGACATTGTGGGCGCTACAAGATCGGCCCTGGACTTTCATCTTCTCTGAGAACCCGAGATTTGAGGTTTTGACCGCATTTGCTTTCCATCTCCAGAAGTTGGTAACAAGGAAGCCTCAATGCTGTCTCTGCCACACATCGTGTCTGTGTCGCTGCCACGCCTCAAATCTTTGCTGTAGGTCCGCTCGAGGTAGACCCATTTCGGGACGTAATAGAGAGTGTGTTTTGCCCTTGAGTATTCACCCAGAACTGGCCGTGATTTCCATACAAATCATATATGGTGAACCAAGCATCCTGATTCCAATTAGGCTCCCAGTGTGACCACCCATTGAAGAAGCGGAGGCGGGTGAGACAAAAGGCGTTCTTTTGCTGATTGATCCTGATATCGGCTCTTCTTTCAAGTGTGGTGTTGACATTTGTGCTAGTAATACCGCGTTGCACCGTCTCTTCCTCTCCCATGTTGAACATATAGAACATGGAAATATCGCTGCCGTCGACTCTGAGGTAGGCAAACCTATCATCATTGGTAACGAATTTTTTACGATCGACTTTCAGGAAGGGATAGAACTTGGAGGAAAGATAGTAGTTATCCTGGTCCCACTTATAGGTCCATGTGGCAGACCAGGTCTTCTTTTTCCATGTCCCCTCGGCCGTATCCTCTCGAGTGAAGGAGACGTTGCTTGTAGTATAGGTAATCGGCTGAAGAGTCACGAGTGTGACCATGGAGTGGTACGAGCCACCGGTAGTATCGATGATAGTTGGCTCGTCCTTGCCCGGCTGACTGACTTGGGCGGCGATATTCTCATGGTCCAACTTGGTAGACGAAACCCAAAAGATGACAGCCTGTGTGCCATCCGCGATGGGTTCGGCTGGGGCTGTACCGCCAGGCAGCACATGGGCAAAGTCATTCTCGGTAGTAGAGTAGGACCACTCCCCCGATAATTCCTTCCTCGTGTCATAATAGATCAACTTGATGGTCTTGAGCTCGTCGGCGGTCAACGTGTAATCTTTGGCTGGTCCATCGTCTGGGTCTGGGATTTTAGCCTTGATGGACACAATCACCTTCACCTGCATCTGGCCATTTGCATAAAGGGAGTCCGCTGTGCTGTCTTTGGCGCTCGTCCTCAGACTAAAATTGGTCACCTCCCACAGCGTGGACATTTTGAAAGAAAGTTGTGATGATTGTGAAGGTTGATCAATCAAACAAAAGAGAAGCAGAGGCGATAGGGAAAGGTTGAGCGCAGTAGAGCAATGGATAGCAGAGGTTGTTAGGTTGCTCTTTCATGCGGATATTGCAGGGCATTATATACCTACAACTCTGCCGTCCTCCTGCTAATTATCTTGAGATTCTTCCTCTTAATCTTTTTTTCGCAATCGTGCCCGACCCCTTCTCTGCTCTCGATTCTCCGCAGGAACGCTCCATCTCCACCTCGAGTCAGACTGCTGAGCTCAACGAAAAGAATGCTTCCACATCCACATCCACCACCACCCCTGGGCCCATTCCAGACTGGTCCATGGAGAAGCTTCGACAGCGAGGAAGCGCGCCCAAGAATCAAGCCCAGCAGCAGCGGACGCGCAATGAGACAGTTGCCTGGGCCGCAAGAAGTATGTCTCGCGAGACGGTCACGGCTGAGGACACCAGCTTGAATTTGTTCGGGGTTAGCTTAGACGGGTCGCAACTCGCGCTCCAGCTGAGCCCGGACCACCGGGTGTTATTCAAATAGACCATTGACATCGGCACTACCTGTGGGTGTTTAGTTGGGTTGGATTTGGTTTCTACCCATCCTAGGATAGAGTAAGATAGGATTCAAGAGTAACATACATGGTTCTTTCTTGTATACTCATGCGAGTCATTTATCTATCTATCCCATGATTTATTCAATAATACAGAAAATATTCAGTAATATAAACAATATTATATATACAAGTAATCACGGTAACAACTACCCACATCTACTATATAGATAGACCTTGGTCTTACATGATACGTCCTGTCCGGTTAACGCTGAGGGAGATCTGACGATGATAACCACCAGTCTAGTTTATATATACATTAGAATAGATCAAGAACATTCCGAACAGAAAATGCTTACAAACTAGCCCCGTACTGATAATTTAACTAGAGTCCATGACGAAATGTCGCATGAATTGAGTTTGAACATCCGGCGTCAGACGTTATTGTATCATTCCTCGGAAAACAATACAGATAGTTAGATAGATACACCGAAGATCTGACTGAATATTTTCCATAGAAGTGAATTGGACTATTGGATCAGAATGCCAGTCCCTCTTCTCCGTCGTACATACATGTGAAGAGGAATGCGCGATTCACATGAGAATCACCGCGTCGGAAGGGATCGGAGAACTGGAACCCACTTCCTCTTCTCCGGTATTCTCGTCGCGTTCGATCTGTGCCGAGATGCTTCTGCCTAGGTTATTTGGTTATCAATTGAGATTAGATGATCAATTTCGATCGATCGGTAGTGACTCTGCCTAGGCTCTTGTTATACGGTGTAGGCTTTGGTAGTGGTACTTTGTTTGTTTACTCGTGGTGGATGACGTACTAGCGATGACATACTAGAGTGACTACTAAGAAAGTTGAAGAAAGTTGAAAAAGGTCCATATCATGAATGTAAATTCAAAGATATCCCAAAATAACCCCAGTAGGTCATGAATTATGAAACCAGTCACCCGTGACAAATACTATATCGCTAATTTAACCAACAAGATCATTTCGAATCACTGCTTCTGATGACTCGACTGTTTAGGACTGAAGATGTCTTCCCACATCCCCGTCCACAATTCTCGAACAACTCCCGGCTCGCCGGACTTCTTCTGTTGTTCCAGGCCGGCCTCGAAGCGGGACTTGCCCACCGCTTCTGTCAAAGAGAACGGATCGATGTCCACCGAGTGGTTGTCCACGACCTCCGTCATCGGACTGACGGAGACGTCGGCTCCTTCCCCGGATACAGTGTAGACCTGGGGTCGCATCGGCGAGCTGGTGCTCTGGACGGTCTCGTGGTGGTTGTAGGCGTCGGGAAGAACCGGGATGCGCAGATCGGCGCGAGGTGCAGGAGGGTCAATATCCGCCAGGGACGGCAGGTAGGCAAAGTCCACAGTAGATGAGTCATTCACGGCCTTCTGAGCACGAGAGGTATTAAATTGCCGACCCGAGGTTTTCCTAAAAAGATGGAAAGATGATGTCAGCCTTCCGCCGTTTCCCCGAGGAAGGGAGGGGAGGGTCGATGATGATCGACGACGGGTAGATGGGAAACTTACTCGGAAGTGGAGCTGCCATTAATTCTCCGCATGGCAATGCTGAAGGCGCGGGACTGAAGGAAGTCATGGTTGGCAAGACGCTCAACGAGCTGGAAGTAAAGACATGGTTAGCTGGTCTGAAAGAACCATCGATTGTACTCAGTAGACAGGATCTAGGTCTCAAACATACCTCGGGGTGGCTACCGTTGGCCCTCAAAGATCTTCTCTGGCACTCGCTCTTGAGGTCGGACAGACTGCGAGCAGCATACAAAGTGCTCTTATCCGAGACATTGGCCGGCTGGGCCGAGTTGGCACCAGTGATGTGTAACCCTCGGCGAATGCTGGGGGTAGCGGCGTGCTGCTGAGACAGCAGACGCAAAGCACGCAACGACGTCGATCGGGGAGCGGCCATTATGTGAGTGTGTATGTAGGAAGGATGTACAACGGGAGTAAACAGATGGATAGATGGGATAGAGAGAAAGAGACGATGGATCAAGGATAAATAAATCGGTTGAGCTCAGGAATGTATAGTTGAGGTAGTACCAAGTGATGCCGGGTAGGACAGAGCTTGGTCAAGGAGGAACCACGGGGAGTACAGGTACCAGGGGAAAGAGATGAATGGAAAGGAAGAAGACGAGGAAATGAGGAGGGAGGCCGGTCAACTTAAAGGGCAGACAAGAGACAAATGGTTGGGGGGGTTGAGCATGAGGAGGACATGTAAGGTAAGAAGGTATTCAATCTACACAGTAGAGAAGGTACTGGGCTCCACCCGGGGGCCGGTGGGGCCGACCAAGTCTGGCCTTTGCAGCGATCCCTTCTAGCCAGCATTCTCCGTCTTCCATTTTACTAAGTAGTTATCATGTTGATCATGATACTACCATAACGAGTGAATACTCAATACTCAGTATACAATGGATAAATCCCACTGTCAAGCTTGCATATCTCCCGACGCCCCGGGCGTCCAAACGGCCAATCGATCAGGCAATGCGGACAATTCCATGACTCCTCGTCTTCGGCGAAGAGAAGGTCAGTTGATGATCCACGGTAGCATTGGCCACTCATCTCTCTCCTCCGTCTTTCTTCCCTTCCCATCCCGGTTCGTTTGGATGTCCAGATAACAACCCACCTCGGGGAAATACGACGATCTCGCATCGTGATTCGAGTGCTGATTCCCTCAATTCTTCGTCTACGGAAATGATAGTCGCGACCTTCCCCATGTTTCATCGTCACCGTTGATCTCTTACGGACACGGTTATTTTACAGAATACAGACAGCCCCGCGGATGGCTACTTCTCGATGCTATCGATCATTCGATATCGATATCGCTAGGCTCGAGCTAACGAGCAAACGACCGATCGAAAATGATGCCGCCTTGGAAGGGCGATGCCAGCTCAAACGAGGTGGGTTTAGGTTCAGCTCGTCGATGAGACCTGTCTTAGTCCAGGTGTAATCGATACAGGTCATGACGTGGAGGGCTCGGTCGTAACGCCGAACATTTATCTTCTCGTGGACAAAGCGATATATAATTGTTCAGGTGAGCGAAAGAGGAAAAGAGATCCAGACGAAACGGGAGGGTGGTGTGGTGTTTTATCAGCCCTCCTTCACCACTGACTCTCTGTTCCGAATGGACGCTCTGTTGCACGGTTTCACCGACTTGACGGAAGTAATGAAGGTAACTCTCCGTTGACCCCCGGACAAGTGACGCAATGATTCTCAAAAGGACCGCGGGGAAGGACAACGCTTTCCACGGTCGAGTCTACCGGTACCGTACCCGTAGTCAATACGGAGGATGTGCAGTATTCACCATTCACAAAGAAGCTGACCAGGACTAGCCCGTGTCTAACTTGACTAGTTATGATGGATTATTGATGACGGATCGGATTATCATTGGCATGGCGCTGATTGATTGCCTGACTTTTTTTCTCAACTGTTGAGGCCGGAGAGGCGGTGAGTGGAGAGCACAAGGCACGTGAGGGCGATCCTTGCGGAGTCGCTCCTATTTATTGCGCGCCGCTAAGCCGTTTCGGGCCACCCCCCTGGATCCTTTGTCATTTCCCCTTTTTCCTTCGTCTCGCTTTCCCGCTCCGTCGTCGCTTGCCACTTCCACTTCGGCCGGTCGCATACTCCAGGCAGTCGATCTGGCTGGCGGAGAATGAAGGCGCATACTCAAGTGTGTCTTCCATGGTGCTCGGCACTGCCACTGGCACGCAATAGTTGACTCAAATGTAATCTATTGATCGAATTACTGTCTATCCTTCGTCTAGGACATATCAATGACTCTAACTAATATATTTCCTCGCGAACTTCGGCTGGTTTCAGGTATATCTGCAGCATCTCATGCAGAAAAACATAACTCTTGTCAAGTGCCGGTATCAAGAAAAACAAAACAAAGCATGGTTCAGCTTCGGCATCCAAAGGCTATGCAACCCATTGCATTAGTTTACTGTATTTCCCCTTGATCCTGTTGGTCCGCGATATATATCTACAGCATGTGCACTCATGTACGGAGGACGGAGTACGGAGTATACAGCATGTATTCATGTGAGCGTGGTTGACGTAAATCCCGTTAGATTGTGTAAAACCTGTCTAAAGCTTGGAATTGGTCGCCGGTCGACGACGTCCCTTAGCGACCTTGCGCGCGTAGGGATGGAGCCGGGCACGAGGCACCAGGTGGTCGACGTCTCCTGTATGCACCAGATCGGGGCCGGCTTCGTCCAAGGTAGTAATTCCGGTGTTGCGCATGGCCGTTTCCAATTCGTCCTTGATGACTGTGCGGTGTGTGCTTGCTTAGCAACTTGTCCACTCAGACGGGGATAGGGCGACTTCGACACTTACTATCTATCAGATGCTCCACTCCCTCCTGACCGTAGTTGGCGGCGTAGAGCATGCTGCGACCCATGCCCACCGCCGTGGCCCCGAGGCAGACAGCCTTGAGGATATCCGTGCCGCGTCGGATCCCACTGTCCACGTAGATCTCCATGCGGTCGAATATCTCCGGGCAGCGCCTCTGCAGCTCCAGCAGCGTGATGATGGACGGTGGACTCGTGTCCAGGTTGCGTCCGCCGTGGTTACTCAGGAGGATACCGTCCAGCCCAGCCTGCATCGCGAGGATGGCGTCGTCGGCCGACATCACGCCCTTGAGACACACGGGGAGATGCGTGTGCTTCCGTACCCAAACCAGATCCTCCCACGTCAACCCCGGGTCGATGAACCCGGCCATCACCCGTCCCAGACCGCCGCCTTTCTTGTCGTTCTTCGCCTTGGACGGCGCCATGGGGACCGATAGCGTTTCGTCTGCCTTGACGCGCTCGTCGGCCTCGCGTTTCCCCGGCGAGGCGGCGTCCACCGTCACGAAGATGGCTTTGATGTTGGGGTTTGCGGAGCATTGCTGGAGGAGTGCTGCCGATTTGGCACGGTCCCGGTTGACGTACAGTTGAAAGAAGAAGCTGGCCGAGGGGGCAGCCTCCCTCAGGTCTTCTGTCGAGTAGGAGGAGTTGTTGGAGACCTGATCGTTTCAGTGTTTAGCTGAACGGGTATCACTTTCAGTGATAGCTTCCTAAGACGTACCCCCTGCATAATCCCTTTACTCTCACACGCTCTGGCAATAGCCCGCTCGCCCTCCGGGTGAATGAGCTTGGCCATGGCCGCCGGACTTACGAACAGCGGCAAACTGCAATCTACCCCCAGCATGGTCGTCTTAGGGTCCACCGAGCGAACGTTGCGCAACACACGCGGCCGAAACCATATCCGGTCGAAACAGGACTTGTTCGCGTCGCGCGTGAGGAGATCCGTCGCCGCGCTGGAAAAGAAGGCCCATGTCTTCTTGCTGGCGGTTCTGGACGCCACGAGCTCGAAGTCGTATGAGTTGATCAGCGTGTGGAGCGGCGGCTTCTCATTCTCTAAGATCACCTGCGGATTCTCCGCCGGGGGCTCTTTGGCCCACTCGTCGTCAATGGTCGATTCGTCTAGTACGCCCATGTACTTCTGCGGCGGTAGATTGGACTTGAGAAGGCCGGGAACGTGTACTTCTGAGTAAGCTTTGGTGGCATCGCGACCGGCGTATTTGAGAATCACTAGATCGTGGAGCCAGAGGGGATTAGCATTCGTATGACCTCGGATAGGCTTTACATACCGCTAGAGCCCCCCGGGTGGTCCTCGACAAAGTCGGTCACATCCCACACTTGCTTGTCGACTACTAGCCAGCAATTCCCGGGGGTGTTATGCTCCGCGACCTGCTTGGTCGACACGAGTTTATTATCTGACATGATAAACAGAGATTCTTCCGAGCCAATCCCAGTCTGTCGATTCCGAATAAGTTGTGTGAATGCTGACAAGGTTATAAGAGTCCTACTAAGACGGCGCGATCAGAACGGGTGTAATTGAGACTGAGAGAGGATTAGACCAAGTCGCAGAGAAAGCAGCTCCTCCGCATTATCAGGAAAACGAGGTGGAGAACTACTGATGCTCGCCGGTTCCACTTGCGGCCTGAGGTCCGGGGTAAAAGACGCCGACCGGTGCAGACCAGCCAGAGGCCCGAGATTACGAGTACTCGTAATAGTATTTTTTCGATATATAGGTATTCATGGGGAGAAGATGTCCGTAGAGATCGGTTAATGCATTGTTGTGACCTATAAATGATTTGATTTAAAGAAGCACAACACTGTATGGGTTCCGTCCACCTGGTGCCTGGGTGCCTAGATGCCTGAAATCGGACCAACGCCGACGAGAAACGCGGACTGGTCGCCGAAAGCGCTTATGTAAGACCATGACCACCAGCCACGGAGGCGCAGTTTTCCCGTGGCTGGAGATCCCACGATTTCTGCCTCCAACATCACCGGCGCAGTGTGGATCTTGGGTTGCGCTGCCGAAGGGTTTTTGGTCCACAATCAAAGGCACATTAACATTCTTCAATGCACGTGGCTCTTGGTGTAGGCAGTCTCTTGAGATCCCTTGGGAATAGTAATACGCCCTTTCTAGGCTGCGTAAAACGCACTGTTCGGTTGCACCAACGCCGGTCTCTTTCCAGACCAGGTATGTTTCGCACACCTGCCAATAATGTCTCTGAGGACGGGCAGTAAATGGGTGGTCTCGTGCTCACTTTAGAAGCAGTATCTTGCAGTAGTTTCTTTGTCCCGCATCAATCTCTGATTGCTCAAACCAGACACAGTTTCTCTACAGACTCCCCCAGGAACGCTCCGTCGGTCAGAATGGGTGACTCCAGTAAGCCTTTAAGATATGTCGATGTGGGTTTGTCCCCTTCATCATACGAATTATCTTGGGTCCTCGTAACTGATGGTGGCACTTGATCTTAGATTGGGATCAATCTCAGCGATCCCGTTTTCAGAGGCGAATACCATGGACGACAAGTCCATGACAGTGACCTAGACGATATTATCCAGCGTGCTCGGGATGGCGGCTGTGAGAAGTTTATGGTCACCGGCTCGGATCTGGAGGAGTCTCGACGTGCTATTGAACTTGCTCAGGCCTACCGTATGTGTGCAACACCTTCGTGGATCTTCTTTTCTACGTCTGACAAAGTTGACTGACACGCGAAAATCCAGCGGGCTTCTGCTATGCGACGGTCGGAGTACATCCCTGTCAGGCAAAACTATTCGATGAGTATCCCGAGGGCGCCGCGAAAATGCTGGAGGAAGTGAAGACTATGGCGCTCGAGTCAAAACAGGCCGGACACGCCGTTGCTTTTGGAGAGATCGGTCTTGACTACGATCGCTTGTTCCTCAGTCCCAAAGAACCTCAACTCAAATACTTCGCCGCCCAGTTAGACCTGGCGGTGGAGATCCAGCTTCCTCTTTTCCTTCATTCCCGAGCAGCCAGTGAGGATTTCGAGCAGCTACTAGCGCCTCGACTGGCGAAACTTCCCAAACGGGGTCTGGTACACAGCTTTACGGGCACTTTGGAAGAGATGAACCGCATGGTGGCCATTGGTCTCGACATCGGGGTCAACGGGTGCAGTTTGAAGACCGAGGAAAACCTAGAAGTGGTGAAAGCCATTCCGCTTGACCGACTCCAGATCGAGACAGATGGACCTTGGGTTTGTGGCCTCTCTGGCGCTTGGCAGTGAGATGAGACTGGCTTGCTGACTGTATTTGGAACGCAGTGCGAAATCCGACCTTCCCACGCATCGGCCAAATACTTGAAAGGGGCAACAGCGCTCCCCAAGGCCGTTAAGAAGGAGCGATGGCAGAAGGGGTGCATGGTCAAGGGTCGCAACGAGCCTGTGGCAATCTCCCATGTCGCCCATGTCATCGCCAAAGTCAAGGGCATCACCGTGGAGGAGGTGTGCGAAGCGTAAGTGCCTTTCCGCTCCACGGAAGTTCCATCCTTGACCTGATTAATCTTTTTTAGTGCGTGGAACAACTCTATTCGAATGTTCGGACTTGGCGAAGAAGCGTCGTAGATCGCGTATATCTTCCATGAGCCTGCGACACCGTCTGTCTTTTTTATTCCGATCTCTTTTCTTTATTTATTCACTTTTGGTTTAGAGCGTAGACATCAACCACTTGGTTTCTTTCCGATTTGACTTATATAAACACACATAAAATCTGTCTTGGACTTGCCCAAGAAATTCAGCCTTTCTGTTCTCCCACGGATGCGATGGGTTTAATCAATCGAAATGACTTGGTCCCTCATCTTTGATTCAACCAACCCTGGGTCGCTCCCAGTGGCTGGCCGTCCGTCAAACCATGGCTTTCTTTCAGGTCTCGATGACAGCAGACTGACCAGTGTCTGACGAGAAGATGTGAGTCAATCTCGGGGCCTGGAAACTTCCTTTGCGGAGGAAAGCACGTTCTGGCAAACAAAGTGGGTAAGGTAGCTAGAGAGCATCCCCCCACCAATAGATCCTCTCAAATCACTTTTGTGTCTTGAATTCTAGATCTTCTTCCATCTTGACGCCCTGATATTTTCCTGCTTGAGGTCTGCTTGCTGGAGCCTGCACCCGGCGGAAGCCTCCAAGCGCAGCTCCCCAGCTTCTTTTTTCCCCCTTCTTTTTCATCAGCTCACCGCCCATACCTACAGTACCTATCTGCAACTGCACTCCCCTTTTTCTTCTCTTCTCATCCTCAACTTCTTCTTCGCCTCCTGGTTGCTGCTTCAAACAACTGCTTTGTGATTGAGCTGCACGTTTAGCTACGCGTCTTATCGTCGTTTCCCACAATTTCTTCCTCATTGTTCACAATGTTGATTCTTCAAGGTCTCGTGTCTATCTGAACCTTGCGAGTCAGACTTCTCAAGTCTTTCTCAGGTTGAATAGACTGCGTCTATTCGCTTCTCTCGAGATCTGTTGATTTTCCAGATAGGAAAACAACTGGGTCCCTGATCAAGCCAAATTGTGCCTGGAAATTTTCGCGCGCACGGCGTTCGCGTTCCCTATTCCGAGATACCGCGTTCCGAGACTGTCCACGAAGCTCTATCTACCTCAACATGGAAACTATCAAACCATTTTCAGGGAGCTCAAGCTCAAGCTCTTCCGTTTGTATGATGACTAGCGTGGCAAAGCCCCCGTTGACGGAGGGTATTGCTAACGGTTCGCCTGGTGCGCAAAATGGTGAGTCTCCTGATCCTCCCCTCCCCGCCCCCAAAAGCAAGATCTAGACAAACAAAACCACCTCCTTTCTTGGTAATGGCAACACGAGTACACTAATATATCTGCTCTGTGACAGAGAGGCAAGCCTGTCGTGTCACTTCATCGATGGAACCCGAGCTTCTACACCCAGAGCTGCCCGCCAACTTCGGAGAGGTTGTCAAGGGTATCTATCGCAGCGCGTTCCCTCATCCTTGGAACCTCCCATCTCTCAGACCTTTGGGTTTAAAAACTATTGTGTAGGTGGCTTAATCATCGTCCTTTTGGAGTTCAAATGTCTAACGATCACAGCACTCTGGTGGATGAGCCATACACCGCAAGTCACACGAGGTTTCTCGAGGAAAATGGCATCGCACATTTTCGCATCCCTATCCAGGCCAACAAGGACCCTGCCGTCAAGACCCCCGATCACGTTGTGGTTGGCGTTCTCGAAATCCTTCTAAATAAGGCGAATCATCCCGTCCTTGTCCACTGCAATAAGGGAAAGGTTAGTCCCCACTATTACCAAATCCGCAGGCTTCCGGGAGCTGACTGTCTACCTAGCATCGCACTGGCTGTGTAATGGCCTGTTTCCGAAGACTTCAGGGATGGGAACTTCGCGATGCTCTCAGTGAATACCGAAATTACTCCTGGCCCAAATCTAGAGTGCTAGACGAGAAGTTCATCCAGGAATTCGATGCATCTAGGCTTGTTCCCTCGGCTCGCATCTCCGGCGCAGCTTTGTGGCAGCCTACTAAACCTCCGGAGCAGAAAGAACGCAACGGAAAGCCCCCCCGACATCTTGTTCCTGCGCCTCATGGAGTCAGGGTGTCTTAAGCGACAGCTATCCGCTGCATCATGACGACCTAACGACGACCCGATTTGTCTTTTTTCACCCATCTTGAGCGAATTTTACAAGTGTCACCGAATTATTGCTTGAAATACAAAGACCAGTGCATTGAGCCGGCGCATTTTAATACTTGAGATTTACCTTTGACTTTCTAAAATTATTACTACTACCCACTTTGATACCGACAAAGACAAAGATGCAGCGCGTTGGAATTGGAGGCTATGCTGGATTTGATACGCTTGTTTCATTGTTGTTGGTGTTGTCTTCTTTGTTCCCCGGCTTAGATAGACGGGGATCTTAATGGGTTGGCCCATATTTGCTTTCTCTTTATTCATCTCAGACTTTATTATATGACCACGTATGCTTAGCTCTTTGATGCACTCCCAAATGAGACTTTGATCATCCCGTACCGTGATGACCGGGGAGTTGCTGCATAGCCTTCCATGTTTAGAACGGTCTGGTTCTTGAAGAGCTCGATATATGATATCAATCTCCACTATATAGCTGTTTTGGATTCTAGTTATACTTCGATTGTAGGCCATTCACATAGCATGTTCTCTGCGTCCTCAATTATTGGATCATCTGAAAGCAGAAGAGGGCTTTCTGGAGGTTTCCGATCATCTGCCTGCCCTTCCCAAATGTGTTGCGGACCATGACACGTCGACTCCCCTGGGAAATAAGACTCGTCGACGCAGCCTATCTCACTATTATGATAGTGGATTAAATTTACCGAAGTATCCCTGAACCCGTCATCAATCGTCTCAAAGGATTCGGCGTCACTTTCACCACAGACGGAACCCCCCTCCTCAGTCCCTAAGTACCGATCAGAGTCTTCCCCATCCCCACTAATTTCATTTTCCAGATAGGAATCAACCCCGTCTGTCGGTGTCGCAGCGAACAAAATCTCATCTTCAAAGCACTGCTCGTCTTCGCTCTCCGCCTCCGCCTCGGGGCCCAAGATAAGGGAACTGTGCTTCTGCTTTCGGGACCCCTGCGCCGTAAGAACTCGATTGGCGGCAACGCGCCAAAGCGAGGTCTTTAGCTTGCTCTTGAGGCCCATCGTGGCAGTATCATGGCCATGTGTGTTATTTATTTCTGCCTCTGCCTCGGGCTCGGATTGGTCAGAACATTGAAATCTAATGGCGTTGCTCTGGAGACTCGGATCCCGACTATGTTTTATGATCGATGTGATGGATTTGGCGATGGAGGGGATAAACTGGGCTCGTTGGTTCATGGACTGTAGGAGCTTAGAATGGCATTAGCGATTGATCTTCTGATTCTGGTGGTGTCATGTGTGTAATTTTGGAGTGGTGTGGGAGAACTCACGTCGCGGTATCCAGGACTGAAAATCGAGGGCGCAATCCGGGAGAGAGGTATCAGGTGTTGTTCTTGGGTCCTTTGCTCACTTGAATGGCCTTTGCGGGTGGGGGTTCGTGCTCCAGCGATCAAAGTAACTAGCGCTGTGTTGAGTAGTGTATTTAGCTCGCGTGAGCAGCTCGGCGGGTTGGATTCAGGTTCAGGTGGGAGTTCGGTTTCTGTGAGCAGGCAGTGGAAGACTTCACATTCCTTTTCGATATACTGGAACTTGTCTGTGAGTATTTGAGGCGGAGCGAATGGGAGGACGGTTGAAGTACGGTGAGGAATCGGGACCGCTGGACTGTTGTAGAAGGTGTTATACGGTATAGGGATCGGCGCCGTTTCGGTGAACGAGCACGACGGAAGGAGTTGGCGAGAACGGGTATACTCAAGTCTGACGGTGATTGATGATAGGAAAACAGTAGGAGTCAAATCGACACGGGGCGCATCGCAGGGACTCTGCAGTGCGGTGGGGATTCTCGGCGTCTTTAATGCTGTAGACTTTCCGGTGGTTTTGCGGATGTTGAATGATAGGTGGGATGGTAGAGGGGGGTGTTGCTCATATAGACTGTTGCTGGAACCATTGAATGAAACTTTGAGGCCGAGTTCGGACCAGAACTGAACAGAGTCACTCACTTTGTGAGATGAATAGATGCAAAGGAGAGGCAAGCTGGTTCTTAGTAGGAGATAGGTAGATACCATACCTTCGACTTCCTCAGAACATCACCTAACCGAGAAATGAACTTGGGATATGAGCTACACAATAAGTCTGAATCCAAATCGAAGCTGAGGTATAGATGCAATTGGAAACAGGCGCCCTGATCGACCCATATGCTGCCTGTGATAATCCCTTTTCTGAAAGTCTCTTCTGTATTCCATGGGCTCCAAGTTCCTGGTGGCGTGGAAAATACAGCCGAGGCGTGAAGAGCAAGGTCCAAGTCGAAGCTTGATGAAGAAAAGGTTTCTGCTCCGAGATCCAAATGGAACGTCATTACGAGAGCTCTTTCTAAAGGGGCTGCCAAAAGAGAAACGAACGAGAGTACGCCAAATGAAGTTTGGACGGGAGTAACGGAGAGCCGTCTCCGAAGCACAGAAAGAGATCTAGTTGGGTGCCTGTAAGCCTGACATGGCAACAAGGCAGGACAAAGTCAAGTCATGTGGAAGCCGATTGAACCCGCTCATTCCCACCCTTTCCCTTCGAGATGTGTCATCCCCTCCAGCAAGATACTGAATAACACTGGTAATTCAGGAACCACATCCTCTCGTACCACGACTCGAAGAACATGAATGTCATCGTCGTTGGACCTCCAGCCACTCAGAATATAATCTGGCAAATACCAGAGTCAATAAATTGATTCGAAAATATATACTGGAAAAGACGAGACTCACGAGGGACAAAGAATCCAAGTTCGTATAACCAGTCACTCAAGCGGGAAATGGCCGCTGATGGATGGCTTGTCTGGTAGCCTTGCGTGGAGGTGAAGACTACAACAGGGATTCCTGCCGGATGTCGAGAATGACCGAGTCGTTGATATGCCGTACATTTTTCCGGGCATGAACGACACTGATCTTTGCAATGTTCCAACGGGGATCGACGCTGCACAGGGCTAAGGCAGCGAAAATGCGAGGTGCCTTCCAGCAAGTTTCCAAATGAACGTGCGCTGTCAAGGAGTGCAAGGACCTTCCGGCGGTATCCTTCTGATCCTAGAACTAGAAAGTTGAAGTATTGGACCACAACTGGAGCAGTGGATCTTGAAAAGCTCAAAGAGAAGCCCGTGCGTGTTCCTCGCAGATAGCTTGATTCGATTTGGAGACTCTGTGGAACGCAAGACCGATCCTTCCAGATTAACCAGCCTACGGCGCAAGATGCCAGGCCGAACTTGTGACCGGAAGTATTGATTGACTGTACATGGCTGTTCCGAAAATCCCTGGGTTGTCACATATCTTGTCAGTCAGTGCACCCCAGCTTGTCTATACTATACTTATACTCACCAGTGACGATGACTGAAGTCGTGGTCAAATGGCGCGACTAAACCACCACTTGCCGCATCAACATGGACGGGGACGTGCCGACCCGTGGTCATCTTATGTGGCGCAAGTATGTGTGACACATCGGTGATTGGATCGTAATGACCAGTAAATGTACTACCCAGGGTAAGAAAGATTCCAACTGTTTCAGTTAGCCTGCAATCACGGCATCGTGGAGAAAGAGATCTGGCTGGGATATTGAGGAAGCTCACCAGTCTAACTATCTACTAGACTTGACAACTTCGATACATCAAATCCAAAACCAGTGGCTTCGCTTACTGAGACAACTCTTGCTTCCATGTTGAAATAGTTTGCGAGCTTGAACACGCATACATGTGCATTCGAGCCAAAGATGATGTTGGGCCGCCCTGAACTGGCAGACGTTTCTTCCCAGGACCTCTTCATGGCCAGGTCTGCGAGCATTATGGCTTCAGAGGATCCACTCGTAGCAGTTCCAGCGATTGGATCTTCGCCTTGATAATTCCATAGACGGCCAATGATCGTCAGGCATTGCTCTGCACATCTGGCGAGGATCGATTAACTGCTGAGATTCGAAAGACCCAACGAGCTGGCATACTTTGAAATAGATGCGAACTCTTCGACACAGGCCTAGTTCTTCTGGAAATCCGATTTGGTAAGGTTCTGGGCCGTTTCGCTGCAAGCAGTGGCGACGAAGCTAAGACGATGTGATAGGCTTGCATTAGCAGAGAAACAAAGCAAAACAGACACGACCATCACCTACCTTCCCATATTCCCGTGAGGAGCTATATCATGAGCCTGGGATTCATAGATCATGCTCTCAACGAGAGCTGGATCTATGCCTCGAGACGGCACGTCTCCGTGACCAAGTAAGTCGGCCATAAGGAACCAGTTGAATGGCAATGTCAGTTGAGAGAAAAGAGAATAAAAATATGAGCTCGACCGGCTGAATAGCAGTAAAGCGAGATGCGAATATGCATACTCTGAGTCGGTCAGTGGCTCTCCTTCCCATATAAGCTTCAGCATTAGTATACGTGTAAGTAATAAGGCATAGGAATTCTAACTACGTTTGAGGCTGATGAAAAAACTATTGGCCGCGGATTGATTTCTCGATGAATGACGACATCCTTTGCTGATATCTGATAAGGCTGGAGATTTTCTCCTTTGATCCAGCTGACATACCTTGTTGATTAGCACCATAGCACAGCATGAGAAAGGGCACCCCTCTCAGGCTTTCCATTATCAATCATAAACCGGATTTGTCGGGCTGCGTCCACGGCATGTTAAAAGGTGTGCTGGAAAGTGGACATTGACATTATGAAAGGGAGTCCACTAATATCTATACAGCACGACAAGATGAGGTGAATAGTCAATGGTAAATCCTGCGAGTCTGAGTTCCCTTACTCTGTACTTTCCAAAATGGGAAGGAATCAAGGCACTTCGATCTTCGGTAAGACTGGAGAATTGCCCTTCCTAGGTTCCTACCTAGGTAGGCAGTATGGCTATGAAGATCAATGACATTGGGTTTCTGATATAGGGAGCAAAGTCTTTCGTAACCAATCTGCAGCAAGATCAAATTGGTAACCCTGATAAAGCCTTACGGTATATAAAAAGCCTTGTTGCCTTGAACTTAGAGATCGAGGAATGCCCAGATCTTGCATCGACATATGGGCTCTACGTCACCCCTAAAACCTTGAGCGATCGGGGAGGTAAAAAAGCCCTATAAATATGGCAGGTGTTGTGTGTTTGAAGGAGGTAAGGTTTGCTTGATTGTTACAATCATCGACATGTCAGACCTCGTGGAAACTCGTTACTGCCTGGATCAATCAGAGTCCGCTGATGCGAGCTTTGGACGCCTAACTGGCCGTGAGCTGGTGCCGAGGGACCAAATACTGATATCCCGCGATGCAGAAATCAGGGCTCTATCTGCGTGGGCGCTCCTCATTGACCGGTACTTTGACACGCCTGTTGTCTCCTTCGTCGTGGCGAGGGCCAGTTCGGAACACAAGCCAATTGGAGCGAATGCTGTTAAGAGACTTTCTCTCCAAATTGAGCATGAGTGGAGTGTTCAGCAATTGCAGGAAGCCGTCTCGAAAGCCAAGGATACACGCGAGGAACCTGATGGCAAGGATTCAACTTCTAATACGGCGGTCCTTCTCCTCGAGGCTTCCGACACGAACGCGGACCTCTACGGCAAGGGCCTAGAAGATTTATTTCAGCAACTGGGAAATGTATGTCAGAATGGATCGAACCTACCTCGCTTCTATTAGTTCTTGCTCACAATTACTAGATTCCGTTACTGTTGACGATGTGCCCGACGAGCCAAGGTCTCTCACTCGGTGTCTATTCGCCTTGTGACCGGCAGTTTCACATACCTCTTCAAGCTATCATCGGTAGTATGAAGCATAGCTTTGATGCCATGGACAGATATGACACGCCAATTACGGGACTTGATCTCATCAGCTCTTATGATGTTCAGCGACTTCGGTCATGGGCGATACGTGGCGAGGTAGAACCATCGGGCTACATCCACGATCTGATCAACCGACACTATCGAGAGCGACAAGCTGCGATTGCAATATCGAGCACTAGTGAACAAGTTACATATGAGCAGCTGGGGCAGAAATCGGCCGCCATTGCTGACATTCTTCTGGGAGCTGGTGTTCAGTCTGGATGTACAGTTGGATTTTGCATGAATAAATCTACACTGGCCATCATCACGATCCTGGGGATTCTTCGTGCTGGTGCTGTATACGTACCAATTAGCCAGGGTTGCTCTGCCCAGCGAATGTCCGAGATCCTTGAGAGAGTGGGGGCGAAACACTTCATCGCCGAGAGACACATTCAGCAGAGATTCGAGGACATCGATCCACCAGAGATCCAACAGATTGACCCGGTCTCTCTGGACTTGGAACGGATCCCCAACGCTTGGGATCGGGATGTTGACCTAGACCCCTCCAGTCTCGCATATATTGTCTTACGTCCGGCAGCACAGGCAAGCCGAAAGGGGTTATGCATTAGCATCACGCGGTTGCCGGTGGGTTACAAGCAGTAGTAAAAAGTTTCGGACTTAATCAAAGCACCAAATTTCTTCAATTTGCGGATTTCGCCTTTGACGCCAGTTTTTGTGAAATACTTGGCCCTCTCGTCTCCGGGGGTCAGGTATGCGTACCGTCTGAGCAGCAACGAGTCGAGACTCTTGGATCAGTGATGGAGGCCCTGCAGGTCACCGACGCTTCCTTAACGCCAGTCGTTGTTAATCAGCTCCAAGCCAGTCAGGTGCCTCATCTTCGGCATCTTTATATCGGAGGCGAGGCTCCTTCGCAAAGCATCATCGACAGCTGGGCTGATCACGTCCGACTCAGCAACATTTACGGGACAAGTGAAACTGGCATATGGGATACGTTTCGGCTTGAGATCTCCCGCAGCGATAACGCGAAGAACATCGGTCGGGGGATCGATGCCAATTGCTGGGTCGTCAATCCAAGCGATGTCAGCAAGTTACAGCCGGTCGGTGTGAAGGGCGAGTTGCTTATTCAGACCCCGTTCCTGGGGAGAGGATATCTAGGCGATAATGCGACAAGCGCAAATGCGTTCCTACCGGCTCCCAACTTCGCCTCGCTGGTAGGAGGCGACATCAGCCTTCGATGTTACAGGACTGGAGATCTAGCCCGGTACGAGCAAGATGGGAGTATTACATACTGTGGGCGTGAAAGTGGTTTTATCAAGATCCGGGGATTTCGAGTCGATCTTGGGGAAGTTGAGATAGCGGTGAACTCGTGTCTTGATCATAGACGTGCAGCCGTGATAGCAGCAGGGGTGAAGGACCGGCGTGACGCTCTGGAGATAATTGCATGTGTGGAAGTGGGCAACATCAATGCTAGGTCAGTGTCTGCTAGCGAGCTAAGCGAAAGATTACGATCAAGACTGCCACGCTACATGGTGCCGACGGTATACATTCCCTTGCCAGAGCTACCCTGCAATCAGTCCAAAAAGATCGATCGGCCTCAGCTGCGATCACTGTTCACGCAGCTCAGTCCCACTGGGCTTGTGGCACTGAGACCTGGTGGCAAGACACTTCACCAATGGCCGAAGATTGACCATAGGCGTGCGATGGCTCTTGAGATTAGCAAAAGCATCTCGGATCTAGTCATCGGTTCACAGGACTCGAGCTCAGAGACCCTTCAAGGTCTTGACTTTAGCCTCTCCAGTGTGGGCTTGAATTCGATGCAGCTGGTATATCTAGCTAATTGGATCCATCAGTGTTGGCAGAGAAGTGTTAGTGTGCAGACATTGCTACAGCCCGGTATCACTGTATGTCAGCTGGAAGAGCACCTGCTCCAGGATCTTGGGAGCACGGAAGGCGCACCGCAGAGGGACATCCTTCTGGAACTCGACAATCTGATGCAGAGCGCCCAATTTCCCAGTCTGAATATTCGTGGACGGACAATTTTCCTGACATCGATGACCGGCTTTCTCGGTACTCAGATTTTGCGATTTCTTTTGAGTAATCCAGAAGTCGATCGCATAGTTGGACTAGTGCGCGCAGACAGTGAGACTGATGCAAGGGAAAAGATTCATGCACAGGCAACAGCTGGCGGCTGGTGGAAAGGAGAATTTGATTCCCGAATTATTGTCTGGCTGGGTGACCTAAAAAAGCCAAAGCTGGGCCTGAATCAGAGCAATTGGGATTGTCTGCGTGGGAGGGCTCCGGAGCTACATATCGATGGTATCATTCATGACGGGGCACGCGCCAATTGGCTGGAAGGTTACAACAGACTGAAGGCTGTCAATGTCGACAGTACCATCACTCTTCTGCAAGCTTATTCCTGTAGGCCGGTGCCTTGTCCATTCACATACGTGTCAGGGGGATATCTCCCACTCCCCACAGATACGAGTGATCAAATCGGAGAGAAGCTCTCCACAGCGAGCGGATATGACCAAACAAAATACCTTTCGCGTTTAATTATCGAAGAGTATAACAGCCGCCTCGAGTCGAGGGATTCCCTTGAGTGGCCTCGAATTACGATTGTCCAGCCGGGTTTCATCGTCGGCACACGGTGGGAGGGCATCGCCCACGCGGAGGACTTCCTCTGGCGCCTGGCCTACTGCATTGTATCACTCGGCGCTGTGAGCGAAGATTCGAAGAAATTGTGGATTCCCGTTGCTGGGGCTGATCAGATCGCATCTATCGTCATTGCAGGAATGTTCCTTCAGAACCCGGAAAATGTTGTCGATTGCCGACAGGGCATCACCGTGCATGAGTTTTGCGACATTCTAAGTGACCAGACTGGCTTTCAAATTAGCACACAAAATCATCAACGGTGGCTCGCATCTTTACGGGAGCAAGTTGACCAGAATCCCTTGGATCATCCCTTTACACCTTTGCTCCAGTGGGTTGGCACCAATGACTGGCAATTGACCCCGGCCCCGCCGAATCAAAGCAACGATGGCTTATACCGGCGAGACACCGTAATGGCTCTAGAGAAGAATGTGCAATATCTGATGGGTATTGGATTTTTGCCTTGCCGAGAGAGACGCACAGTCGTGGGGGATGGAATGAGCCGAGCCGTATTCCGACGATCGAAGGATTAGAGATGATAGACAGACAGATAGATAGAATGTCAATAAAGAGAAGTTGAAAAGAGAGAGAGAAAACGAGAACGCGACGCTGTCTATTGACGGCTATCGGCGGGCTATTGAGCTTATCTTATCTCTATAGCTCCTTATCGATAAGGCATCACGTGCCTCCCCCGTGATTACCTGGCGCCAAAACATGCCATTTACACGTGGAGTTGTAACTGTCTGGCAATAAGATCACCCATCACAACCCGCGATGCCCAGGGATGAAGGACAGGAATCGCTCTTGGCTGATCACGATGGCCTTGACAGGCCAAATGGTTCCCCGCCATTTCCAGGGACCCCTGACGAAGAACTTGAGCTTGTAGCCCGTCCTGACCCAGTCAACGCAACCCCGGTTTCTCCCTCCGCACTCCCCAACGCAGCGCCGCAACAATCCTCCATATCTCAACCCACGCCTGACGGACAACGTCGCCCTCCTCGCACCACAAACCGGGTTCGATTCGATCTCGATGACGAGCCAGAAGATGATCAGCAACCGGCCGCATATACCTGCAACTCGGAGGACTCGTCGTGGCTGGAGGAAGAAGATTACGCTCGCGATGGCGGAAATCGATCCGGAAGGAACAATAGGGGACAGATGGTGCCTCTTCTGACAGATATTGAAGCCCCGAGTGTGACTCTCGCCACGTCTGAGGATTTCTTTCCCGAGCAATACCTAGAAGATGCCCGGCCTCGCAGCGGGATGCGCATGGCATTCATGAACATGGCCAATAGCATTATAGGCGCCGGTATCATAGGTCAGCCCTATGCACTCAAGCAGGCAGGCTTGATGACGGGTCTTGCAATTCTGATTGCTCTGACAATCGTGGTGGATTGGACAATTCGTCTCATCGTGGTTAACTCCAAGCTGAGCGGCGCGGACTCCTTTCAGGCCACGATGCAGCACTGCTTCGGCAAAAGTGGCCTTATTGCTATCTCGATTGCCCAGTGGGCTTTTGCGTTCGGTGGTATGATTGCATTTTGTATTATTGTAGGAGATACCATTCCACATGTATTTAGCGCCTTGTTCCCCTCCCTCCGAGATATGTCGTTCCTTTGGCTTCTTACCGACAGGCGAGCCATCATCGTGCTTTTTGTCCTGGGTGTTTCGTACCCGCTCTCTTTGTATCGAGACATTGCGAAGGTTTGGTCTCCTAAACTGTCAGGCTTTCTGGTTCTAACAGCTCTATAGCTAGCGAAAGCTTCCACACTGGCCTTGCTCAGTATGGTCGTGATTCTGGTGGCTGTGCTCACCCAAGGATTCCGTGTCTCGTCAGAATCTCGAGGAGAGGTCAAAAGTCTGCTTCTAATAAACTCTGGCTTCTTCCAAGCCGTCGGGGTGATTTCTTTTGGTATGTCACGCTCTCACTATATCAGCAATTTAAGAACCTCTGTAAAGCTAACGCTGGACAGCTTTTGTTTGTCGTAGGTAGCCCAGTATCTTGGCTTAGACCGCGACCCAGACTGACTATTTCAAGACCATAATAGCCTTCTCATCTACGGTTCCTTGAAGAAACCAACTATGGATCGCTTCGCAATGGTGACTCATTACTCCACGGGAGTCTCGCTGCTGATGTGCTTGACAATGGGTATATCGGGATTTCTGTTCTTTGGATCGAAAACCCAAGGCAACGTGCTCAACAACTTTCCGTCCGACAACATCATGGTTAACATTGCGCGATTGTATGGTCCCTTGACGGTCTATTGTGACTATCGATCAAGCTAACCGCAACAGCTGCTTTGGCCTAAACATGCTCACGACCTTGCCTCTAGAGGCGTTTGTATGTCGGTCTGTCATGACAACCTATTACTTCCCAGACGAACCGTTCAACATGAACCGCCATCTGATATTTACCACCGCACTGGTTCTGACCTCGATGGGCATGGCTCTCGTTACCTGCGACCTCGGCGCAGTCTTTGAGCTGATCGGGGCCACCAGTGCCTCGGCCTTAGCATACATCTTCCCGCCTCTATGTTACATCAAGTTGAGTAACAGCAGTCGGAAAGCGAAGATCCCGGCGTACCTGTGCATTGCCTTTGGAATAACCGTCATGAGCGTCAGTCTACTGCAGGCCATTGCCAAGATGATTAGAAGTACGTACATGACCAGCATTCACCAGCCAGATTCCAGGATGAGATTACTAACAACGGACACTTGCCTAATAGATGACGGAGGCGCAAGCACTTGTAGTGCCTAGCCAGTGTAAATCTTTGTCTTATTAGCCGGATAGAGTTCTGTTTTCGCTGCTACCAGGCAACTGTACATAAAGATATCTATACCCGTACCAAATCCCCCAGATTCTTATGGGTCACCATGTCTGACCTTTCTGACTTCCCCGACCTCGAAGGAAGTTTGATGTATTACCAGATTATCTGAGGCTGAATGAAACGCTTTTGTATTCATCCATATCATCATAGATCATCTGGAGAATGCTATTTGAGCCCTTGTAGGTCTCTACTTTTCGTAAACAAGTCTGGCGGTCCTGAATATGGGTTTCAGTCAGTAAATTTGGCTACGGATCTCATAAATCAAACTCTTAACAAACTCTAGTGTTTTCTCTAAGATTAATGGGGATGTCTAGGGAATGTGCAAGTGGGGTTCTTTATTCCTTCACTCAGTTGCAATGAACCAGACCTATCTAGTATATTGTACAGCGTGCAGAGTTCAGAGAAACAATCGCCTACATTATAAATTGCCATGCCGACGTCCACGTTTGATGTAAGCGGGACCAAGACTGTGAAGGGTGCACACTGCGAGACAAGTAGTATGTTTTCTCTCCTCGGCGTTTGTCCTCTGCTTCCCTTTGCTCTTCCCCTCCAACTCATCTTCCTCTTCACCACTTCCCATCCTCTTCCCCTCTTTCCCTGTTGACATCCCTCTCTTTCTCTCTCTCACTTTGCTGACATCTTTCACATTCAATAATATTGTGTTCCAAACTTTCACTTAGAGAATTATCGTATCCAGCCGGCCTTCAGACCTGTGTCTCGGGGCCTAGGACTCCTAGCTTTCATTTACCTTTCCCACAAGGCTCACTGTCTCACATCACACGTTTTCGCTCTGCGTTTGCCCCGTCAATCATTCAATTTTCTTACCTCACTTGCTCACGTGTCAGCAATCGTCTTTGCTTCTTAACACTTTCACTCGTTTCAGACCTTCCCTCTACTCTCTCTTCACTTTCTTCCTAACATTGAGGCTCGCATTACTTTTGGGTACTCTGATCCATCTTCATCTCTTTGGTCATCGAAGAAGACACAATGAGCCCGGAAGATGAGAAAGCCGCAAAACGCGTAGAGCGGCTCAAGCAGCTGCAGATGGTAAGCCGATTGCATAGGTCTTTCATGATCACTTGCATTTACTGGACTCTGACCATGTCATCCACAGGAGGACCTTGGGTCTGCTAGACGAGAGTTCATTTCTACCTCAGACATCAAGAAAAGAGAGAACGTTTCGTTACAATTCCTGGAGGCAGGTCGAATGTCAAATGTGCGGGGCACTGAAGCACAGCGACAAGCCGAAGCCAACAAGGAACAGCTCTCAGCATGGTCCAGTAAGTACTCTCACTCTACACCCAATCATGTTGGCGGTTCTCGTGGCTAACACCTTGGGAAAGACATCTACAAAGGCATAGGTGACACCGAAGATTTGGAAAACTTGGACAGCCTTCTCAGCGGGCAGACCCATCGGTTCCAGTTAAATGCTGCCATTCGCGGAGACAATGTTCAATTCTACACACAAGGAGTGGGAAAAGGCAAATCTGCATCGAAGTTGGCGCCAAACCCTTCGACGCACGCAGGAAAACATACCGGTGTGGTGGCATCCAAAAACCACCAGCCCTTTGGAACTTTGGCCAGGTGAGTTGCCTACTTTTGGTCTGATAATGTACGCGGGCTTATACCTTGAAGTACTGGTACTTCTGCTGGAGGCAAGAATCGCGAAGCATTCCCGAAACAGATCACTCTAGCTCGAAAGCCTTCAGTGAATATCTTGCGGAATCCTAGCAGCGAAAACCAGAAAACCAGAGAAAGGTTTGACTCGCAGAATCACTCTGTAAACAAAGGAGGTACGTCATCGCATGAAGTTGGGAAGAGTACCAGAGCTAAGTGCTTTCTCCTCACAGCTTCAGGCTACAAAAGACCACCTCCTGCTTCTCTGAGGACCAGAAGACCAGCGTAAGTCTTAGTCTTTTACCCAGTTTTCCCATCTGATCCCAGGAACAGGCCCGAGTTTGTTGGGGATATTTGTTCCCCAGCAAGTTTCCTGGCTGCGTCGCGCAGTCTCTTGAATCTCATCCCCGTGGAGACTGCATATGTTGCTAGTGAAAGTGCTTCTAATGATCATAGTGGCGAAAAAGCTCCCTCAAGCACTAAGCAGCCTCCGCAGAAGAAACTGTGCACTTCATCGGGCTTGAGTGAATCAATTCAGCAGCCTGCGGATGAGAGGAAACCTCATCAAGATCTATCATCTAAGCTGTTCGAAAAATATGTCCTTCCGGGCATGACTTCACCAAATCATACGATCCATGGGGCTCATGATAGCAGAGCTTCTACTTCCCAAAAGAAGCCAACTACCTCCCTGAGTGATTCAATTCATAAGACCAATGACGTCAAACCGCACCCTATGCAACCATCAGGGCTAGTCCTCAAGCATCCCACGAAAGAGCAGGCTACTTCCCTAAATCGCTCAGTCCACAGTCCGAAAGATGGCAGTGCTGCCGATTATTATACCCCTTTCCACTCCCAGGCAAAACATCCCCAGAATGGGTCGCCAACTTCCACGGTTCGCTCGAGCGGTACTTTCCAGGACGAGAAGACCACTAATCAAAAAAGTTCACAGGAATCAGCTGCAAAACCTCCCGTGAAGGTCCGACTGCCTTCTTCTTCAGACTATACGGTTCATGGGCCTCAAGATGACAAAGCTTACTCAACACCGATTTCTGAGCCAGTCATAAACCCAGAACCGAATACAACCCCAATACCTCCCAAAGCTGTACAAACTGCAGTGCCAAGGGCAGCGCCCCAAGTGTCTTCCAAAGGCTCTATAAAGCCACAGAGGGAGATGTGCAACGCTAAGAGCACCCAAGCAACGCAGGAAATACTTCTCGACGTTAACATCACGCCCTCGAAGGGCTCCACACAGGATGGCAATGGGGATGATTCCTTAATGAGCCCTTCATTTCAGGACCTGAAAGGTCTAGATTTTGCGCCACCCTCGCAACAAGTCCAGACCCCAGAGCATGAGCAATCGCAACCGACTCCGACAAGACGGCTTGACTTCCACGTTGTTTCATCCACGACAAAGGAGAGCGAGCCGGTCAAAAGTGATGACCAAAAGGATATTATTGAAGTGCTCTGTCAGCTTATGGAATCAGCAAGCCTCTCGGAAAAACAGAAAGAAAACCTACAGCAATGCAAAATTGAGCTCGAAAGCAAGATCTCGAACGATCCTCAGACGCCGACACCTGTACGCTTTGCAACTCATGGGTCTCAGGAAATCAGTCAGTCTACAGAAAACACGCCTACCCAAAATAGATCTTCAGTATTAAGTCCTGCGGCCGCAGCGTTTGTTCCACGATCTAGTTTCAATGATCATCGCTCGCCGACGCGCAGTAATTCAAGCGATTCATCGCACCATGCGGTACCTGTTGAGAAGGAACAGCCGACAAGGCCACCCGTGTCCAAGTCAAGTCTCATTGGCGACTGGGACTTGCTGCCTGGTAAACATGGTAGACGTGAACGTATGGGAGACACAGCAAGAAAGGGTATGTCTTCCGTCTCACTCCAGTATCATTCCAGTCGTAACCCTCATGCCCGACTATTCGGACAGCTACCCACAATGACCTCAGTAGATACAGATACTGTGAAATTCGAAGTTCAACCCCGCAGGCTATCTCATCGGAAATCAACGGATGCATCCGGAGGCAACAGTACACCCACGACTCAGACGTCTGCCAGCAAAATGGAGCCCCCCTCCTCACCTGTTACCAGCAGCATTATCTTTTGTCAACGACGCGTTCCATCAAAGCCTGTTCAAATGGCAAACAATTTGCAGCAGTCTGTTCATGCTTCGTCATCGCCTGAACCCTCATGGTCAAACAACTTGGAGCAGTCTATTCATGCTCCGCCAACGCCTGGACTCTCATGGTCAAAGGAGAATATAACGCCACACACATGGTAGGAATCAATCCATGCTATGCACGAGGATTAAAAACTTAAGTCTTCTTTCAATGAAGCACTGGCGGTGTCAATCTAGAGACGGCGCGACTCCTTCCGATTGTTTTCTCCAAGCTTGACCCTTCTACTTTCGGATGTTGATATGACTAACGATGTTCTGAATCATTCCCTGGCGCAAACCGGCATTTCCTTCATCTTCATGATCTTTCCTCTTCTATCATGCTGTTGTGGCTTTCGTCTTCTTCTTCTTCTTTTTTTTCCCCCTCTTGTCCGGACTTGCGAGCGACGTCTCAGTTACTTTTGTTGCATTCTATGTATTCACAAGCGCATTCTCCTCTGTGTTAACGTTCAATGATCATCTACTTTTCCACCCACTGAGACGAGAAACATACGGGGGGGAAAAGCATCCAGTGGAATGATGGGAAATTCATGCATGTACGATAGGGCTTGGTCAAAGACATGGTTCGTTCTCTAGAACTAAGTCATTGCATGTGTCTAATATCAATGATTTGTTTCCCCCTTGACTGGATAAATAACGGTCAACTTCTTGCAGTGCATCACCCCTTCCTTGCATGCGCATATAGAAAATAAAGATACCACTTCAGGGGGTAAGAGGAGAAGTTTGGGAAAAAAAATAAACACAAGGCCAATCGATGCAAACAAAAGTTCAAGTAATATTAACAATACTGCAAAAAAAGAAACCATTTCCTTGTCCTGGTCCTTGCCCTTGCCCTGCATCCTGAACGCCGAGTCACCATTCAAAGTACCGGAAAAATTGACAATCATCACATAAGGCGGTTTGGATATATTCTCTTATCACCCATTCATCTCTTATTATCTCTGATGGGGTGGTTGGGGTGGTTGTTGTGGCGGTTGTTGTGGCGGTTGCTGTATTGTAGAACCATCGGCCATTTTTACCCTCTTAGGGTCATTAATGCCATTGGGAACAGGCCCGCTGCCGCCTCCGCCGGGGTGTGTTGCGTTCGTCACGTCCCCTAGGGGAGGCCGCTTTCCGTTCATGTTATGGGGCATGCCCTGGGCCCCCATGCTGGCCCCGCTTGATGCTGCTGTTGCATTGTTGTTGACGCTGCGTGGGTCGATGTTGGGTCGCGTCAGTGGGCGATAAGACGAAGTTGACGGCCCTCTACTCATAGGGCTACTGATACCACTAGCTCCGGGGGCGCCAATCCTTCGATGTGCGTCCGTAGAAGGATTCACAAAGTCTCGGGTGTTGTTAGTAGATGGCGAGGCCGCTGCCAGCATAGGTCGCGAGATTGGCACGCTTTTGGTGTGGTCGACGCCCGCGGTTTTGCGGATGGAGGGACTTTCGGCATGAGGATCGAAGGCAGGCGCGGCATTCGCCGTATTGTTCGGGTTATCCCGGAGCATGTCGACTGCCCGAGCGGAAAAGAAACCAGCAGATGGAGCGGGTGAGCTCCCAGGAGGAAGCATGTCTTGTGGTTTGGTTTCATTAGATAGTGGCCCCGGTTCTCGTTTGATCGGCACTTGGCCACCTGTGCCGGCTAAGGCGGAGGCTTGGTTAGGTCTATGTTGGCCTGGTGGTATGGGCCTTGCATTGGTAAAGTTTTGTTGCGGATTTGGGGCCGCAGTGGGAATGTTTCGAGCATTGAGTGAGGGTGCAGGTATTTGCCTGGCCCCGGGTGCTGGAAGAGGCCTTTCCGGTTTGGAAGGTGTCACGACCGCTGAATTAGGCTTTACCGGAGGCCGGGCGTAGTTCCCTTGCGGTCCGCGGTAGGCATTTGGTCCGTTTAGGGGGGTGGGAGGTTGTTGGAATTTCGTTTCTGGGCCTAGCACTATTTCATCCGGATTCCCATTCGTAGCCTCGCCGAAATCAGCTTCATCAAATAGATCACCTATTGTCATTAGCAAGTATAGCTTGTCTAGGGGGCTCTGTCTTGCATACTTCCAAATTCCCCGTCAGCATCGAAAGCTGCGGAATCCTTGGGGCTATTAGTCCTCCCAGCATTCACAGGACGAGGGGGAAGATCGTCATCTTCTGGGGCTGGTCGCGGTTGCACGGGTGCCTTTTTGGCCGGGGCATAGTCGGGATGCCGATGGAGATCATCTACGTCCCATTTCGCCTGCATAGATGTTAGGCAAAGGTATGCAGTGTACCTATGGGATGAACACATACCGGTGCGGGCTTCACTTTGGTAACTTTCGAGACATAATCTTTGTCATAGACACAATTTCCCAAGACGTTACCAAAGTTTCTCAGCGCACGCTTAAGAGCATCAGTGGTTCCTTCTTTCTTGGCCTTCTCAAACGCTGCAGCCTTGCCCTTGCAGTTCTCGATGTGACCGTAGCCGATATCCTGGAAGTAGTAAACACGTGAGCTTCTGGTTCGAGCAAGGCAAAGCTGCTACGATGAACAGGCATACCTCATGATAGGTTCCGTCTTTCAGAGAGACCCTAACTATTACGGATAACCCCAAGCTGATTTTGCCAGTATGTTGGCTCTCTTCCACCTATTCAAGGTCAGCATGGAGGTTCCCAAAGCGGTCGACCCCGCGGGTGATTGCCACGAGACATACGAAATCGATCTGAATATTTTGTATCGAGCTGGACCAGCCATTAAAGCCGAACACTTCATTCGCCAGATTGATGCATTTGTCGGCGGACAGATAATGCACCCTTTGTCCAGCCGCCCCTGGTCTCGACGAGATGTATTCAGGACCCAATTTCTTATCTAGGCGTGATTGCAGTGTAGCGATTTCTTGAGCCGTGTATTCGTTCATGCGTCGCTGAGGTTCCTCAAAAGGGTTCCCGGTAGTAGATCCGTTTGCGTTTGGCATCATGACGCTCTTTGGACCACCGCGATGTTGGTCACCAACGCTACGGACGCGGTTAGCTCTAATCAGAGTCGGGGTTGCTATCATGGGAAGAGGGGCCTGTGGCAGACTTACGCGGGCATAATAGCAGTACAGAGTAATTTCCACGATAATAAATCATCCAATGGTGTTCGGAGGGAATTATATAGGAGAGATGGGTGAAGTGGAGGAGAAAGCAGGCAGCTGTTGAGGCAGACGCGTGCAGGAGCCGATAGCGACACGGCCTTATCGCGACATCACGTGCACTGTCGTCACAACCGCCATCTCCCATTTAACAAGCATTTGCCAGGTGCTATTCCAAGGGAAATTTCATTTATTTCTCAATCCAAACTGTCTAAACTCTCTTCTATACTTGTCAATATCATAGCAAATGTTTCATTACAGCTAGATGTGATGTAGGCCCACCGCAGCTAAGATCACTGGATTACGAGACTAGCGCTGGGAATGAGACCAAGGTCCTTAAGAGATTCTCCGAAGAACTCCTGGTCAAAAACCTTCCTTGGGAATGTCTGCAAGAAGCTCTGGACCTGGACACCGTCCTCCTGCTCCAAAGCCGAAGCAACCTCGAATAGAGTGGTGTCCACCGGGAGGGTCTTCATGACGTTTCCTTTAGAGGTCTGGAATCGCAAACGAGTTTCCGTGTACGCCGAAGCCGGTTTGGACGCCACGGGGCCAGAGCTTGTGGGCAAGGAAGCAGCTGCCGGTTGAGCAGGAGGCGCCGCACCAGCTCGTTCTGCTCGTTCCCGCTCGGCCTTCAAACGCCGCTCTTCCTTGTCCGCCTCAATCTTGGCCTTGACGCGCCGTTTGGCTTCGATGTCATCCTGCTTCTCCTTCTTCTTTTTGGCCGCCTCCTTCATTTGCTGCTTTCTCTGGAGCTCCTCCTTGGCGTCCTGTGATTCCTTGTTGCTCTTTCGTCGGATTTCCTGTGGTAGAAAAGGATGTGTGAGTGGCTGTCATCGCCTGGGAGAAGTTTGCCTGCACGTATCCGCTTACCTCGTTTCTCTTCTTGTCGGCCTTGTCTTGTTCAGACTGTCCAGCCCGCTTCTCTGCCAACTTCGCCCGAAGCGCTTCCAATTTTGCCTTCTTTTCCTCCTCGGTCAACGGTGCCAGTTCTTCCGTGGATTCCTCGAAGTCGACGTGCTGGGTCTTGGAGGCGTGGAATTCGGCCTGTGCATGGCTTCGGAACTTCTTGCCACATTCATTGCAAACCAGACTTCTCGCTTCTTCGCCAGGCTGCAACGGGGGACCCTCCTCCCCGGCATCATCGTTGGCTGCAGTCGCTTTGATCTCTTCGATTGATTTGTCTTGGTTTTGTTCGAGCCATTCGAGCGCACCTTGCACTATTGGGGGTGGTTCAGGGTTAGTGAGGGTTACTCATACGAGCCAAGTCACTGTAGCAAACGCTGATCGGGAAGTACGTACAACCACCACTCTTGGCCACGGCCATCTCTGCCCTCTCCTTGTCAAAGCCCATCTCAATGAGCTGGTCTAGATCGGAGGAGCCCATTTTGCACTGCACTCGATGATGTCGGTAGATGGAAGGTGAAAGAATGCGATCGAGACGTGACGCTTTGGGGTGCGGGGTAATATATCAAGCGAGTGCTTTGTCCAAAAAATGCAAAGGTAACTGTAAAAACAAAGTGTTTCAGTTTAAGGGGATAATGTGAAGGTACAAAAAAGAGGCAAGGGTGATCGGTCGAGGTAGAAATAGTAGAGGTGAAGAGATTCGAACAGGTGAGCTCGCAGGTGACGTACCGCTAGCAACGATGGAACGAGCGGGAGGACCCGCACTGCGCTGAATCTACGGAGAAGTATGAAGTAGTGGTACTTCTTTCTACGAAAGACGCCAGATTGCTTTGCGGATGGTAATAGTCCTGAAGCATTACTTTGAATCTTAAGAGCATAGCCAGCCAGCAATTACAAGGAAGAAGTCCCCAACGTCCTCTTCGATTGGTCGCATTAGGTCATATTCCAAGGGCTCCGAATACCAAGATCTCATCGCTTGTAGATAGTCATTTGAAGAGACCATCCCCCACTATCTGAGTAGCTGATTGAGTAATCCTAATAGCATTGAAACAACTACTGTTAATTATCAACCACGTGGAACGGTTGTTCATGTTCAGTGAGGAATAGTTCGAGTGGGTGGTCTGGGTCTATGAAGCTATCATTTAGGCTAAGGGACTGGCGCTTATCTCACCAAACCAAATTAGCCGTTGAGAAGCGACTCCAGCTGATGCAAGATCCCCATCACATGTACTGTTTAGTGCCCCGAGTCTTTGGTTCAGGAGTCTCTTAGAAAAGGTTCCGAGGATGTGCACCGGTGGATCCCGAGGAACAATACTCCGAAAGGGGAGATTTGATCTGGGTCACTTTGAGCGGGTGGGATAAATTTGAGACATTGAACAGGAATGTCGAGACTGAAGACAGAGTGAAAGACGTGTCTCTTTACGGTCCTGAGAATAGTGAGTGAGAAAGAGAAGTGAAGACGAAGCAGCCAAAAAGGAAAAGGGAATCCTCGTGATGACATCACCTGACCGGCGGCCCTGTGACTGCTGAGTCAGCCAGCGTCGACACCTTCGACACCTGAAATCGCAAGACGGCCAAACGACTCTCAATAATCACGATTCCCCTACGTCTTTCTAATAATAAGCTGGTCGGCCGTGTTAATATCCCTCCCATTATCCACTCTAGTCTGGCCGCCCTTCGCCCGCTTAAATTGTTCCCCACAGCGCGCTCCCCTCTGTCCTCAACCCTTGGATTAACTGGTCTTCTCTGGCCACTTTGTTTGTCCGCGCATCCCTGACCCTTTCGCGCTGCTGCCTTCGCCTTCGCCTTCGCCTTCGCAATGTCTATCATCCTCGACCCGCCTGAGCTGGGCTTCCAGCGTGAGTTCTGCCCGAGAATCATGGCCTCCCTATCGCCTGGAACACTCGGACTGATCAGACACAGGGCCCTTCAACCGTGAAGTCTGCCAGGTCCTACACCTGAATAACGAGAACGCCGAACCCGTTGTGTTCAAGGTATGGATGGCCCAACCCCCTCAAAACATTGATCGCATACTAATCATGGGCTCTGGAAATAGGTCAAAACCACCGCACCGAAGCAGTACGCACCGATTAACTCCCTCCGTTCCGATTGTTGGATGACAACTAATCACCCCCTAGCTACTGTGTTCGACCGAACTCCGGCCGCATTGAGCCTGGAAAGAATGTGGAGGTCCAGGGTGGGTTGCTCTTTGGCAAATGTCATATCTTTTCCCGGTGACAATCTTGTTAACACTTCTATTCAGTCCTTCTGCAGGCTATGAAGGATGAGCCTGCCAACGATGCCAAGTGCAAGGACAAGTTCCTGGTCCAGACCGTCGCAGTTACCCGTGAGATGGAATTCTCGAATGTCACCTCCATTGTACGCCAATATCCCCGAACTATTGGATCTCGCACACGTGCCATTCTAACTAATGCATAGTTCGAGAAAGCCTCTAAATCGGCGATCCAAGAGCGCAAGATCCGTGTGAACTGGTTGCCTGTGGAGGACGCTGAACCTGCCGAGCAAGGGGCTGAAGCCAATGGAACCGTACGTTTCCCCGTCCCACGCAACGTGCCCAATCTGTATATGGATAAATGATTGACCATATGCTACAGAGTGTCCCCGAAGACGAACCCCCCGCCTACACTTCCCCTAACGCTACTTACGAGACACCCGCTGTGGGCTTGACCAGCAAAGCCGCCAACGACACGTCACCTATCCCACCGCCGGACTTTAGCGACAAGCCCAAGCGCGAACTCCTTAGTCCACAGACTGAGTCTCCTGCCACGTCTTCGAAAATGGCCACTTCTCCGTCTAGCACCGACCTGAAATCGCAACTTGCCGATGCCAACTCTCAGATCCAGAGACTTAAGGACAGGCTCGCGGACCAGGGGCTCCGGCAGAGGAAGATCCCCGGCGAGACCGAGAAGTCCACCGCGCCAGCTTTGCAACAGCAATCCCAGCCCGTCGAGGCGGGTGTGCCGGTGCAGGTGGTTGCGGGCTTGTGTCTGCTAAGTTTCCTGATTGCCTACTTTTTGTTCTAGCCACCGATCGCTTCCTCACCCCCTTTTTTTTCCCTTTTCATTCTTGTTTTCCAATTCACTTCTGCAAATTTCCTCTATTGCCTAGTACCCATTTTACTCTACAGACCAACTGTATTCCCTTCTAAAGTGTTTCCTTTTATCTTCGTTACATGCTAGCATCAGCATCGAGTTATGTCTTGATCGCTTCTTTTTCTATTTACTGTCTATGTGCCCAGCTCATATTCACTTTCCTCTCGTTGTGGCTTCTCATTTCCTTTTTTCTTTCCTCCCTTTTCGCCTTATTACGAGATGACCCAAGTGGGAGTAGCGAGTCCACTTCCATAAATACGATTACCAAAAAACACCCAAATTCCTCCAGAACTTCTCAGACGCTCTGTCTGTATTCTCATGCCGTTGTCGTCCGACAGGTAATCAGTATGCCACAGTGTGTCTGCAGTGCTGCACAGGGGATATGAGATCTGTGTTGGTTGGATTCAGGTCCAAGGGTTCTGTTCTCATCCATCCATCTTGTCTTTACGCTTCGACTTGCCATGGCTTTGTTTTTTCCCATAAACCTCCCCCCCCCCCCTTCGATGTGTTCTGTTTCTTTTGTGTTTTTGCTTCCCAACAGCGAGTAAATTAATGAGACGAATGTCTGCCTGCGTCAACCCGGACACGCCGGTCACTTATGATGACGCTAGTGAATGTTCTATTTATTTATTTATGTATGTGTGTGCGTGTGTACTTCCCTGTCGGTTTCTACTATTTGTATGATGCTATTAGCTTGTATTTTATGTTGTTTGCGTGCATTTTCTATTTCTTGTCTGTCTGTGTCAGGGTAGTATATTTTCAAGAGAAATCTATGAGTTCAGCGCGCAAGAAAATTGTCAGAAGTACAGTACATCAAATCATTCTAGTATATTTTGATACATTCATTGCCCATATTCATATCAACAAGACCCCGGGCACCAAGGTAACAGACCATATCATATATTGTAACAGATGGCGAAGAAGAGGCGAGGCAGGAGATTAATTACGAGTACGTTCAACTCTGAAGCTCGCTCTCCTTCCACCCATCCCCTGACTCGTCCGGACCAGCCGACGCGGCAGATATGCCCTCACCACCACGACCACTTTGGGTACCGCCTCCGCCGACGACTCGACCGCCCTGAGCCCGCTTCACGCGACACCACATGCCAACGTTCTTGTCCAGGATGAAGGTCCAGATCACCCACACCCAGCTGTGGTGGCAGGGCAGCGGCTCGTAGAATTCCGCGGCCATGCGGTGCAGCGCATACAGCTTCGTCCAGGGGATGGCGGGGAAATCGTGGTGCTCGTTGTGCAGGCCGACGTTGTAGGTGAAGATGTTCAGGGGGCCGTAGTAGGAGTAAGTCTCCGGGGGTGGCAACGAGTCGAGAGGGTGGGGGTCTTGCTTCTTGTTCTGTTTCTGGTACTCAATGGACTCGGTGCCGTGTTGCACCTGAGAGAAGAAGTAGTGCTCCGCGATGAAGTGCCCGGCGCAGGGGTGCAGCGAGCCGGCGAGGAAGGAACTGGCGATCAAGTAATAGAATGGCTGCAGAGAACCGCCGCAGAGCTTGGTGAGGGCGAAGTCGAAGGATAGTTGCACGAACAAGTTCACGAGGTGGATGATGGTGAACGGAGGGCTGTAGACGAACATGGGACGGAGGGCGTAGAAGAGGATCTGGAAGGTGCAGAAGAAGGCTTTGCCCAGGAGAGAATCGAGGAGGAAAGCCTCCACGGCCGTGGGAAGATCGGTATCCAGGCCAGTGACGCCGAGGGACTTGTGGTGAGTGAGATGGTAGGGCTATCGGACGGAGAGTCTACATTAGCACGAACCCTTCAGGTCCTTCTAGATTGCAAGCCATCACTCACCCGGAACGCAGCACTGTAAGGCACTCCAATTGGTAGATTGGCAAAAATGGCTAGCAGGCGGTTGGCCAAAGGAGATCGGAAGGCCAGGTTGTGAGAGATCTCATGGATAGCCAGGAACAGGTTCTGGTTCGCCGTCGCACCAATTATATACGCCGTCGCGAGGAATTTCCAGGACAGGATAGACGTATCACGAAGCAGATATGCGCAGCAGATCTGCAGTGAGACGACGCCCAGTACCACATACTTGGTCAGCGGTTCGGGTCCGCAGAGCTTGGTTACCTGTGTAGAAGGGAAGGCCGGTTAGAAAGGCTAGCTATCGGAATCCATTGGACGGCAGTATGTACCTCGGGGTGGGCTTTTATGATGGCCTGACGTCTAGACCGATGCGGTTCTTCCGTATACGTCCAAAAGAAATGATCATCGACAGCGGACGTCTCGGGGGGAGGGACTCGGGGAGAGGGCTTCTCATCGGCAGCGGAGCCCTTCTTTGCGGCGGACACGCGGAGTTGCGGTGTGGGCGCCGTAGCGACGACGGAGGGCATGGTAAAATGGGAGGATAGGGGGAACGGCGAGATTGAGAGGATGAGGAGAATCTACGCCATCGACGGGAGGTGAAATGGAAAAGGGAGAGCGAGAGAAGGCCGAGAAAGCGGAAGAGGGTGGAGTGATCCGAGAGTGCTCTGATTAATCGCCGCAACGTGAGCCTTCCGGAGTCACGCTTTCCACGTGGGGCTACCCGTCGCCACGGATGGGCCGATTTCAGGGCAGTTTCAGGGCAGTGTTCAAAGTGTTCTTTTCTGTTGTTTCTGTAGATACTTGATGTGGCATTTGCTTTTGGGAAATTTATACTATAGACAGTTCGTTCATAAACATCTCGCTTCATTGAGTATATCCATCCAGGTCCTCTTCATCCAATGAAGGCCTACTCAGTAATCGTCTCCACGACTGATCACTTCCTTAACGTTGGGTCGAAGGACAATGGTCTGCATCGATGGGTTAGTCCACACTATGAGGGTCAAGCAAGGAAGAACCGAGGCCTTACATGTTCATATTGGGCTGTGTATGAGCCCTTGATATCACACAAGGGCGGGTAGTCCTGGACAATGCCGGATGACACCAGGTTGTTCAACTGAAAGACATCGTTAGTCGGTCGCATATGCATCAATCCTCAGTCTCAACTTACCCCGAGGAGGTACTTGTCCTGGCCCAGTCGATCGAGATACCGGCGGCAGAAAGGCAGGGTGCCGAAGTTCTTGTTGATCACATTCAACAAATTCTTGGCCGAGGACAGACGCAGCGGCACGGGCTGCGCGTTGGGGTCCAAAGCATAATGAGAGGTTTCCATCTGGAACAAACTGTGTTAGTCTCTCTCGAAATCCAATGGACACCAGGTTCTTCCAACTTACATCTTCTCTCACGTAACCCTTTCCGGTACTACCGAAGGTTTCGATGGCAAACACCTCGCCTTCCTCCATCTTGGTCTGGTCTCCGCCCTTCACGATGGGGACGCTCTTGCCACCGTGAATAATGTGCTGGTCAATGTTATGACCGTTGAGGTTCCTGATACATTTCACAGGATGCATGGTGCCGTTGAGTTCCACCTCGTAGCTTTCCATGGCCTCCTGGATGGCGGCACCAATATCGCTCATACGGACGTCAATACCCGCCTCCTATATCGAGTCGTTAGTTTGCAGAGTCCCTGGAAGAACAAGATGCAAGGGCGTCCGGGATGGTCATACGCGAATTCCAGTGTTGGTGGCATCCTTGACGGCTTCCAAAAGGGGGTCATACACCGGGTCAAAGGCAACGGTAAAGGCACTGTCGACAATGCGGCCGTTCAGGTGGGCGCCGAAGTCAACCTTCATCACATCACCCTGCTGCAACACCATCTTGTTGCCCGCGTTGGGGGTGTAATGGGCAGCGCAGTGGTTGATGCTCAAACCGCAAGGGAAACCCATACCACCCTTGAGGTTGTCACCTTCCTCAAGACCCTGGTGGCCGGTCAAAGCACGCACGGAGTCCTCAATGCCCTCCGCAATCTCCGTCAAAGTCTGGCCTGGTTTGATGTTCTTCTGCGCATACTGGCGGACCTGACGGTGCACCTCAGCTCCCTGGCGGTATTCCTGCAGGAAATCATTGTTCATGCGGTCGAGGTAGCGCTTCTCCTCGTTGGTAGTTCGGTAAGAATTTTCGTTCTTGTACTCGACAATCTCGCCCTCGGGGAATTGGTTGTTAGGGAATAGGTTGGCGACGGGGACCCGCGGAGGCGAGCTCTGGACCTTGGCACCACCCTTCTTCTTCTTCTTGCTCTTGCGCTTCTTCTTTTTCTTGGCAGCTGGGTGGCGGATAAAGAACCGGAATCAGCACATAGCGGGGGAGGGGAAGAATCGATCGGGGGAGCGTCCGACAAACATACCTCCGTTGGCAGCGCCTTCGGCAGCAGGTGTTCCATCATCAGCCTCGTCATCGGAATCATCGTCCGCCTCTCCGGCTTCAGCTTGACCGGCGGCGGGAGCGTCGGCCTTTGCGTCGCCGCTCTGACCGTTCACTATAGGAATCTTATCAATTGAAAAATGTTCAGAATCGAACGGGTGGGGGAAAAGAGGGAGCCGCATAGCCACTTACGGTCAAGCTTCTGCAGCTTCTCGCTAGCCTGAGCAGCCATGGTTGTGGAGTGGTTGGGTGTGGGCAGACGTTGAGGGAGCGGAAGAAAGAAAAAATGAGGGGAAAGCCGAAGGAAGAATCGGGATTTCAGGCGCCAAGACTGACTTAATCAAGAGTCCGACTGTCTATACTTCTCGACATTTTGATTGCACCCGTTTAATGGGCATCTAGTGACCGATTCCATTCTACATCTCGGATTTTCTGGAGTCTACACATCTCGTCTGCCGTGATCATAATTGACCCCACCGAACACTCCCCTTCCCCTTCCTGAGCCGGGTGACGCGATCCTCGATTCTAAGGCAGCGATGACGCAGGGCCGATCAGCGGAATTCCACTCCCTCGTGCCTCGTTGCCTTCTTGCCTCAGTCTCTCCTCCGCTTTCGCTCTTGCTCTCGCTCTCTATCTTCCTCTCCCTGTCTCTCCCCCCTCTATTCTTCCTTTCCTTCTCTCAATTCTTCAATGTGAACCCCTCTCATCTCCGGCATGCCCTTTCCCCGCGTGACGACCGTCCCTCGACTACGGATTGCCCCTCGCAGTAGTTGTCGCCATTCGCCTCTCCCCAAGCTCGCAGCCACCTTTTCTACCACCGCCTCCTTTCGCTATGCCCACCGAGAACCCAATTACTATGACATTCTCGGAGTACCGGTGACAGCATCGGCCTCGGAGATCAAGAAGTGAGCGCCTTAATCCTCCCAGCTTTTTGTACTTGACCTGCCCAAATTTGGATCTCCAAGTGATCATCGTCGAAGAAGCATACATACCTACAGCTAGCTGTATCTTATCTGATCTCCCACTATTCCTCCACTACACCACTCTACTTTCACACCCAACCATTCTCCTTCACTTCCCCCATGGATAGCAATCCAATCCCAATTGCAAGCGAAACATAGGAAAAGAAAAATGAAATCCTAGCTTTTGTCAATTCTAACCCCTACTCCCTACCAGACAATTCTACTCCCTCTCCCTCCGCCACCACCCCGATCGCAACCGCGACGATCCCACCGCCTCCGAACGCTTCGCCCGCATCTCCTCCGCCTACAATGTGCTCGGCAACCACACGAAACGCGCCACCTACGATCGCGACCACGGCATCCTAGCCCAGCACATGTCCTCCTCGACACACAGCACCGCCCACCCCGGTCAACACCCCATGGGCAGTCACAGCAGCTACGGCGCCAACCTCCATAACACGGGCGGATCGTACGCCGGGTCCCGACCCGCCAGTGGCCTGAGTAAACGTCGCGGTCCCTTCCGTGGCCCGCCGCCGAGTTTCTATGCGCATGGGGGCTACGGGAATCGGAAACCGCCGCCGGGGGCCGGGGCGGGAGCGGGAGCGGGAGCTGGGTTTGGGGCTGGGGCGCCAGGAGGAGGTGGTCGTGTGCATGAAGACGATCCCACGTCGTTTATTGATCGGAATCCCGTGTACCATTTCAATGCCCGTGGTCACTACCGCACGCAGACGGCGGAGGATACTCGGCGGCAGCAGCGTCGGTCCCGCGAAATGGACTCTGCGTTGAATGAGCAGCAGATCGGCACCTCGGGGGACTTTGTGATGCGGTTCATCATCGTCTGTGGCATGCTGGTGGTATCGGCTGGCGTGGCGGGAATCACTCGATCATCCGGGGACGAAAAGAAGGCACGCAACGCCGCTGCACGTCGGAAAGATGAGTAGGTCTTCTCGGCATGCCTCATTCACGGCACATGATGTTTGTTCACTGTACATAGATTATATATAATCCACATTTAGATTTCTCAAGTATAGTCATATAGGCTGTCCCTCTAGCAACAAAGGAAATTTAGACTTGATTGATATACAATTATCGTCCACAACTACGATACATGATTAAATAGAAATGACATTCAATAACGACCCACTCTCTCCAGAAAGTTTCCTCTCGTCAGGACCAACCAGAGCGCAAACGTGACGGCATATCTAGCTATTATGTATGTTTCAAAATCTGCGACCCACGGGCTACACGAAAGGCCTCAGGAGTGAAGGGGGCGCCAATGGTATTTGGGCACATTTAAGCCTCGAAGGTGAAGCTGCCGCCAACCTTGTGGGCAGCCTGGTTGAGGTTCTGGGTATCGAAGGAGGCACCGAGGCCGAGGGTGACACCGGGGCGGAGGAGAACGTTGTAGGCCAGAGCGGCAATACCACGGTCGTTGATCTTGGCCTGTTCATCGCATGCGATTAGCCTAATCCCGGGGGGCAGCTTGCCGATGGAGCGAGAAAATCACTTACCTTAGCGAAGGAAGAGGGGTCCAGGCGGTACTTGCTGGCAACCTCAAGGCCGACGGAGTTGCCGACCTTGGAGTCCCAGGTAGCCTTGGCACCGGCCTCGACCTGAGCGTTGACGCGGTGGTAGTAGCTGGCGGCGAAGACGGTCAGGTTGTTGCCGGCGGTGATGGCAGCGGTGTACTGGGGAACGCTGTAGCCAACGGCAGCGGAGTACTTGGTGATGGCGGCCTTCTGGACGTCATAGCCACCCTCAGCACCGACGAGGAAGCCCTCGTGGCCCAGGACAGCGTCGAAGTTGGCGGAGGGGCCGTTGAGCAGGTCGAAGAAAGCACGGGCGTGCAGGTTGGGCTGCTTGAAGTGGAGGTTGAGCTTGGCGCCCTTGGACTGCTTGGCGGGCTGGTACTGGGTCAGGATCTCAGCCTTCAGGCCCTTGGCGATGTTGTTGTCCAGCTCGAGCTTGGTGTCGAGGGCGTTGGCGGTAGTCCAAGCCTGGGTGAGGGTAAGGCCTGAGCGGGGACGGAATATTAGCCTGACTGCATGATCACTTATCCTTGAGGTGAAAAAGAATAGGAACCGCTTGGACAAGACATGACCACACGAGAACATGAGTTCCATGGGTTTAGGCTCGCGCAGCGGTGTGCAATTGGGGTCGGGTGGTCTGCGTCGTAGGGGGCGTTTACCGGTAGGCTTGTCGACGTATTTGGCCTCAAGCTATTCGCAGAGAGATCTGTTAGAGACGGTTCTGTATTGCATCTGGTTGGTTGGATGACCAGGCTGGACTTACAGTGCCGGCAATGGGACCCTCGTGGGCGGACTTGCCCTTGACGTTGAAGGTGACGCCATTGGGGGCCTTGGACTTAACCTCGAGGCTGGCTAAATTGGGATTCCGTCAGTTGAAAGGCACTTAAAAGCTGAAAATCTCAATCGCAATGGCGAGCGAGAGCGGGCGAGAAGATGCATACCAGCGCTGGTGTGGTAGAAATCCTTGTTAAGGAGCTGTTGCGTCGATTGTTAGCACGAAAATCCCTTCCCGAGGAGCTGTCCTCAGCCAAGGTCGACAGCACGCAAGAGGACTGGGATTTCAGCAGGGCATACATCATTGGCCGCCTTGGCGATGTCGGAGAAAGCAGCAGGAGCAGACATTTTGAAAAGAGGGAGGGACGTTAGGGGGATGACGTCGAATTGAGAATGGAAACAGGAAGGATGATGGAGGAGGGAAAAGAGGGAAGGGAAGGAGAGAAAAGCGATGGGGGAAAGATGAGGTTGAGTCGCCAAACAATGGGGAAACCCACGGGAACTGGTTGCCGCTCTGATTGGCTGCCGCCCAGCCGCCGGCAAAAGCCGCAAAGTCCCGTGACGTCGATGCCTGGGGCCAGCAGTCTGACTCAGCCGTGCACTGGGGCAGCCTTTGGCATTGACCAGCGGTTTGTTGTCTTTCTCCATACTCGTGCTATTCTCCTTTCCAAGTCTCTCGCTTTGACCGCCGTTCCACTTCCACCTGTACGGTGTATACTGCACAGCCTGACCTGGCAGACCAGAACCGCAGGTGGTTCTCTCCGGTATCCATGGATTCCTCGCCAACCCGGCCCATGATCATCACCACCAAAGAACTCAAATTCAGCTTACTAGTTTACGAGGGCCGCTAATCATGGCCAAGGTTCATAAACCTACTTTGGAAGGGGTTTTCTTATCCCCTGGATGACCTCATGGAAATAAGGGAAATTGATTATTTTGATTTCTCGGGAGACCAGATGGATCTCATCCGCATCTATCCCGATAACATAACGCTTTTTTAGGCCCCCCAAATTAGGCTCTCGGGTAGTAACGAATCTATGCATGCTTCTATGCCAAAAATCCAAACCCCAAACAGGATGTATCCCAACGTTCATACAGTTTACTCGGCATCGTCGTACTTGGCGTTGTGGGTGGAAATGGCTCTGGAGACGCAACAGTCAGCAACTACAGACGAAGAAAGGGACAGGAGTTAGAACCGTGCTCTTGAGCACTTACCTTCCACTGGGATCGGTCTGCTTCGACCACTTGGGAACCCAACGTTCGACTGTGCCGGCACAGTAGGGCGGGAAATGCTCGTCGAACATCGTGCGGTACCAGTACCTATTTGAAGTCAGTCAAGTCCGCTCTCGTTACTAGCGTGGTCCGGTTCAGATCGGCAACATACGCTTCCTTGGTGTCGGGAATGTCGTTACCCCACTCGGGCTTGGGGTTCTTCATCATCTCATCGGTCACCTGCTGCTCGGCCTGGTCCTTGAGACCGTCGATCCAGCTGTAGCCCACGCCGTCGCTGAACTGCTCCTTCTGGCGCCAGAGGATCTTCTCGGGCAGGTAGGGCTTGTTGTCCGGCTCATCGGTGGTGTCGAAGGCCTTGCGCAGGATGTACTTTTCGATGCGGTCTCCGGTGATCATCTTGTCCTTGGCATCCGTACCCATGGTAACCTCGAGGAACTCCTTGTCCAAGAAGGGCACACGGGCCTCCAGACCCCAAGCGGAGGTGGACTTGTTCGCGCGCAGGCAGTCCGCCAAGTGCAGGTTCTTGACTCTCCGGACGGTTTCCTTGTGGAACTCCTCACGGTTGGGAGCAGCGTGGAAGTAAAGGTAGCCACCGAAGATCTCGTCGCTACCCTCTCCGCTCAGAACCATCTTGACACCCATGGCCTTGATCTTCCGGCTGAGCAGATACATGGGAGTGGAGGCACGGATGGTGGTAACATCATACGTCTCCAGGTGGTAGATGACATCCGACAGAGCGTTGAGACCGTCCTCAATGGTGAAGGTGAAGGCGTGGTGCTTCGTTCCGAGGAACTTAGCAACCTCGAGGGCCGCTTCCGTGTCGGGGGCACCGGGAAGACCGATGGAGAAAGAGTGCAATTGCTGGAACGTAGTGACGCTGGACAATTCGTTGCTGTCGTCAATACCAACCAGTTCCGAGTCGCCCGTCTGGTTCGCGAGCGCCTTCTTGGCGGCTTCTTGCGAGCGCAGGTTTTCACGCTGGGCAATCGAGGCAACCAGGCTGGAATCCAGACCACCGGACAGCAGCACACCGTAGGGAACCTCAGCCATCAGACGCTTCCGCACGGACTTCTCCAAGGAATCACGGATGACCTTATAGTCGACAGGGGTGGAAGGGATCTTCTCGGCGTCCCACCAGCTGGGCTCGAAATACCGCTTCATGGTGCCGGTCTTGGAGTCATAGACGTGACCAGGAGGGAAAGCCTCGATCTTGTCGCAAACGGGGTGCAACGACTTCAGCTCGGAGCCGAAGAAGACGGCACCGGGAGTCTCAGAAGACCAGCCGATGTAGAAGCTGGTGATACCGATGGGGTCGCGCGCGGCGATGACGCGGTCCTCCTTCTTGTCATAAAGAACCCAGGAGAACATGCCGTCCAGGTGCTTGGGGGCATCGAGGCCATGTTCCATATACTAGAGCTCATCAGCTTTTTGTTCTGCATTTCTCCACCTGCGCCTCACAACCTCCATCGCACATACCAGAGGGATGATCACTTCGCAATCCGAGTGGGTCTTGAAGGTATATTGGGTCTTGAGCTGCTTTCTCAAGATACGGTGGTTATAGATCTCGCCGTTGACGGCCAGGGCGAGGGAGCCATCGTCGTTGACCAGGGGCTGGGCGCCGGAGTCTATGTGGCAAAGGGTGTGTTAAACGAGCAAACTCGGCAGCGGGTCTCTTGGCATAGTACGTACCGACACCAACGATACTCAGACGCTCATGGGCAAGGACTGCAATCTCAATTAGCTAAACCGAGCAAGCTTGTTTCCTTCGGGACAAACTGACTGGTTCCCTGAGGGCTCTCGGAGATGAAGTTTCCACCTATTGTCGTTCGGTTAACATGCAACGGCTCCGGAATACCGAGCACCGGTATGACTCACTCCAGTCGGGACCGCGATGGCGCAAACTGAAAAGAACAGACAGTCAGTACACGAAATATGCGACGTGGCAAGGAAACAGGGGAAGACTTACGCCTTGGCCATGCGCAGGGCCGTAGGCTTGAATTTTTGCACATCAGGATGACTGTCGCGGATGATGGTCAGCTCGAAATGACACTATACTAGAGGCGACCCTCCTCTGCCCCGGAATTTCGCGGGGGTTGACCGAGCCTGGACAAAGAGGAAGAAGTGAAGTGAAACATACCGGTGACACGCGAAGATACCACACATGCTGGCTACAAGCAATTGACTGCACAGAAGCACAGAAGTAGACAGCAAAGATCCGCGGGAGAGGAATGGAAGGGGGGGCAAAAGAAGGTTGGAATTAACTAAGTATGGGGGAGGGAGCCAGCGAGGGAAATTCTGGTTTAAATTGTTCGGCGGGGCGGGAATCGAGGGGCGATTTCGGCCACAAATCTTTCGACTGACTCACCGATAAGATAACCGCTCCCGGCAAGTCCCCACTGGGAAGCCTTCAGCAGTGAATCTGTCCATGCTTTGCGATGACTTTGCTCAATTGCTTGTAAATCATCAGTTACAATTGGTCGTCAGTCCTCTACGCCACTCCGGCACGCAATGTAGTCTACTACGGCCAATTTGTGAACGAACCCAAGGAAAAGAAAGAGCCCTAATGGAACCAAAAAAGATCATAGTCTTCGACGCCTTGCTCGTCCGCCCATTTTAGTTCATTATAAACTCCTTGCTCGCTAGAAGAAAAGAAATAAAAAAGATGTTCCATCGCCACGAAATGCGATATGCAGCTTGACTGATTCCCAATGACGGCAGTACCCCATAAGTGAGTTGTCTTGCGCGCAATCCTCCCAAGAATCACCGCTCGCAGGTCCCCGACATCAGTCCGAGATTCGACCGATGTCGACACAAGAGTAGTAAGGAAAGAGTAAAATGCAACGTGACATCTAACAGAAGATGAAGAAGATGATGATGATGGAGGAAAAACGACAAGGACATAGGAGAGGATATCATGGAACAGAAAAGGAAAAAGGAAAATTAGCGCATGTCCATTAATCTGCAGTCCCCGCTCCTTCTCTTAATGCCCTGGGTTCTCCTTCACGATCTGCTTCACTTTGCTTTCATAGGCCGCCCGGTCCCGTCTGAACATGTTGTAGGCTTCGGCCTGCGCCGGCGATTCGGGGTTGGGATCGTTCAGGAGCTCTTGGATACCGATCAGAATTTGCTTAATCGTTATGGCGGGTCTCCAGGCCTCTTCCTCGTTGAGGATCGAAAGACAGACAGTGCCGGAGGGATAGACGTTAGGGTGGAAAAGCGGAGGGTTGAATTTGCCTAATTGCGACAGCGCAGATGGACATGGTCAGCTTCTTTCTCCTAGACAGGCGCAAAGTAGATGAAGATGAAGGCGGGGTTTTGGTTTTGCTTGGGTTTTGCAGGTCATGACCAGGGACTCAGCAAGACGTACATTTCGGAGGTTTGGTGGGATACTCTGTACGGAGAAAGCGCCGGATTAGTCTCTGCTCCCAAACACATCGCCACCTCAGACCAGGCAAGAACTCACCGTCGGGGAAAATGACGTCCAGCTTGAACATTCCACCCTCCCAGATCGTATCTTTCTTTCCCGGGATTCCACACTCCCATTTCTTCAGGTCCAGGACACCCTGGGCGTTGCGGTTGGGTTTCGCATAGAAGCCGAAAGGATGATCACGGCGCCATTGCTTCCTGTGCGGGGTCAAAGTTCGCGATTAGCGCCTGTAACCAGGCCGGAAATTGGAGATGATGCGACGGGCTATGGCGCGAAGCTGCTACGTACCTCTCCTCAGTCAGGCGGTTTTGACAGAGCGACATTTTCGGTGGCTTCTTAGCTTTCCTTCGCGACGAGGGGTTTCGAGACCTTAAGAGGGAAGGAAGATGGAAGTAAGGTCTTAGAAGGTACAGTAGTGCGACAATCGAAGGGGATGGAAGATTTGAGAGGGAAAGATAAGTGGCAATGAGAAAATATGAAGAAGAGGACAACCAAGGAAAGAATACTATCTAGTGAATGCAAGAGAAGGAAAAGCGCAAGCAAACTGTGACGACACAAGAGAAGTTGGAGGAGGAATTGAAAGGCTGCCCGGATGTACAGCGGGTTGGATGCGCCACGGCCAATCACGGGTGGGCCAGTCACCTGATCAGCCCCCGGTCACCTGCAGTTATGAACAGACTATCCACAGTCACGGAGAGTGTTAGTAACTATGAACTATGAACTATGAACAACTTATTGTACGTGGGGAAAGTACCCTGCCTCCCTTTGTTTGCTGTCCCCATGTCTTTGTGCGATGCCACAAAGGAATCAATATGAACCACACCTCCGATGATGCGGCAATCTATCAAATAAAGACTCGTGGACAACAACAGGGCGAATCCCAGGACAGGGCTTCCTTGTGGGTGTTGGGCATCTTTGGGAGCCCGTTGCCCTACCTTTGAACAAGTAGACTGAGGCGATCGCATCGCCCTAATATAAAAGCCCAGAGAGCCGTCCATGTCATACATGTCCCATCTCCCATACTTTTCATGGAATTTCCCTTATCCTACCAAAGCTTTGTTCTACGTCCATAATCATAATTACCGTTCCACCTCCTAGTTCATGTAGAGCGGTACAGCACGATCGGAGATTTGCTGCAATGTGCCATGCAATTATCTGGTATCATGCCATTTGTTCCCACACAACTCGATGCTATAATTCGCGCATTGCATGTCAGAGTATCCTCCGCACGGGCTATAGCTGTCCTGAACTCAGAATGTGGGAAATTCCCATGATCGGCCTGTGTCGCGAGTGCAAGATTCACAGGTCTCAAAAGACGAAGCTGTTTGCCCTGATGGCAGACATGACAGACGGGCGATCTTCCACAACTACAAGCATGCACGAAAGAAGCCCAACCAGCTCCCCGACCAAGAGTGATGCATCAGTCCTCCGCTGTACAAATCGTGCTGTGGACGAAGAGATGGATCTCTTCAACGAAATCACTTTTTGATGGTTGGGATAGACTGGACTGCCTGGACTTTCTTCTTTCTTGCTTTTCTGGGAGGGGCAAAAATATTTGGGAGAAAGCGATGAACCTTGACGAAATTTGTTGGAGTCATTTGGCCAAAACTGTGATGAAACAATGCCATTGATTCCAATGATCAGTTCCATGATATCCACTTCTATGCTATGGTCGGTCATTCATAGATGCCCTGCTCGAATTTCTGCGAGTCGAAAAACCGAACGGTGATGGCATTGCCGTTGAATATTCGTCCTTCTAGAGCATTCACAGCCTGACCAACCCATTTGTCAGTAACAGAAACACAATATCACTACAATGTCTAATGACTTACTCGTAAAGCCGATAGCTGGTTGGTGAATTTGACAAACACCGGCACGGGAGGACCCGAGCTGCGAGAGATGTAGACTCGTTCCACATTGCCGTACTGAGGCAGGTTAGATCCAAGAAACACTGCGTGAAAGGACTGGGTAAAAGCATCTCACCTTCTCTGAGCATTCTTCGCCGATTTCCTGCATCAAGCCGCCCTCCTGGTTACCCTCCAGCTCGGCCTCAAGGTCCATGCCATCCAGCATGCCTTTCATAATGATGACCTCGCTCATGGGCCCAAACTTGCCCTCGTCTTCTTTCTTCCTCGCGCCGCCGATGATCTTGCCCCTGCCAGCAGGTGTAGCAAAGCCACCGCCCTCCGAATCCGGTCGTTTCTTCTGCTTTTCGACCTTGACTTGCAACGGATTGACAATCCCGGAGCCTGATGCGCCCAATCCAGAGCCCTTTGTCCAGCCGTATTTGGCCAGGAGTCGTTCGGCGAATCCTTGTTGTCCAGGCCGTAGCGATCGCTGACCGTCCCCTTCCGTTTCGTCTTCTGCCGGTTGCTCCTTCGCAAATACTTCCTCGAGCTCAGCCTCCGAAGCAGGAATGTCCTCCGGAGGGGGAGGTAGGCTGTATCGGACCGGAGCACGGGATATCGTCGCTGAGGCCGGTTGTAGCGCGTCCAGGGCCCGAGGAGGAGCTGGTTCCGCCGTTGTCTGAGGGCCGGCGGACATCTGCAGCCGTCGCAGGTAGGCTTCCTCTCCTGTGGGATCATCCGGCACGTGAGCAGCTGGTTCTGCAGGTGGAGGGGGGACGGAATGATCGGAGACGCGGCGTTCGAGCGGTGGTGCAGGCGGATGATCGTTGAGATTCGGGGGAGGCGCAAAGTTACTCGGAGGGGCGAATTGTCCTATACATTATCAGCCTTCGACACATTCTCTCTCTCTCCCAGGAGCGGAGCATAATTAGTATAAGCGCACGGTTCATCGGTCTCTCATAATCATCGTCACTCAGCGAATCCCGACTCCGCGATCGCGCCATGCGATGTGCATAGAGGCGATCCTTCCACTCCCGGACCTCGGATATCTGCTCATCGCTGTGCTTGTATCCTTCATAGTTATTGGGGCGTGACGGATCGTAAATATCGTCCCAGTTCTGCATCATCTCCTGGGTATCTCGGTTCTTCTTGCGCTTTTTGCGCCCACCGCGCTGTCGCTTCGGACCGGCATAGAATCCATTCACATCGTCATCCTCGGTCGCGGCCCAGTCTGCAAGAGACGTCTTGACCGGGGCGTTCGCAGCGGGGGGCTGTGAGGTCTTGGGCAGATTCGGTTTCGCTTTAGGTTTCTGCGCGGAGAGTTGTGGTCGTTTTGTCGGTTGGAATCGGAGAGAGGCTGATATCGGTCGAGAACGAATACCAGTGAGCAAATCAACGTTGCGAAGGGAAGGCTGTCATGTAAGGGAGAAATAGTATATACCAGAGTTCAACTGCTGTTGCTTTTTGGCCGTCGATTCATCCGTCGGCACTTCGCCCTCGGCAGCTTGCTTGAAGACCACGGGAGCCCGTGAGATCGTACCGGGAGACGCAGAGTCGGCGGAGGGATCCAGGAGGTTAGCATATAGAGATAGCATGCCCCCTGGTTTTGAGGGGGTAGAGTCGGACGTCATGGCTGCATGGACGACAATGGAGATGCGATCTACTTCGTGGTTATCGGCAGTCAAGATGGATTGGGGCTGGCAACGAACGCTGGGTTTGTGCTGTTTGTCCGGTTTGCCTGGTTTGCCGTTGTCCGCTGACTCAGCCACCGGGGGACTCCACTGCCAACGGCGCCAAGTGGATTCGCTCCGTCCTTCCTTAATTACGTGCATTCGCTCGTGGAAAGACGGAAGCTCAGTCCCCCTGGCTCTGCACTCCGCGGAGGAGTCCGGAGTCACCGCTGTCCCTGGGGCAAATGAATAATGATTAAATAAGGGAGTCGGTGTCAAACCAACAATCTGGTAGCCTGACTCTGAATCTCTTCTTTCCTCCTACTGACATGTAGTTTCTACCACTTAAATCCAATATACCATATTTACTTCACTTTATTTCTGCTTCTGCTACTACTGCTGCTTATTCTTCATCGTTGATCCCTGTTAGCCAAGACAGACATCCCCGGTCTCCATAATGACAGTCGCCACTACTTTGGCTCGGTCGTTCTCGTCCGACAGCAACGACGTCGCCATCCTGGTTCCCAAGACCCCCGCCCCCCTGTCGATTTCCTACTCTCAGCTGCATGCCCATGTCGCCAATTTCCAGGCCAAGCTGGCTAGCCTGGGTGTTACCCACGGCGGTGCGGTGTCACTGGCTCTCGTCAACTCTTACGAGTTCATCGTCGCCTTCCTAGCGGCGTCATGGCAGCGCGCCATTGCCGCTCCGCTCAACCCCGCCTATAAGCAGGACGAGTTTGAGTTCTACATCGACGATCTCAGCTCGACCCTGGTGCTGATTCCCCAGGGGTCGTTTGTGCAGAATGGTCCGGCCGTTCGGGCGGCGAGGAAATACAATGCGGCCATCGCCGAGTGTTACTGGGATGGCTCGGATATCGTTCTGGATGTCAAGGAGCAGGGGAAGCTGGCTGGCAATCGAGGCGTTGGGGTCCATGATGCGCAGCCCGATGACGTTGCTCTTGTGTTGCATACCAGTGGAACGACTGGCAGGCCCAAGGCCGTATGTTTCCTCCGTGCAGTCCGTTTCACTACTTCCAGGATGATGCTGATCGACACAGGTTCCACTCACCCATAAGAATCTCACTACCACGATGAGTCCGTGGCTTCCCTCGAGCCTATCACCGTACCGTTCTTGTTCAGCTCAACTAATTACGATGCAGGAAACATTCGAGATACATACCAACTGACCCCGCAAGATCGCACCTACTTGGTGATGCCGCTGTTCCACGTCCACGGTCTCTTGGCGGCCTTCTTGGCACCTCTATACGCCGGAGGATCGGTGGTTGTGCCGGAAAAGTTCTCCGCGTCGCACTTCTGGTCGGACTTTGTCAAGTACCAGGCCAACTGGTACTCGGCCGTGCCCACTATCCACCAAGTCCTCCTCAAGACCCCCTTGCCCAACCCCATCCCTCAGATCCGCTTCATCCGCTCATGCTCCTCTCCGCTGTCCCCGAAGACGTTCCAGGATCTAGAACGGACGTTCAACGCCCCGGTCCTGGAAGCGTACGCCATGACCGAAGCCGCCCACCAGATGACCAGCAACCCGCTTCCCCCGGGCAAGCGGCAACCCGGCAGCGTTGGGATCGGGCAGGGTGTGGAGATCAAGATCCTCGACCAAGCCGGCAAAGAGGTGCCACAGGGCAGCGAGGCCGAGATTTGCGTGCGCGGCGAAAACGTGACCAAGGGTTACCTGAACAACCCGACGGCCAACCAATCGTCCTTCACGAAGGACGGCTTCTTCCGCACTGGTGACCAAGGGAAGCAGGATGCAGACGGCTACGTGATCATCACGGGGCGTATCAAAGAACTCATCAACAAGGGCGGTGAGAAGATCAGTCCTATCGAGCTGGACAACACTCTCCTGCATCATCCCCAAGTGGCGGAGGCCGTGTGTTTCGCCATTCCGGATGAGGGGCACTACGGAGAAGATATCGGGGCGGCCGTGGTGCTGAAGGGTCGCGATTCGGCGACAGAAGAGGAGCTGAAGGCTTGGGTGACTAGTAAATTGGCCAAATTCAAGACTCCGAAGAAGGTCAGTCTATTCAATGCAATTTCCCCGTCTTCAGACACGAGAGAGAAACTATGAGCAACCCCCTGAAGCTAACCCGCATTACAGGTCTGGATAGTAGCGCAGCTCCCGAAGACCGCCACGGGCAAGATCCAACGACGCAAAGTAGCAGAGACGATGTTGACGCCAAAGGCGAAACTATAGACAGGGCGAGAATGGCATTGCATGCATGGCAAGAGTATACTATAGTATACCTATATGTATACTATCTAGATATATCCCCACAGAATCTAGATCCTCACAGCCCAACCCTAACGGCGGATTTGAACTATAATATCAAGCATTAGCTTCATTCTCTGAACTCCATCGCATTCTCCATCTCCTCGAATAACAAACATAAACCAAAAACCAAGCAAACCCCCACATCCCCGAAAAGAAGAAAAGACACACCAACCGACCAACCCAAAAGAACCGAACGAAACCAAACCCCATAAGAAAGAAGAAAAAAAATGAAGAGAGAGAAAAAAAAAAAAAAACATACCGGAATGACCTGCGCATTCTCAACATCCCACACGCCCGAGACGGTATAGATATCCTTTTTAATCAACTCGATCGCCGCCTCCTTGCTCTCGGCTAGGTACATGATCGCGCTGCCTTTGAAGGAAGGCGGTTTGCCTTCTGTGGGGTGGGAGTCGAACATTGCTCCTTTTTTGGGTTGTCAGTCTTTTAGTTTTTTTGTCCCCTTGGGTCTTGTTTCTTGTTTCTTAAGTGAGTAATGTTGGGTTGGGGTGGGGTGGGTAGGTGGGTAGGTGGGTGGGTTATCATGTATTAGCTGGGTTTAACTTTGATTTCGTCTCGAGGGTGTAGGTAGGTAGAAAATCAGGTTGGTAGTAAATAAAAAGAAGAGGATAAGAAGGTGCAGGGAAGAGAAACATAAAGTATACATGACAAGGTAAAATCAAAACAAAAATCAATAACATTAAAGACATCCGTTATGGAGAGAGAAGAAAAGTAAAGATAGATAAACATACCACCCAAAACAGCCTGACCGGCCTTAACCAGTGGTTGAATACCCTCGAGATGTTGTCTACACACCATAAAGCATCATTTTGATCAGTTGATAATCCTCTCAAGATGTCCATTCCAAGTTACGCTGCAAAGAACTGGATACTCACGGGCGAACTTCTAGGCGTTTTGCCAAGGTCCCGGGTTTATCGGGGATGATGCAGAGGAATTCGTTCAGGGGGGCCATTATGTATTATTCTTGTGGAGTTTGTTCAAAGGGATCTTAAAATCAGGGAGGGGATGAGGTAGATATTTGAGGAATAGCTGAAGGTGGATGGAGAAGAGAAGAGGGGTGGATTTCAGGTGGGGTCGCGGTGGTTCGGCCTCAGGCAGTCAATTGGATATCAGGGAAGATCAATATATTTTATTTATACAAACTTGGCCTGTGGCTCACGACCGTATATAAAGATTAAATATATATATAATAGCTGTGAGCAGAGATACAATTATCTTATACAATCTATTTATCTATTAAACAATATCTGGTTATATAAGAATCATAAGCTGCAAATACGCAGACTTGTTAAAATCTAGCTATAGAATAAGAATAGGCAGGTATATGCTCACGTGCAGATGTCTGGAACAGATACCATAGGAGCAAAATCTACATAAATACTACGAGAACCCAGAAAACACTTAATACAACCAAATACCTCCTAGCTACAACGATCATTCAAAACGATATAGTTAGGTATATCGTTTGCACCTAGTATACTATTTGAACTCTGTATCCAAGTCTCCTCCAGTATTCAAGATTTGCTGATTCTCAAGGTACCCATTGCGGATAGCATAGCCCATCACAGTGCAGTAGTAAGGGTCAAGATAATCATGATTCGAGCCCTTATCCAACAGGAACTTTATCATCCTTGCCGAGCCGCTCATGGCCGCGTAGTGTAAGGGAGTACCTAGACCACTTCGTTCATTCATACAATAATTCGGCGATTCTTCATCTAACAACTTGTTGATTTGCAACCTGCTGTAGCTCGGGTCTTGGCTGTAGATAGATCGTAGCACCTCAAAGCCGTTACCTCTGGTTCGCATGGCAGCGTAGTGTAAAGGTTGCCCATGATGAGTTTGACCTCCTTTATCCAACAAGAATTGAACGCTTTCAGAAAGTCCCCCTCTAGCTTGCAGCCCATGTATCTAGAGGACAGTTTAGTTGTTTTGGAAACAAATTGTCCATATCCTGACCCACCCGCCGTTCTATGCGACATATTCGTTTATCATCCAGAACTCCGATGCACAGTCTATAAGGCTGGATAGCAATCCTCGATCGGTTAGCCCACACAGCCAGGGCCATACGCAACATCCCGTCTTCTATGACAACACTGAAGCCGACGTCCTTCCGTGTGGTAGCCCTCTGGAGGCCTCCACCTGCGGTCAACAGTCGGAGCCACGCAAGCGAAAGCCGCTTTCCCGAGTATCCTTGCGTGACATGCATATTATAGGACGGATTCGAGCAAGGCACGGTATCAACCTAGTTGATTGTGCGGCATTTAGTTGCAAGCTGTTCAGATGTTTAGAACAGAGCGGGACGAAGTTGAAGTCTTATTGAATATCTGATGATTGAAACTCTTAGTAAATTCCAACACAGTATCTCCATGAGGGGTAGCTTACGTACCTGGTAAAACTTGCATCGACAGCGGCAGCACTCGTCTGCAGTCGGATTTGTGTAGCGCTGCCGGGGTCCTGATTGATTGTTTTCGAAGGCATATAGCGCTACACAATGACCGATAGGACTGACCGGGTAGTAAAAAGTTTTCCAGTGCAGTAAACCATTCTTGATCGTTTCGAGATCGCGAGATCGAAGAGTTTCCAGGAGCGTAGCTTTGACAGTGATTGAATCAGGAAGCGGGGACGTAAGAAGCTGCTAGACGTCAGTTATACCATTTGATTGATTCTAGAGAAGAAGCAGACCTGTCAACGTTTCTAACGCAGGAAGCTACCATAGTCTATGGAGCGACGGGTGTCGGCCCTCCCCAAGTCAGAATCAATCTACTAATTTGCTTTCTGTAGCACGGATGGACGTTGGTTGATCTGGCTTAGAATGAAAGAAGATGCATCAAAGATTTCCAGTGCAGCCCGGGTTCAATAGAACTGATCATCAGATCATCTATTCCGTAGCATACTTGTCAACTATCACTACCAGACTTTGTGTCTATAAAGCTTTTCTAGGCCTGTCAAAGATATGAACCATATAACTAGAGATAAAAGGACAGGAAGTTCAGCTGAAGAGCTGGCCCAAAATGACGGGGCGGGGAATCTGGGAGTGGAGGTGACGAGAAAAGGGCGCAGCCGCAATTTCCAATGGCAAAAAAATAAAGAAAACAGGGAGTGGGGGGCGAGAGACGCAAACATCTTCGGAATAGGCCGGACCAAAGGTCGCGATCGCGTGGGTGTAGAATGTGGGAGGGGAGAAGAGAAGGAAGAAGAACTGGGAGGAGAGAGCAGAATAGCAAGAACGGTTCTTATATCTCGGAGTGATGCAAAACTAACCACAAGCGGCAATTCACAGGTCCCCCGTGTACATTCTCAAGAACTCTGGCCTTGCTGCAGCAAACTAACTCGGCTCATTCAGTCAATCAGTCAATCAATCAATCATAACAGCCCGACAAATTGTAGCCTATATATGTATGTACATGGACGCCAAGCACCATATGCCTGTTTCCTCGCGTTTGGCATCGATCCGGTCTGTTTCTGAACAATGCCCCAAGGACGTTATCCAGCCTGGTAGTTTCGTGAACCACGCAAGATGAGACGCATCATGCAGATCACCTTTCCGCCGACAGAGGTATCTTGCCTCCAGACCTGACGAAGGGGAACAACGGAAGCTGTCCAAGAACACGACCCAAGCCCGCAGGGCCTCCCAACGCAAGATCATGGCACAGTCCCAGTCATGACAAGAGCTCAAATCAACCTTCCCACTCCTCTCCCTCTATGAGCTTCAATACCGCTGAACATCACTGTTCTCCGTAGCGCCAACAAGAGTGAAAAAAAAAGAAGAAAATAAAAATAAAAAAGAGGCGGACAGTCCCCAACACGCGACATGAAGTTAAAAGGAATAATTACCGGAATCATGAGATTCCGTCTCAAACGTCCGTGGAAGAAAATGTGACAGTAAACTTTCAAAACGAAGAAGGCAGAAATGACGGCGAAGGGAAGACTCCATGCAATGTAACCGCCCAGTGACGGCGTCGGATATACACGGTAACGGGTATTTAGTGGTAGATGAACAGATAGACAAAGTGAAGCTGGCGCCCCCCATTCAAGGTGTCAGATTTAGTATGCTTTCCGACCCCCGAGGTTGCCAGGCTTCTCATCAGTATCGATATGCCACACGACGTAATTCGGCAGGCCGATGACTTGGTATCCTGCGCGCTTGGCCATCCTGGCGAATCCCTCGGTCTCGGCCTGGTTTTCAAAGGCGTACGCGGGGAAGTTGATTCCTAGGCCATTGTTAGCGCCAGGCTCCGTAACTCCCACGGAACAAAGAGGAAAGAGCGTAACATACCTGAGCGGTGGACGTCGGCCTTGACAAGAATGTTAACACCACCAATGCCATCCAGCTCAATCTCGACATCCTTGTCATTTCTCCAGTCACCCATGCCAACCATGTACTTTCGGCCGGTGTCGTACTCCTTGTAGCCCTCGGCCAAGACGGTGTCGGGGTCCAGAGTTTGGCGAAGACGCCGTCCCTTGTCAGATTCAATCCAGGAGTTGTAGTCAACTGTGCATCGGTCAGCAAACCATCCAGGTCGGGAGTCGGTTGGGAGTTCTTGTTGGATACTTACAGCGGCCCTCGATGTCAACGTCATCGCGATACCGATGGAACCAGATGTCTTCAAAAACAGTTAGCGTACGCCTCGGGGGTCAACGCGACAAGCGCTGAGAATCAGACAAACATACTCGGAACAAGGATATCACGGTCATGTGCCACGAAATCTTCGATGATGGTATCCGGGCTATCCGTGATATCGACATCTCTCCAGTACACCCAGGAATGCTCCGGCTTCATGGCCGAATAGAGCAGGTAGTTACGGGCGCGACCGATAGCCTTGCGACGGGGTCCTTGAGCGGCGAACGAGTGACGATCCTCGACGCTCATTTCAACGTCAGCGCCAAAGTCCTTCTTCACGATAGTCGCGCTGTGGAAGGCGACCTTATCGGCCTGCTCCTGAATGCGGTTCAATTCCGACACCAGAATTTCCAGAGTGTTGTCCTTGCAGTCGCCGACGAGGAAGCCCAGATCGATGAGATGGTGAGGGTAGGTGATCTTGTAGAGCAATTCGAAGTACTTGTCCAGGTAGTGAGCCGCATCTCTCAACGGCGTCAGGATAAGAACGCGTTCGTTGTTGGCGACCGCCTGAGGGCTCGAGTTGATTCCGTTCAATTCGACCTGGTTGATGGTGCTAGAGTTGACTTCGTAGGGTTTGTGGTGATTCAGGAGCACGGGCGATTGAGCGTGGCTGTTCCATTCGACCATCTCGTTCAAGGACATTTCCATCGGGGATTTAGGAGGACCGTAGCAGTAGAAACTAGAAGGCGCAGCGAGTCAGTCAAATTCAATGGCCCTTCCTTTCCCAATAATTGCGAATCGGACGGGTTCGCAATCCAGTTGGTCGGAGTGAAACGTGTCCCGGGGGCCTGGGAGAGGAATAAAGAAAAAAAGAAAAGAATACCTTTGCATTTCCGAAGCCGACCTGCTAATCCCACGCCAGAACAGAATCATCAAACCAGTCAGGGCAACCGACACGAGAAAACGAGTCCTCGTCACCAGGAAAAGAACGGCCCTCCATGGAGGCAATCGAGCCTTAGCCGACTTCCACGTCACACCACCCTTGGGAAGAAGCATCTTCGCGAGAAGGGAAAGAAAAGAGGGACGAAGAGACGAAGTGGATGAAGCGGATTATCGACGGATGACAAGCTGTCGACGCCCGTGATAGGCGACGATCGCGGGAGAGATTGGGGGTGGACGAGCAGGAGTCAATCAGAAAACGGTCGATAAAAAGTCACCCTGCGAGCGGAAAGCACACGAGTCGGAAATCGAGGGGGGGGGCGAGACGGGGCCTTCGGGGGAGAAATTAAGGAGCGACCGTCGACAGGGCCAGGCGTTGGCGTCTGAAATCCGGAGCCAAAGAGCCTCGAGGCGATAGAAAGTGGACGATCAGGATGGCGGAGAGGACGCGAAAGGAGGTCGATTGATGCGATTATGGAGAAGGGGAAAATCCGCGATCGCCGGGAAGGTCGAAAAAGGGTTTGGTTCGGCTTTAATAAAAGAAAAAAAAAAAAAAAAAAAAAGAGGTTGACTGGCGGGAAGCGGCAGGGAAACAACAGCCACGACGGGTCAAGAAATTAATCAAATTCAATTCAATTCAACATTAAACGAATGGACTGGCAATCGAGGGCAACGAGGGCACCAAAAGGAAGAAGAAAGAAGAAGAAAAGAGAGAAACAGAAAAAGCGAAAGAGGAAGAGAAAGAGGGCAGCAGCGACGAGGCTCGAACAGGATTCGTCGGTTGGGCCCGTTGCTTTTTATAGCACGTCGCAATCCCGTGGATTATTCTTCGATTGCCCAGCAGAGATAGAATGGGACAAGACCTGGAGAATACTGTCGATAGAGCTCTACTCAGTGATGCAGATGCTATCTCGTAGTCTATCTATGATCTATATAGTATCCCTTTACCCCGTGGGAAGCCGACAGGTGGTGTCAAAACCGGTGGACATCCACAGCGCCTGGACCAGTCGAGGCGGATTCGCTCGTTCTTGGCATCCGCAATAGGGGCTTTCTCGGAGTAGTTACTGTCAGTACTCAGTAAAGTATACAGGCTACAAGATGTGTTGAAGTTGGTCAAGATGAAATGAATTCATTTGCATAGCATTCTCTCTATTTCTGTTCTCCTTGCTCGTCGAACACCCATTCTATAACTCCCACAAATATAGCCTTGAAACACCGATAATTCACCAACTGTCGCTTAGTCCCATAAATCCCACAAAACGCGTACAGGCAATTGCAATAAGATCAGACACGCAAAATCAAGATAGAAACCGAAATCAGCCGTGTATGTATGTGTTTGTTAATAGACAGGCGGTTTATATATATCGATGGCCACTCAGAAGAGTGGTCAGATAAGGAAGAGGGCCAGCCATAGTAGTGGCCCTGCTTCCCAATATCAACAGCGAAAAGAAAATTATGTATGAAAAAGGAAAATTCACAAAAAGGAAATGAAAAAAAGGAAACAAGATAACCAACCCATACATGCCCCAACCTGACTTTTTTGGTTTTTGAATGTACACCACACCACGCCTTCTCCAGGTTCGCCCAAAATACAGTGGAAACGAGTGAAGCGAGAGAGATCGAACCGGTGGTGGAATGCCACTGCTCGATGACTCGATGAGACAGGGAAGAAACACCAATGAGGCTTGCCCCTGTCTCCCCAAAATATGTCAAGAATTGATGATACAACGCACACGCTATGCCAGAAAGGACGGTTGAATAGAAATCCCAAAAAAAGAACAACGGAAAAGTAAAAGAACCTTGGCTCCAGATCCACAGGATCCCCAGTCTATGTGCTATGCAAAGGAAATTCACGACGGGATGATGATCCCGACCAGACGCATCAGTCTAGGACTACCCTTCAAGGCGAAGGGATCACGGACTGGCGACGGGAATGAGGCACCGAATAGGTCGGCACATAGACTGGCGACGAAGGCCCCGTCATGGGAGGAGTGTGGCTGACCATGGAATGGTGACTGTAGGGCTGCGAAGTCACCGTGTGAAAGGGCTCCAACCGCGGCGCCTCCGTTCCGGGGGCACCGATCTCATCGCAAAAGACTCGCAGACCGGGCAGCATGTGGCGAGGCTTGTGGTCGGGAAGCGGTGCCAGCGGCTGGGGTGTAGAGTGCTCCGTCTTGGGCGATCGGAACATGTGCTCGTAGGACTTCAGCTGGATCTCGAGGGCTTGGTTGCGTTCCTCGAGCATCTGGTTCTCCTGCTTCATGGCCTTCATCTGCTGCTGAGCCAGCTGGTTCTGCTCCTGAAGATTGGACACCAGCTGCTGAAGCTGCATGCAGCGGAGCTGCGGTTGGAGTTTCTCGGCCAGCTGTCGAGGCATCTCGTTCTCCTGGCGAATGAGGTGGATGATGACCAGCAGCATGAAGTCGATGAGATAGATGGCTCCCTGCACGATGTGCTCCTTGGACTCCGGCAGGCTCTTGGCCGGGTTCCATCCGGCACGCTCAAGGAACCAGCTATGAATGCGGCTATCCAACTCCCGGTGCAGGTGGCTCAGGTTCTTTCGTCGGTTACCCTCTGCAATGCGGTGCTTCTCCCTCTGGTCGTCGGATTCGCCCGAGATCATGCTTCCCTTTCGCTTGCGACCGCACAGCTGCTGCAATGGAGGCTTCCGACTAATCTCCTTCGGCGCGATCAGGCTCATCAGGTCGGATGCGGTGAGTTCCTGAGGCCATTCAAAGGCCTTCTGCGGCTGCTGCGACTCGGGCCACGTGCTATCAGCAGAGTTGGCGGGCGACGGAGGAGTCACGATGTGTTCGGCAGCGGGCCATGGCGACGATTTGACCACAAATGTGTCTTGGGAGCCCTGGGGACTAGGGGCCAGTGCAGTTGAGGAGTCAAAAGGGTTGAAGGGCCCTCGAGGCAGGGGATCCACGCGTGGGAGGGGCGGTAGCCGGCGGTCTTCTGTCATCTCTGCAGCCGCAGAAGTACTCGAAGACAGGGACCGAACACCGCTATTGGCACGAAAAGAGACACCTGTCAGCGATGCATTGCATGGGGGTGAGGGGAGGTAAGGATGCAAAGCGGGAAACTCACGGAAGAGAGCAACGTTGAGGGATCTCTGAGACAGGACCCATGTTTTCAATCATTATGGTCCTTGTTTGAGAATGGCACTGGACGATAGGCCGCAAGTAAGATGAGAGAGGGGTTTGGATATGTATGTCTTAAATATTGGGTATGTGCTTGGGTGGATGATCGATATGTATGTACGAAGCGGATGTCTGAGACGGATATCAAGAGAGGTATATGTAGGAGAGATCCAGGGAGGCGATTGAGTCCAGACACAACGGGTGATATAATGATGATGACAATAAAAGATCAAGAGAGAAAAAGGGTATAATAATAGATTAGAGGGATTATAATAATAGGATGCAAAGTCAGGAGTCAGCGACAATATACAATCAAGGGAGGTTGCTATGGCGAGAAGACAATAAAGGGAGGATAGGATCGAATTCAGATTGAGAGAATCCACGAGGTGCAGAAAAGATGAAGAACACAGACTTGCTTCCCCAGGGATACGGTGCGATCCGCTGCATGTTTTATATCTCGAATGCAGAAAGGTGAACGAGGGGCTTGTTCGGGGATGGGCATGGCGACGGAGGCAGAGGGGGGGAAGGAAAGAGGGAACTAGAGTGGCGCTCAGACTCGATGAACTGCAGCAATCTATCGATACCTAGAATCTGATGGACACTAGACAGACGGATAGTCGACCGGGGGAGAAAGTACCGACCCAGCAGGATGTATCAACCCAGCAGATCTGCGACAACCTCAACAGGGAAAGTTGGATGCAAATTAGGGTTGGCGATGACATACAGATCGATTTTCCACCATGCTATTATATGACGGTTTTTCTTATTATGCTTCTGCCTCTTTTCTTTTCTTTTCTTTTTAATCTATTTTCATTTAATTCAACCTTGAGAATTATTATTTTCGAAATTCCATTTTCCCCTACCCTACCCTTCCTTGCCTTGCCTGCACGTCTAGATGTAATGTAGCTGTACTCTGTAAACGGGACCCTCCTCCTTCTGCAACCCACCCCAGTAGTGTAAGCCCCTCCTACCCTCAAAATCCGGCTTTTGCTCTATCAGTCCAGCGTCAACCTTTGTCTTTCGAACCCCCTTCTCCCGTCGTGGACACTTTGCCCTCCACAAGGGGTAGATAGAGGGGGGAGGCGAGTCAAGAAGGACGCGGGGAACCATCAAGAAGATCCCGGCAGAGTTCGACCGAGCAAGTGGAGTTGTACGTTCAAAAGCACTCTTTTCTTTCTGTCGTTCTCACGCTCTCTATCACTCAACGAGCCCTGTCCAGATCGACGAATCAACGTGCTCTGATCGCGATGACCGATGGACAAACCCGTCTAGAATGGGGAGGGATCCAAGACCCTTGATTTGTCACCGCTGCAGCGGGTTTTCGATCTACAGTATCCGTACACGGGTCCAAAGGTAAGTAAAATAGTCAGTAAAGTCAACTACGGATAAGTTAGCTAACCAGGTAAGTCCTGACGACGGGGGGGAAGTAGTGAATAATACAGTACACGCAGAGAAAAAGTGGGCAGAAAATGGAGTATATTCGGTTCCCCTTGCATCGAAGCCATCAATAGTGTCGTCGAGCCAATGATCGTGGACCATTTCGACCAGGTTTCCACTTTCTGGCTGGTCTATTTTATATATATTTTTTTCTCTTGATTATTTTTCTTTCTCGATCATTTATTTAATATTTAATATTCTTCTCATTTCCTAATCCCTCTACCATCTAGAAGTACCTATGTATGTGTATGCCTCTTCCTCTCCAGGCCCAGACCCAACCGGCCGCTGCTTGTCTTCTCCCCGAAAATAGCGCCCCCGGGGGCGTCCCCAGCTCCAGAACGTTCCCATTGTCCTGAACAAGCGCGAGCCCTTTGTGTTTCTGGATTCGCCATGCCTTGTGGCTTGTTACGGAAGTGCGCTCCGGCGCTTAGCTAGCCAGGTGGCCAGCCTAGAGGCTTTTTCTTTCGGGGAAATAGAACAGAATTGAGAAGTAGCTCGTACTGTAGGGGTGGTAACTAGAGTGAGGCGAATGTATGTCTCCCACAAGATGGACAGAGAGAGGGCATTTTACTGTATGTGCAATTGTAAACCCCCCAAAACACCGGGAATATCACGCGTGCAGCTACTATACAATTAGGCGAAGCAAAAGTGAAAGTCACTGGGCCTTTAGATGTTCAATGGCTTAACTAATTCGCCATCACGAGAGAGCAAGACAGGGAATCAAGGAACCTAGTAAACCCTACGTATTCACCAGAATAGATTGCAGTAGTAACCCACCCAGTGAAACGACGGATCTGTTCTACCAGGGGGGCAAAAGTACCATTTCGAAATTCAAATCAAATCAAATCAGGAAGAGCCGTGAAGGATGCAAGAGAACCCATCTCAGTAGATAGTCAGTACTATACATAAACATCCGACGCACAGGAAGCTCCCCGAGGGCAGATCATCACTCCGCAAATGATCTGAGCCCAATAGCACGAAGCAAGGACTCTGCCTTAAGACAAAAGTACCTGAGACAACTCCTGCGAGGAGGCAGCAGTAGAGGAGTAACGGGCACCAATTACGACGGGTGGGCTTTACTAGGCGACTTGATACGGAGGGCTGCGAAGTTTGAAGATCCCTCTCTGTCAAATTCGAATCGACACTTATGCTGATCGGATCCTAAACATTCTGGTCCATGGCGTACATACAAGCCGGATGGAACCGAACCCGTAAAAAATCAATTTAAATTAAAAAGAAAATAATATATTCGTGGGCCACATCTGGAACAAGGGAGGGTCCAAACTCAGAGCGAAGAAAAAGAAAAGAAAAGAAAAAAAGACCTTCGTTCTTGATCGCCACAGCCCCGAGGGGACTGGAGAGGATAGAGAGGGGGCAAGGGACCCATCGAACTGGGTCACCGGGAGATCCCAGTGACCAGGGTTTGACGGCTGTCAGACCCAGTCGTTAGTTCTGGACTTTTCCAGTTAAGGCTGTTCCGTCAGGGCGAGTTACTTTGGTCATGACCAACTGACCCGGCTGGGAATGATTTGGAATTATCTGGGGAGTGACATCTCCAACGGACGAATTCGGCATCTCCGCTCGAAACGATCGGAGAGGGAGTGTAGGAGAACGCATGGGAGGAGAAAGGAAGAAAATGGCGTTTGAGGCTGATACGCAGACCTGCATCGAGGATAATAATGGCATGGCAAATCGCCACGATGACGCCGTCGACGGTGGTGGTGCTACCTTGGATCTCCAGCCCTTACTACTCGGGGACGGACCAGCAGAAGCCGTATACGTCACGATCCAGAGGAAGGAAACGACAAGAAGAAAAAGAAAAAGGACAAAAAGGGAGGGAAAGGGGGAGAGAGACGCGGAACCAACGAACCAAAGGGCAACAATAGTGATGTGTAACTTAACTGCTACGCCCCAGAACGGGGGTGGCGGGTCGCATGGCAGACGGATAAGATCTGTCATATTCGTGGCCTCCGGATTTATAAGATTTGAAGACGAGTTTATGAAGAATCCAATGGATCTCATGGCCATAGGTTCTTTCTCAGCCAGCCCCACGTTGACCCTTCCGGCCACCAGCCTTTGGGGAATGAGAACCAGTATAATAGTATTCGTAATGGAGCACCTGACTCAATTCCCGGATCTACGTCTGACCCTAACCCTTTCTGATATTCCATTGTGTTTACTAGTTCTGAGGGAAATCATTGCGGAAGGGGGGGGATGTCTCTAATGATCGGACCTCGTCGTGGATGTTGTGATTGACTTAGGGCAAATCTTACCCGATCGGGAAACTGACACTTCCTCGGCCATCGCTAAGGATGCCTTAGTCTTACCAGCTAACAGTTGACACTTGACAGCAGCACCAGAAGCCCGTCCGTTGAATCTGCGATATCCCAGCAAGTCCTAGCTTAGTCCCGGACTCCCAGTCGCCTAGACGCCAGGCAGGGAGACGGTTAGGAGTGGAGGCTCTTAATATAGCACGTACATAAGCGGATGAGTTGGCAGTCCCTTTCATCCATCGGCGTCTCCACCCTGCCAGATCCAGAGCATGAAACAAACCCGACAAGAACCCCTGTTTGAACTCCTGGGAGGAGGAGTTCAACATGCGGCACGTAGAGGCGCAACCCAGGCACGAACCCTTTTTTTTTTGGTTTCTGATGATTACGATTACCTTTTCCCTTCCTCTGGGATGGAGGGGAAATTAAGAAAGTATATTACTGTTATGGTTGAACTTAGAGCTGGTGCGGTTACATCGACCATCATACCCCAGAGAAGACACTACTTCGTACGTGACGAATCGGTGATACGAAAGTCAGTGGAGGGATAGAACGGCCTTCCCAAACTAGATATCACCCACTGCAGATGAAACTCACGGGGGAGGTCATGAAGGAGCAGGTACCTAGAGAAACTGGGTAGTACAGCCTTGTCCACAGTTCAGTTGACTAGCCCAGTCCAATCGAAAATGTCCGAATGGCCTGTGAGTCGACGAGTTTCTGATAATTTCCGAAATATGGTGGTCTCGAATCATCCATGGGCCTCCCAAATGAATGGTCGATTCTGGGAATGCCGAATGAAGGGCCACGACTCGAGGGGAAATGGTACGAACCTTAATGGGGAACTATAGCAGGGGCTTCCCTTCCCTTGGGAGGAGGTCAAAGTCATTCTTTTTCTTTCCGGGTTGTTTGGGGTGGTCCTCGGATCCCGTCCACACCAGCGGTTCCTGACCGGTTGAGTTTATTAGATTGATTGTGGTGACACGGCAGGAGTAGAGTTTTCTAGTTTGGTAGATGTATAGAAAGCTCGGGATGACATCGTGTTTGGTCCCTTCACAATAGAAGCCCCGTAATCCCATCATTTGAGCACTTTGAGCACTTGGGCCAGATGAATTGGAAATATCAGAAAAAAATAAAAATAAACAAGGGAAAAAACAAAGTGAAAAAGCAATAAACAAAACAATAAAAAAAAAAGACCACCCCAAAACAATAAAGCCACCCTCAACTGACCTCAACCGCCCCGAAATGACATATCAGAATCCCCACCCGCGGCGAACGACGACCCTAAACCCAATCCATGTCAATGCGTTGTCCATCCGCGGCTTCTGGTTCGACCTGTCCATCCATCACCTTCTCTTCTTTCCATTTTCCCTCTATTTTAGTTTCTCGGTTTCTCTATTTTCTTTTTTCCTACCGGTTTTTTTTTTTTCTTCTTCTCCTCACCCCCCTCCAACGCACATACTCATGCATAAGCGTATACATATTAGCCCACCTGCATCCTACATGCATTTCCCGCGAAGACAAAACACTGGATGGTGGACACCTCCCCCCTCTTTGATCTTTCGTCTCCTCTTTTCCAAGACAGCAAGACAACCAAAAAAGAAGAATAGACAGGGATTCCCTGCGTGCACGCTAGGTCCACGCATGCAAGATCTCCATAACCTGTATCAAACTACAGTACCTCCTTCCTGTACGTATGCAGATACTATATGTCGGATGTCGGGGGCCGGCGATACGCCCGACGAGGGCCAAACGCAGGTCGTCGTCAACGCCCCCGTTCGGGCAAAGAATGGCAAAGAGTCTATCTGCAGAGAAGGAAAAGAAAAGAAATTTTTGAATTGACTGGACTCGGATGATCCAGAAGTTGCGTTTTGGGTTCGTGCATCTCGTGCGATGTTTCAGGTTGGTTTATTGGAAGGGGTCTCTCTCTCTCTCCCTCTCTTTCTCTTTCCCTTTGGGCCTTTCTAGGGTGGAGGTTGAGGTACGCCGTAGATAGTCCACCTTCTTTTCCTCTCTCATCTTCTCCTCTCCTCCCTTCCTCTCTAGCAAGGGTATGCAGGTAGGAAGTACCCGTAGTAAGAAGTACATGCATTGCATCTAGAATCACTGGACAGAGAGCAATCCCTCGTTCTTCTTCTCTGGCCATCACTTCGGCGACCCCGTCGTCCAGATTCAAATCCCCTCATGCGATCGATGAATCCATCCATCCTCATCCCCATCTTGCCACTAGCCCAAGTTCTGGGCCCTAGAGAAGGACAGAAAAAACGCAGGTGGTCAATCCTCGGTTCTAGTGGTGATCGTAATCGGGATTCTGATACAGTCCAATTCCCGTTTACTTTTTTTTCTTTTCTTTTTTCCTTCTGCTGGTCTAGTCTAGTCTTGTCTTGTCTTTTCCTTTCTTTGCTTTTTTTTTTCTGTTTCTCCGCTCATGGCGTACACCCTAGACTACGGGGAATAAGCCAAGCCAACAAGTACCGATGAAGGGCTAGTCCTGGAAGCCCTAACGGACCGAAAAAGAACCTGAGGCATCCAGATCCAGATCCAGATCCCCATAGTCGCATACCTACAGTATTCGCATAGCCCGTTTCCATGCAAGGCATCCGACAGGTATCATCGATCTATCTATCTCTTTATCCCATCATGGGTTCACCACGGTCATTCCAAATAGTTTCCCTCTTTATTTTCTCTTGTCCGGTTCCCCCCTTCCGTAGCGTTTCACTTTCCTATCCATGGTTCGTTATTTGGAATGAATGAATTGCTTCGTTTCCCCTTCCTCTATTCCCAGGGGATCAATCAATTAACTGGGTTTAATCTGGTACCTACGTACATCGTAGTAGGAATTGCTCTTCCTCTTCCCCGGAGAAGGGATGAAGGGCTAGTTCCAAGTTACTAAAAATATGCAACACGTCAAAACCGATAAAAAGCAATTCCGATTCCCAAGAGAACGCGAGATGACGCGACAGAAGTCAGAACCAAACCCAGCCCAAAGAAAAAATAACATAAATAAACAATTCACTCAATAAAAAATCAAAGAACCAGACCGTGTTTAAAGTTGGAGATCATCGCATCCCCCCCAATTTCGGGTGGTGCGGGGATTCCTGTTTGGTTTGGTTTGGTTTGGTTTGGTTTGGTTTGGTTTAGTTCGTGTCGCTTCGGCCTCTCTCTCTCTCTCTATCTCTCGTTTTCTTTCTTTCTCTGGTTCTCATGAATGGTGAATGTATATCCTCGGTTGGGACAGAGGTGCCATCTCGTTTAGATTAATCTACCTTTTCTTTTTTTTTTCTTTAGCGTGAGTCGTGACCGTAGTTAGTACGATGCAGTAGGAGTACTACGGAGTAAATCTGACATGAAAAGCAAGCTACCCATTCGGTTGCCTGCTCGAGCAGCCGCAGGTGTAGTAGCAGGAGCATTTGGATAGATTTCACTCTCTCTCGTGCCTGCAAGACAGGCACCTACCTAGTTACCTAGAGAGTCAGAGAGGAGCCCTTTTCCGGAATAGTTAGCCTCTGTAGGTATTCCGTACTCCCGTGCACGTCCACTCATGCTAGTAGTTACTGGTAACTGGTGCTGGTGCTGGTGCTGGGTATCGGTCTCTGCTCTCTAGTCACTAGGTCTCGGTGTCTTCCTTCTACCAAATCCACTCCACTCACTGAACACCTGCCACGCATCAATATCAATAGCCCCAACCTGACCCAAACTTGACACTGTTTCTTCAAAGGCCGGCGAACTTAGGATCTTTGGTCCGGCCAGTGAAATACACAGCCCGGGCTGTCGATCCCTATTCAGTTCTCGCTATTGAGATTGGGAATGGATACTCGGTAGACCCGGGGGGAGGAGGGAAGTGGAAAGGAAGGGTGGCTCATGGATGGATGGATCGACCCACTCGAATGAGAGAGGATAGATCCAGGAAAGAGGCAATTCCGTATCAGTTACTCCATACTCTATACTGCATTCATCCAGACGTACATACATGCTGTAAGTAAGAGATTCGTGGTGCAATGTTCACGATCTGCTTTACTTTTGAAGAAGACCCGTCTATTCTCCGAGAGTTGAATCGTGAGAATATACTCGCATGTCACCCAATTCCAAGGTCTGTCAAAATATGTCAAAATCCTAACTAGTTAGTTGAAACCCGTGGCCAAATAAACCCGCAGTACCGGATGGATATTCATTCATGCATATGTCTCCTGTGCTCCGTATATGTTGTCTCGGTCTCTTTCACAATCTCAAAAGTGGCAATCTCCTCCGGGCTTCTCCGTGGAGAGAGGCGAAGCATGTAGACACAGGCAGACAGACAGCCCGAGGGCAAGACGGCGACAGACGCAGACAGCAAAATCCCGTGCGAGAGAAGAGTTGACTGGTCATTTCGCCTCCATCGTCTCATGATCTCGGGGGGCGGAAGAAAAAAACTTTCTTTTCCTCGATCGCTGGGATATGTACGGTGCACATACAGCCTACACATGCACGGCTCCATCCATGTACGAAGCACATACCCTTCACGGGCCGTCGCCTTTTCTCCTCATGGGAAGGAAGATGATGGGTAAGAGAGTTGGAAATACGGTACGTGATTTGCCGCACCCGCCGTCCCGATGGAGATGAAGATGAGATCACTCACGTCGGGTCTTAGAGCCTGCATGACTTCATCCGTTCTTGTTTCTTCTTCAGTCGGTCTCTGCCAAGGCCTGCAGTTGCAGATTGCAGTGGCTCCATGGGGTGGACAGCTGGCACTGGATCCATCAGGTTCAGCCCATCGGTCTTCGCCACCGTCCGCTGTCGAGTCGGCCCTCTGCACCGGTTTTGAACCATTGAATCATTCTTAATATTTGGTGTTAGCCTGAGTGGTAGAAGATAAAAGGTGACATTGAAAAGGACGACTATCATAAATAAGTAAACGTAAACTCCGAAAGGAATGTCTATCAAAGAAGGAAGAACAAAAAAGCTAGGCTTTGGCCCTCAAACCTGGACGTTGTCTTGCCCATAGACTTTGCGGCAACGTCGACATGGGAGATCACCCGCCGCTGCTCTGGGCCCACAGGGTGGTAATCAACATTGCATAAAACTCCGCGCCAACAGGTTCCGCGGACAGACCCCAAATTAAGAATTTTGCTCAAACGAGATTCAATTATTATCATAAGAACAACAAGGTACTGGACAAAAGCCCCAATGGTTATCAGGCGACTCTACACGACCATAAACAAGGGTTTATAAAGTTAAAAAAAAAAGACACACATTCTCGGCATCTGCATTTACAGAGCGTACTGGACGAGAGCACCGAAGACGGCGGCCAGACCCATGGCGGGCATGTTGGCAACGTTGATGGGGGAGGCACCCTCGCTGGAGGAGGCAGAGGCGCTGCTGCCGCTGCCAGTGCCGCTGGCACCGGAAGAGCCGTCCTTGGTAGTGGGGTGAGCCTTGTTGCCGGAGCACTCGTACTTGCCGCGGATGGTCTTGTCCTCCTCGAGCTTCTTGAAAGCGTCGCAGCTGAAGTTACCAGTGCTCTGCATGTTGAAACCACCACGGACGTTCTTCAGGGAAGGAAGGGAGGCCCTAGAGAAAGAATTAGTATGTTGAAAACAGATGAACCAAGAAATCTCAGAAACACTTACTTGTCGAACTTGCCGCTGAAGTCAATAGCACCGGTGACGGTCTCGAGGTCGGGGAAGCTGATCTCGCCGAGCTTGTTGTTACGCGCGATCTGGAAACCACCGTTGACCTTGGTGAGCTTGGCCATGCTGATGTTGGAGAGCTTCTGGTTGTCGTTGAAGACCAGGTCACCGGTCTCGGTAAGATTGGGGGCGCTGAAGGACTTGAACTTGTCACCCCAGAAGCCGAGCTGACCGGTCAGCTCCTTGAGGGAGGGAACGGAGACGGAAGAAACGTTGCGGAAGGTCATGTTGCTACCGCCGGCAAGGTTGGGGAGCTCAATCTCCAGGGAGTCCATGTTACCGGCGAAGTTGATCAGACCGGTGGCGTTCTTCAGGTTGTTGACGTTGACAGTCTTGAGAGAAAGGTTCTCGGTGATGTCGAAGGTACCGACGGTCTTGAGGGAGATACCGTCGAGGTTGGTCAGACCAGTGTTGGTGATCGTGACATCGTCGGCCTCGGTGATACCCTTGTTGAAGTCGAGGTTCTGCAGTTGAGGGAGAGCGGCCCACTTGACAGTTCCGACCTTGTTGAGGGAGCCGAAGCTGAGGGTGGTGAGAGTGGTGAGACCGTTCAGCTTGAAGGTGTCACCGATGGAGCTCAGGCTGGAGGCGGCCAGAGAGCTCAGGTTGTTGGCACCATCGACAGTCAGACTGCCGGCAATCTGCTCAACACCGTTGATGTTGATGTCACCGGAGACGTGCTCGCTGATCTCAACGTCACCCTTGAGGGTCTTGCAGCTGGAGTACTTGTCGGCATCGCTCTGGTTTTCGATGGTGATGGACTTGCCGCTGCTACCACAGTCTAGGCGATTGTCAGTACGGGACTGGTCTCTTCGGTTTTGGGATCGAATGCGCCGTCCTCTACTTACCGGCAGCGAAGACAGCATTGGTCGCCATCAAGGCGGGGAGAGCATATTTGAGGAAACCCATTGTTGGATGTGATTTCGCACTACTGTTGAGGACATCCAGTTAGCATTTTCGGATCTGTCAGGGAGACTGCGCGCAAGTAGTCCAACTTCTATCAGAAGGATGATTGGAGGGGCAAGTCAAGTAAACAAACATGAGTTGCGCGAAGACGGGCACTGCTTGAGCCGACTTACCTATGATGGATGAGATGGAATTGATAACGGGGCGATGGACGGGCCCTTTGTAGTCAATATGCAGTGGCAGCGAAAGAGCTGAAAAGGGGGTTAAGATAAATAAACGAGTGAAAGAAAAAGAGAGGAGGCTTCAAACGAAGGGGAAGCTTAAGACGGCCGAGTGCTGGCAAGGAAATGCACGGATTAGGCAGGCACGTTCTCAAAGAATGAAGAGAAGAGGGAAAGAGAAAAGGAAGGACTGGATGGCAAAAAAGAAGGAAGAGACAGACTTTCAGGGAGGGACAAGGAAAGGAGTCAGTCGTGGCCCGAGGAGTGGAGTCGTTTTGGGAGACTTTGAGACGGGGGCGTTTCTCCTTGCGAGTACCGTTTGGTATTCAGGTATTCAGGTACCGTATTGTATGTATGCATTTGTTTATTTTGGATTATTATTTATTCAAGTCCTGGATTGCTCTCGATTATTGACATGAATTGACTCCTGTCCTTCTAGTATTTACTATTTTCCCCCTCCCTTCCTCTCTCATAACAATAACAATAACAGGGAAAGAATCCATCAACCACCAAATTCCCCCCTTGGTCTACCACAGTAACGGAGAAAGTCAATAAAAGAAAGAAAAAAAAGAAAAAAGCATCCCGCCGGCTTACGCAGGAATCCTGTTTTTCCCGTGCAGCCCGTTGTGGCTAGTCCGCCCCATCTTGTAACACCTCGCCAATCGTCCGCCCTGCCCCCCGCCGCTGATTCGCTCCCCGAACCCCCTTTAGCTTCTGCCCATTTTCACGTCTGAAACAGTTTGCTTGCGTTTCTGGCCTCTTGCCTGACACCTCAATTCTGTTTTCTAGTTTCTACGGTTTCGCCATCAATGGGTACGCAATTCATCCGCGGTACTCTAGAGGTCCAGCGATCATGAGTTCTGCACTCACGTAGGGCTCCCCGTCTGGAGTAGGTAAATCATCAATAGACAGAGTCCATATACCCATATTTACTTAACCGAGTAAACTCTCTGCCAACTATTCCCGACCAACAGAGCAACGATATTCTGTTCCTGGCGTGAACGACAGCGGATTTGCCCAATGTTCATGATCATCGTGAAGATCGGTTGCAACATTAATCTACCAGCCGACTAGTATAGCCGCTAGGAGGGGCCAGACTCCGGTACGGATCCCAAGCCGATGGCGATTCTTACGATGCTCTCAGGGAAGGTCCTCGACCAAAATATCGCACATCCGTCCAGCCATTTCGCTATAACATGAAATAATCCGCCGCCGGATCGTCCGTCGACCTCTGTTTTCGGCCATCCCAATCCTCCTTGATACTGATGGCCAGTTGATAGGTATTCTAGAAAGGCGACCGGAATGCGACGGTCGTCGTCATGGTCCAACCAGAGGCTGAGCCGACCAAAATAACCCAGCAGAAATTTGGATAGGAGAATTCCAAGGTCAGAACCTGGTGATCGGTCCGATACAGTGGGCATTCCCAGTTGTCCTGCGATTCCTGCCTGCCACTCGGACGGTATGCGACGCCGAGTATTTGGCGGGGTGTTGGCATTTGCCATTTGGTCGTTCGCCTCGTCGCGAAATGCGCGGAGATGCCATTCTTCCATTCATACCTTACGAAGTGTGAAGAAAACACTTTGTGCGAGGGCTGACCTCGAATTGAGCTTGGATTCGGCTGGTGTTCAGGTACCATGGACGGGGTGAAGCACAATCATAAAAATAAAGTGGCAAAGTCCAGATCCAATCACGTGTCGACGTAACGCGCTGGTAACGGGTTCTGTCACGGGGTTACATACCGTACGGTAGCGCGGCCCACCGTGCAAAACCTGGACTGTGCAAAGCTCCTGAAATTGTCATCTTGCCATCATTCATTCACTAATTATCGAGTCGCGACTTGCGGAAATATTCCTCATCATCTTCATCATCCTCATAATAATAGACATCTTCAGTTCCTTTCCTCCCTTCGTTGACTGATCTATCGATGATGTAGCAATGCGTCGTTTTTGCCTCAAACGCGAGGGTTGTGTCCTCGAAAATAGTATCAACCACTCAATGCTGTAAGGAGTCGGTCGATCCTGTGACATCGGCTCGAGGCCCAGCTCGAAATTTGCCCTCCTTCATAAGATGAATAATGCTTAGCATTGTCGTCAACTAACTTATTTCGATCGCTTGCGCAGTTTAGAGTTGCTCACTTATCAACTCCGCCGGCGTGGACGCCCCATTTACTGACTCCACAACTTATCCGTTGCAATTAATCCTATGGGGAATGGAATTTCTTTAATTACTCTGTAAGTCTGTAGTCCGTCCTGAGACTCGGCTGGTTGCTGCTGTATATAGTATCATTGTCTCTTGTCAATTTCAAAATCCCGTCGTCTCGACTCATTCTCAGGGCCGTGTCTTTTTTTTTGTCCCGAGGTGATCTTTCTCTGGAGTTACACCAGGCCAGGTCAGATAATCAAATCAAATCATGATATCAGCTGTGCAGCACGTTCCCCCGAACGCCACCAGAGGCCAGGCACGGGTGGCTGTACGCTTGATAAGGAGGATAACGGCCTTCGTCGAGGACTGAGGACCGAGGACCCTTCACGGATGGACCCTCGACGCGGGAGAAGCGCGCATGAATCAATCAATTGATGATCACCGAATAATATTATAGTTCTCACCACAGCGTTTGCTCGTGCAACTACGTACTACATACACCGTACGATGTACGTATCTTGCTTTTCCTCTAGACGGTGGTATTGCGTGGGCGATAGTCATGCAAGAGCAGAGTTTGGGGCCGTCCATCCTCATCTTACACCCCTGCTAGCAGTGCCACTCTCGTTGCTGCCGGGCTAGACTGGATGCCCACGAAGCAGGTGCTATTATCTGACCACACTGACTTGCCTATTCCGACTGTTGGCTTCCCGTAGTACTACCGGGTTGGTCATGGTTCATGTGAAACAGGAAATTTCCATCACGGTGAATCCCGAGCGAAGCTTTCCATGTTAAATTGTCGATGGGGGGCTTTTGCATCCTGTCATTGTATTTCTCCCTTCGAATCTCGAGTCTGGAACCAACGGCCGAGTATTAATAGTTTTTCATAATTTGATAGTGACCCCTGGCCCTGAGGCCTGAGCTGCTCTATTAATTACGGCTTCTCCACTAGGGTCTGGCGGTCGCGGTCCGTTTAATTACTTCCTCCCTCTTGGGCCAGTTTTTTTTTTTCGGTTTGACAGGAGGGTATTCCGTACTCGACCTGGCCATCGGGTCTTAGGTAGACGAGGTCTTAGATGACCGATAAATCGCCTGGTGGGCTGCGTCTGTCGGATGACGCAAACTGGGGATGTTCTGTGTTACCTAGATATGATGATTCCGCAGACCTGTGGGATCGACCCGGCTTCATTTACACTTTACATGCCCTGATTGAGCCCTGTACCTGGTATTAGTACCTAGGCAGAGGTTGGAAATGTAACCTGCAAGCGAAGGTTTACCTCAACCAGAGTAGAATGCGAGACATGACGAATAACGTTCTTGCTGGCCGACCATGGGGTAACAGTTAGCGGACAGTACTACCACACCCTTTGACCTCTGCGGGTGCTCCTAGACGCGAGGGCGACCTTTTTTATAATATGATACATGGGTCGAATGTATTCAACAGGGATAATGGTCAGATTGAACTTGTGCGATCAATACTTGACCTACGAGTTGGTATCGCAGTGGCCGAGGTTTTGCCGGAACAGTCAACATATAAATGTCGAGAGTAGATTCGAATGATACCTAGTCGGTAGCACCGCAGGACCAATCGTCTACACCAACCAAAAAATATAAGTGACCTATAGGACTACTTCTCCTTTCAAGAATAATCACCAGATCTTAGATGTATAAACCCCGCAAATCCCATCGACGGTTGGCAAGAATGTGGACAGGAACCAAAGCATGGATGACTTATCCGAGCTGACATGCGTCACATCCCAAGAGCGCCAGACATCAATGCATATACCTGCCAACAAACAGACGCTGTTTGCTTGCAACGTCTATATATCCAGTCCACGTCAACCTATATAAATCCACGCCCGCCAATCCCTGAACCAGTCTATATAAATAGATCTTCATCTGAATGATGGTTCTCAGGCGATCTGCTCGCCTGAGCGCAACGCCCGGCAAAGCCGCATCGCCCCTATTGCAAGCCAGCACGCAGACAAACAAAGCCAGCAGGGCTCCGCTCAGCAGCAAAGGAGTGACCAAGCCGCGAAAAGCACCAGAAAAGAACAAGGGTATCTTGAACTCGAAAGTGAAGAAGTCACTCGCACATCCCCTCCCGCCCAAGACGACAGCAGTAGGGGCCGACACTTCGGACGGACATGAAGCAGCGCCCCAGAACATCTTCGATCCATCCTCCACCACGACTGGCTCGACCGGCCGGTCACTGCATTCTACCCCTCCGCCCCTCGACCGACCCGTCGAGCTTCACGGGACGAACGCCCCCCTCCTCACGCCCCATGGCTCTTCCGTGGTCGCGTACCCGCGCACCGAGGACGCCTCTCCCAGCAAGACCGGGCGACCTCGCCCAACAGCCACAACAGGCACGCTTTTGGAACAAGCCGTCGCACACCTGATCGCCACAGATCCGCGACTCGAGCCCGTCATCAAACAGCACCCGTGTCCCCTCTTCTCCCCCGAGGGACTCGCCGAGCCGATCGATCCATTCCGCAGCCTGGTCGTCAGCATCATCGGACAGCAGGTATCAGGCGCAGCGGCCAAGTCGATCCGCGACAAATTCGTGGCCTTGTTCAATGCCACAAGCGAAGGTCAAGCAGGCGATCCCGTGAACGTCCCGGGGAATAGTAATCGATTCCCCACCCCCGAGGAGATCATCCGGTTTGATATCCCCACGCTGCGGACGGCTGGTCTCTCCCAGCGGAAAGCCGAGTATATCCAGGGTCTGTCGCAGAAGTTTGTAGATGGGGACCTGAGTGCCCGGATGCTACTGAATGCTAGTGATGAGGAGCTGCTTCGGAAACTGATCGCCGTGCGAGGTCTGGGTCAATGGTCTGTCGAGATGTTCGCTTGCTTCGCGTTGAAGCGTATAGATGTTTTCTCGACTGGTGATCTGGGTGTGCAGTAAGCGGACCCCTCCCTCCCGTCTTCTCCTTGTTGTTTTTTTCCGAAGTAATTCGAAGCTTGACAGCACCGGCGCTGTGCTTGCCATGTTCCCATATCTCGGCTGGAAGCTAACATGGGGAAATAGAAGAGGCTGCGCCGCCTTCGTGGGCAAAGATGTGAATAAACTCAAGGCAAAAGGAGGCGGTAAGTTCAAGTACATGGCCGAAAAAGACATGCTAGAATTGGCGGCGAAATTCGCCCCATACAGGTACGTGCAAACCCCCTCTTCCCGGTCCACGGCGAAGGCAAAAGAGCCCACCAGTCTCACATGGACACGTAGGAGCCTTTTCATGTGGTACATGTGGCGGATAGAGAACGTAGACATTGCTGTATTGAATCCATGAGCCAATTGTGAGAGTATTTCCTTAGCCCGTTGGTTCCGTTGTGTTCTATGGGAGTTGACTGGGGTTCTTTTGATTTGATTGGTATAACATGTATTATATGACCAGTGTTGAGTGATACGATCTTGGCCATCTAGGTAGCAGCATGCATATATGACATGGCCTCTCCTGCACTCGGTAATGCCAACACCAGATTACAGTGGTCCTGGGGTGGACACTGAGAGCGTTCCGAACAGCGCCGGCATGCCACGCTTCCAGCACGAACCCATCGTCTTCATCTCATGTTACGGATTACTCGAGACACATGCAAGGATGCGATGGTCAACAAAATCGAGACAAATGAATTTGTACAGTATCAGTACACGTGATCGAACGTATCAAAGTCAATTAACTTCCAGCGCAGGTCCATCGCAGCGACGCGCAACGGCCAGCAATTTCCCCCAGTCTCTACCCAGTCTGTCTATTTCCCTAGCGCTCCCTTTGTGTTTCTCGGCAGTAATATCTAGGACTAGACATTTACCGCTTGACGACGAGGTTGTCGAGGTCGGCGCGCTCCTGCTGCTCCTTCTCGATTTCGCGGATGATGGGGCTCAGGTACTCGACGTCCTATTGACTATGGTCAGTCACGGGTCCCTTCAATGACTCCTCAAGTGATATCTGATCCTCTTTCGAGGCATTGGGTCGATCGAATATGGGTCGTGCATCAGTTGACAAATCCGGCTCACGGGATTGGCCGATGGCTTTTGCGGAGGTATGGGGACGAATTGCATGCGAGATTATACGAAATTCGACTCACCTCGCTAGGCTTGGTCTGCTCAGCAGCGGGAAGGAGGGTGTGAGAGACAGAGCACTGATTGAGAAGGTGGGTTAGTTCGCTGATTGCGTCCGGGATCTCATGGGAGGTCGGTTCGAACCTGGAAAGCTCTGCGGATACGGAAAACACGGTCGTAGGCCTCCTTGGGAGGGAGACGCTTGATGGCGGTCTGGACGGTCTCGCTCTCCTCGGGGACCAGGTCATCGGCCCTGATCAAGGTCAGCTCTGCGGTCTCTCTTGGGGATCGAAGGTATAAAAATTGTTCCGCGGACAAGGCGCAGATCGGGATACGGAAGAGAGGCAGGATGGGAAAAGAAAAACGAGGGGCTCGACAGTTTGACCAAGCTCTATCGCATCTCCAATCCGTTCTATCTGGCCCCTGCCCTTCGGGATCGTGGATGGATGAGCGCTTACCTCAACCCGAGTTTCCGGTAGCCGGCAGCGTCGGTGTACCAATTGGCAATCGGCGTCATCCAGCGCTTGAGCCAGGGGCGCTTGACGATGTAGCCGGCAAGAGAGGGAGCGGACATGGTGAATGATTCCAGAAAAGGAGGTTCTGGGTCCAATTGACGGGATGGTGTGGGAGGAGGAGGGGGGTGGTTCGCGGAGTGTCAGTCAAGCTGAGCGAGAGTTGGCCCGACGTTGGAGATTGTGCAAAACGGAGGTTCGACGGCTGACTTTCCCAAAAAACATCCGATCCTTGATGCCTAAGGCAGAACTCATCCTACCCGCTCCGATGAGCGACACGTGACCGGTGGACTCACCGCTGCCTCAGGCCCCCATACGCTTGGAGCCGGGGTGGATTCCCTCTCCACCTGACCGGAAGAGACTCTCGCAACTGGGATTCACTTCTCGTCCACAATCCTCCGCGCTGTCCCGGGTTCGCATTTGTCCCCGACACTTCTAGCGGATCTGATCCTTTTGTGTTTTAACCTTCTTTGATCGCCACTGTCCTTGAACCGATAGGTTATGGGGGTCATCAACCGTTGAATCATTCACCCTGTCATTTTAGCTCCTGTCGAGGAGCCGAGCTGCTTTCACGAGACCCCGCCCCGTCTGTGCTTCGGATAGGGCAACGTCCAACGATTAGACAATCCGGCAGCATCGGAACACTTCGCACGCAATTCCTCTCCTCCTCCCACGTCCCTTCATCTACCTACGAGCGCTCCGAACGACGGATTCCGTCACCGCCGCGACCAAAACAGATTCTTTTGGGTTCCGGAGCGAGCACCGATATGCTCGGGTCCGGGAGCCCTCGTGACAATTAAGACGGATTGATAGATCGATTCGAGTGTTGGCGGAGATACTCAAACGATGTTCTCAGAAGGCCACGGCACTTCAGGTGCCGAGGGCTCTCAACAACAACAGCAGCAGGTTACACATACCGATAATGCCCCGTCATCCCATCTCCATGGGACCTCCGAAGCGCAAACCAGTCCGTTTCTCACTCGCATCGAACTATTCTCCACGCACGTTCCTGACATCTACATCGCGCCGTTTTGCGGAGCCAGTGCCGGCGTGGCATCTGGTATCGTAACATGCCCCCTCGACGTGATTAAGACCAAGCTGCAGGCTCAGGGAGGCTTCGCACGAAGAGGGCCTAATGTGGTTGAGACCAAGGCGCTATACCGAGGCATGCTAGGCACGGGTAGAATGATATGGCGCGAAGATGGCATTCGAGGTCTCTACCAAGGACTTGGTCCCATGCTTCTCGGATATCTGCCGACGTGGGCCGTCTATCTGGCGGTCTATGACCGGTCTCGAGAATACTTTTATGAATCTACCGGTTCGTTCATCCTTAGGTTTTCCCGCTTGAGATATTGATCGGCTAAGTTTATATAACTATACAGACAGTTGGTGGCTCTCTAGAGGTTATGCTTCCATATCGGCCGGTGCCTGCTCCACGATAGCGACGAATCCAATCTGGGTGATCAAGACACGACTCATGTCTCAAAGCACCAAATCTAATAGTGAGGGGTTCCGGGCTCCATGGCAGTACTCCAGCACGTGGGACGCGGCTCGCAAAATGTACAAGACCGAAGGAATCCGTTCATTTTACTCTGGGCTTTCGCCCGCCTTGCTAGGACTGACACACGTGGCCATTCAGTTCCCGCTGTATGAATATCTGAAAATGGCTATAACTGGCTATGGAATCGGAGAGCATCCTGACAATGGAACCTCCCACTGGATCGGAATATCTTTTGCTACTTTCCTGAGCAAGATATGCGCCAGCACCGTGACTTACCCCCATGAAGTACTACGGACCAGGCTACAAACGCAGCAAAGGACATCCCCTGTGTCATCGCCCGAGGAGATAGCATTCCGTGGAGGACTGGACCATCCCCAGGATCGTGGTAGGCGCCCGGGTGCCGCATCATCTGATGGCATGCCTAACCGACCCCGATACACAGGAATCATCCGCACATGCCAGACCATTCTGAAAGAAGAAGGATGGCGCGCATTTTACTCCGGGATCGGCACCAATCTATTCCGTGCCGTTCCGGCTGCTATGACCACAATGTTGACATACGAATATCTTCGCAAGCTCATCGGCCACCTTCAGCACGAGGGGCAGTTGAAGCGGAAGATGGAGGAGGAAACGCCAGAGGATTCAGTTGGAATATAACTGGACGAATAGCTTCTTGGTGGCTGATACGAACCGAGCCAGCGGTCTTTTTATCTGGTTTCACATGGTCTGCACCCTCTATTGGCCGCAGACGAAGCCATATGCTCCGAGATTTTCTTGTCGCTCGTACCTGCGCTTAAGGCGCTCTTTAGAATTTCCTTTTTCCTTTTCTCCTCTTTTCTTTTTTTCCCCCGTCTTTTCATATTTTATTACGTCCCTGGTTACCTTTTACCGGCTACAAGCTTGCCTCTTGTCTACATAACGGTCATGGAACCACCTCGACTGAACAAACGTTTATCGGTATCGAGTGAACAGGGCATGGCGTTAACCCTAGAGTGGTCAGGCTCTCTTCTGACATGTGAAGATTTCTATTTTCCCGATTTCATCCGTCATATGGTGGGCTTCTTTACCCGGCGAAAGACTGCGATGTTTTTCTGAGCGTTGATTTTGAATCGGTTTCTTGCATGTGTTCGCAATGTACATACAAACCTCCATTTTACCTACTGCCTTAGGACCTCTCGACAGCCCAGCGGCTAAATAAGGGCTAATGTAAATGTTTGATATGTTTGATTGAAGAGATCGAGTAGAGTGGAGAGCCAATGCCGGCTGGATGCCTTATGACCGAGCTGTGGATGCCTGAGGAATGATGTCAGGCGGGACCCACGTGACACACCCACAAAGTCGAAATTTCCAGTTTTCGGATTTCCCTTTTAAACTTCCTGACAAACAACGAACAAGTCGGTGGAACGAATGATGAAAAACAGTGAAGATCCTTCTCCGCGCAGACGCAGTCAATCAGATGTCCCGAGTTCGTCATCGCTAAGCGGGCTCTGCATCTCTGCGTCGTTCGGGACAAGGATCTTTTTCCCCTTTCTGGTTACTTGTTGCTCTTCGCTGTAGAAAACTCCCAACAACCGCGCCAACAATGTTACACTTCCTCCGACAGCGCAGTGGAAAAAGGTACTGTTGTTCTCGCTCCTTTCTCCTTTTTTTTTTTTTTGTTTTGTGTTGCCTGTCCATTCCAGAAGATGAACCCTTTTATGTGAGATTCGCGTTCCAATAATGGGCCGGATATGACTATTACAATACACTGAAAATTCTGATCCTGGAATGACGGCGACTTGATTTGATCTGTCGGTTGTTTACTTTGCAATAAACTCATTGCTAACGTTTATTGTCTAGGTATTCTCTTGAGAAAACAGAACTCGCATTGTCGCTAGATAGACATAATAATAATAATAAAATGATTCTCTTGACACTTGGTCACAATGAAAAAAAAAATCCACAACACATAACTCCGCAGATGCATATCGATCGCCGTAGCGCAGTATTTACTTCGTAGTACAAGCTGTACACGATACTTCCAGAGCATCTATCTATCCCGATCTTCAACTCGACGCTTTCTTTCTCCCTTGCTCGGACTCCCGGCTTTCTTCAAGAGCCTGCCGAACCCAGGCCGGCTGGTCAGCGGGAGGTCTCGGACGGGAGGCCGGTGTAGGACTCGCCGACGAAACCTGGGCTTCGCGACGAGCGCTGCGGATGGAGCTGACGCAGTAGGTGGTGAGGAGGATGGCCATGGTGAAAGCGGCTATGGGGGCATTGAGGGACTGGAGGTGGGTTAATTCTTGTCTAACTTTGTATAAATGTGTTTACGTTCAACGTGGGAAGCGAATGCATGTTACATGTTTATGGGGAATGAACTTAGAGAGAAGAGATCAAATAATATAAGATAGAAAGACTTACGCCCGACGTTCGACCCAAGGTCTTCTTGGACATGGTGCAAGCCCGTGGTAGGACCGTAGGAGTTCCCGTGACGCGAGAAGATTATCAGATGGAGGGCGACGAAGAGGCGGCCTGATAAGGTATTGATTACAGGGCGCGTTACTGCTCGGAGTTCCTTCCCGTTGGTTGCGACAGGGATGCAACTGCCGTCTATCGGGTAAGCGACGTTTCGTACGAACCGCCGGGGCTGGACTGCCTTTCCTTTACTAATTCTTTCCCTTTTCCTCGGAGCATCCGTTCGCGGTCCCCCGCCTTCAATTGCGCTCCAGGGAAGACGTGGCCGTGGTTGATGTCTGAAATGCCATTGTAATGAATGATAGTTGAGCTCTGCTCGAATCATAGACACTCATCAAATCCACTTGACCAACCGTGAAGTCAGAAGAAGTCCAGGTAACCGGACTTCGAGCTCGGGGGAACGTCATCTCCGAGGCCGGACCCGCGGAGGCAACGGGGTTTCCGAAAGCGGACTAGCGCCGAAGGGCGAGGAATAATCAATCAATGAATTAATTCGATCGATCTTTCATCGACATCACATCCAACTTTACTAAACCTACCTAACCTCGGGCATCTCCTCTTCCATTTTCTTTCCCTCTCTATCATCCATCTCACTACCCGATATACTTCATCGCCTCTGACGGCTTTTTGAATTGCGTTCTCATCACCAACGATACCCTTTTTCTACTCCGCTCTCTCCTAATTCTTCACATCCATCATCATGTTCCGTCGTCTCGTCACAGTCGCCCCTCGCTCCGTCGGCACTCTCGTGTCGCCTCGCATCACACCGGCCCTGTCTGGCCTGCAAACGCAGCAGCCCATCTTCCGCGCATCTCCCGCTCCTCAGCGAAGGGGCTACCACGAGAAAGATAAGTCGCCCGGTCGCTCTTCACAGGGATCTCTGAGGACGCGTTGCCACCGACGGTCCAAGGAACCCTCAAGCCCTCCCAACATCCCCTTATATCCCTTCGAAAGGAAAACGACCCGAGGAAAATACTGACCGTCTTAGCACTGCTCGACCACTACAACAACCCGCGAAATGCCGGATCCATGAAGGTCAGCGAGGACGTCGGCAGCGGCCTCGTCGGTGCTCCCGCCTGCGGTGACGTGATGAAGCTCCAGATCCGTGTCGACAAGGACACGCACACGATCAGCGACGTCAAGTTCAAGACTTTCGGCTGCGGTAGCGCCATCGCTAGCTCCTCTTATCTCACCGAGTTGGTGCGCGGCATGACTCTTGAGGAAGCCGGCAAGATCCGCAACACCGATATCGCCAAGGAACTGTGCCTTCCCCCTGTGAAGTGTATGTTGATAATCTATTTTTTTTTTCTTCGTTTAGGATCAGGAACTGTGACTAACCAGAACCGAAACAGTGCACTGCTCCATGCTTGCTGAAGATGCTATCAAGTCGGCCATCTCGGACTACTACACCAAGAACCCCAAGGCTCGTTCGACCAACCTCGGTGGCACCGGTGCCTCCATGCCTCAGGTTGAGGTTGAGGTTGAGAAGACTGGCGGTGCTGCTGCCAGCCTTTAAAAATTTTATCCAAACCAAAAAAATATACCAAAAAAAAGATTGAAATTCTCAAATCTTACCCAAAAACACCACCCAACCAAAAGACAACCGTGTTGTGAAAGGAACAAGGCGATACCAAATATGATTCCCTGATTGTGTTGAATTTCTTCTTTCTTTTCCCATGTTCCAAACTCAGATTGGAATTCGTTTCACTTTTCTTGAATGATGTACAGATTTTTGCACTTATTCTTCGAATTTTTTTTTAATACTTCGCGCTGGCAGATTGACGCAGGCAATGAATGCAAGGCGAAACCAGAATATACCTAGCTTCGTGTTTTATTTGCCTGTACTAGTTACTTTCAATTGAATGAATGTCTTCGCTTGCGTGTTGTGATGATTCATCCCGTTCTTTCTGCGATACTGGCGTTATTGTACTTGCAATATCATTTGTAGATTTTATACACATCAGGAAATTCACCTCTCTTTCTTTCTTCCTTCAGTAACTAAGCACTTGTTCTGAGAATAACAAACGGCCACCGCATAAGATAGTTATTGATTTATCCATTCTATTCACACGACAGTGGGATTGCCCACTACTGCCTGCTGACTCGGTATCTATATATGGTACATACAACATTTTATTGAAGGAAAAACCAAACAAGTCAAACGGCAGGGGAGAAGTATATAAAAAGAAAGACAAGCAGGGCGAAGATCAAGGCGAGGGTTCAGAATTGGAAAGACGGACAAAAAGAGGGAAAAAAAGAGAAGGAAAGAAAAAGAAAAAAACGCCATCTGATGCACAGATTCTACCCACCCGTGCCAATCTATCAAACCATAAAACTACAATGAAATAAACCAAAAAGAAAAATAGAAATAAGAACGCAAGAGACAAAAAAGGGGAATGTATACAAAAAAGTTGACTATTTAAATGCCCCGTCCCTACCAAAGTTGAGCGAATCGCGACTTAAGAGACAGCAGGGTCTCGTAGACGGACAACTTCAGCTCGACGCGAAGGAATCCGGTCCAGGCACGGAGAAATCGGAGGAAGTTCCCGATGCGCAGGATCCCGCCTGTCTCGTTGATCGACTCCATTTGCTCCTCGAACACCGTGCGCGTGGCGTAGCGAGCGAGGATCAGGAACGTGCGGACGGGACCCTGTCGGGTGTGAAGGTTTTCGTCAAGGCTGCGGGCTGAAGGAGGTCGATGTTAGGATATAGCGCAGGGCGTAAAAAGGAATAGTGGGGGATGAACTTACTGAGGTCGTTGGTCTTGAGAATCAAAAGGATGATCCGGGGAACTTGACCGAGCAATTCGACCAGCTGCTGCAACATGCCCTCGCTAAGGGCACCGGACATGCTGTCACGCTCGGCGTCAGTGCGTTGAGAGACGATGTTCTTATTCGTAACCTTGGTGTAGTCTCGGCCGGTGATGGCGCTAGCAAAGAGCGGGAACTGCTCGTCGGTGATGCCGGCCACCTTGCGTGCATACTCGCGCATACGCCCTTCGTCCGCTTCGATGACTGCTAGCCACATCTTGGCGTAGTTGCGGCGCAATTCGCGAGGGATGTCGCGGTAGAGACCATGGTCGTAGAGGATGATCTCGAAGCCGTGACGTCGACTTGGGTTCTTTCGGATGGCGATGTTTCCGCCGTGAGGATCACAGTGCAAAGGAGCATTGTCACCAAAGATCATCTCGTTAAATATATGTGCCAGTGTCGCGGAGACTTCGTCCCGGTTGATGTGGTTGGAGTCCAAGTACTCCAGGTCATCAGGCCGGTTACCAGAGATAAATTCCATCACGAGGATCCGTTTCTGAGCCCACATAACTATAGTGCCATTAGTCTAAGCCATGCAAATATAAAAAGGACGGCCTACCATCCGGGATAACCAATGGAGCATCCGAGTGTGCCTTGAAGTACTCGCTGGCTCTCGTAGCATTGTCCGCCTCCATGCGGAAATCTAATTCCTGAGGCAAGGAGAAATCCATTTCCTTTGATAGCCATTCCAGATCATATTCGGGGAAGAAGCGCTTCAGCATCGAGAACGTGAACCGAGTCAAGGCGAGGTCCAAGGGTACCCATTCTGCCAACGCCGGATGTTGCACCTTCACCGCGACTTTCTGGCCGGTCTCTCTCAGCGTACCGATGTGGACCTGGGCCAGAGACGCAGCGCCGATGGGTTCCGAGTCAAAGGAAGAGAAGAGCTCGTCGATGCGACGGCCTGTGTCCGCCACAAACATCTGCTCGATGGATTCGATCGACGAAACGGGGCACTTGTCCTGCAGCGGAATAAAGGTCGTGGTCCACTCCAATGGAAGCAAATAACCCATGCTGCTCAGATGTTGTCCTAGTTTGATGAATATGGAGCCGTTCTTCTCGAGAACTCGCAGGGTTCGTTCGGCGCATCGTTTGTGGCAAGCCCGGATGTTTTCACTCCGTTCTTCGGGCGACGAGGTTTCTTGCTTGAGGGTGACTCGGTAACTGGTGAGGACAAGTATGTATGAGTGGACACGGAGCACCATATAGCAGAGCGCAACACCAGCTTCAAAACTTACTCGTTGATACACACCGCCAATGTCCCAACAACCCTCCCCGTTCTCTGCGCGGCGCGGTAGATATGCTGAGCGTCATCCGAGAACACCACCGCGCCAACAACCAGCGTTCCGCCAATGATCGCATATTTCACAAGCCTCTTCTGCGATCCACCCGAACCCGTGTCTTTGCCGGCATTACTACCGACATTTCCCAACAAAGTCGCCGTTTTCGAGGAGAAGGGAGCGCGTGGCGTAAAGGGCCCGGCCTGTCCCGAAGCGCGGTATCGACATGATTCCCGAAATCCTGGTGCAGATGAGGAAATCGACTTGCGAATTATCGTAGGAGCTCGTGGTTGTAGCAACGACAAGCTGGGAGGAGCGTGAGTAGAAGTTGAGTATCGAAGGGCCGTTGCGGGATCAAAATTGGATGCCCGCAGCGGAGCGCGGAGCGCTGCCCTCATACCGGTTCCAGGGCAATGCCGTCCGGAGAGCGACCGGAAACAAAGATCAAAGAACAAAAGAAAAAGGTTGGTAGCAAAGACGCAGTTAATTGCGTTGCTAACAGCAGGCCATGGTTGTCCGCCGAAGTACGGAGGTCAAGAAGAGTGAACTAGCGGGAACGGAAAGGGCACGAGAGAATCCCGATTTGCTCCATCACTTGCCGCTTTAAGTCAGGCCGAGGCCGAGCCAAACACATTCAAAACTGGTCTACTGGCATGTCTACGTCTGAAGGAACACAAGTACGTGGAGCCAAATATCTCCTCTCATTTTCAGAATCAGGCAAATGGATGCTCAGGAAACAGTCCAAGAACACCTGCCCCCGTCTTTATATCCAGTACCCAGGGAGGAAGACCAACACTATAAACACAACGCCAAAGCGCCAGCACCATGCAATATTGACAGCTACAATGTCCAGGTTCCACACAGAGACCGGAAAAGCATATGGAGATGGAAGATGCAGAAATGAGGAAAGCGTATCTGTAGAGCCTAGTCTGCATCGGTTGGTGCCGTACGCCGTCGTCTGGGGATGATCGATGGCCGACGGGACACCGAACTTGATGGTCGAGGATTGTCTTCGGGTAGAAAGTCGACATGGGACATGCGATTGTCGGAAATCCCTCGTGACAGCCGGTGTCTCGACGCACCGGAGCCTCCATTCAGTCCCGCTGCGAGACTAGGGTTGGCGCCGTCCCTACTCCCCGGCCGGAGTGCCAATGCTGAGCCGCTGAGAGCGTTTCGCGGATGTCTTTGGCTTTCTCTGCCCTCGTAGTATGCCTTGGACTGGCTAGACCGGTTGAACTGGGGGGTGGTGGGACTGGATTGGCTGGTGAGCAAGCCCGGTGGCGTGGTGGATGTGCTCATCCGTCTCACGCCCGGCTTGCGTTTGCCGAGACTGTAAGCTTCGCTCCTCTCGTTAGACTTGATAAGCTTCCCGGCCATGTCTCTTACGAGAATGGCAGGATCGTGCTCGAGCTCTCCAATTGCGTCCAAAAGACCGTATTTGGCGAGAAGTCCGCCTTGCTCTTCGCTAGAATCACAAATGCTGGATATGATCCGGAGTAGGTTCAGCCTCACGGCAGCTTTGGTATGGTGCAACTTCTGGTCAATACGAGTAAACAGATCTGGCCGAGCGAGAGTCGAGGCAATCGGAGGACTCAATCTCAGAAGCTTTTGCAAAGGCTCTAGGAGATTCTCAAATGCGTTGGCTTTCGACAAGGTCAGACAACGGATGATTGCATCGGTGAAAGAGAGCTTGTCATAGCGATTCTCTAGTAGATGCTCCTCAACCTTGGCCGTCTCTTCTTGAAGCCTGTTCATAGAGATCAAGATTAGCTATATGCAGGCTTGATTCCAGCGGGTGCATACTGACCAAGTGAATATGGCATCCAATGCCGTAACCTGCCAATACGGGTCGGATAGTAAGGATATGTAGAACGCAAGACCTTTATTGCGCCACAGCTCCCGCCGCCCAACTTTGCCTGAATGCGCCATGTCGCAGAGAATGGGCAATGCAAATTCCTTTAGTGGCCGCTCAGTCTTCACGATTTTTTGGAGCAGTGGCACGATGCCATTCAAGGCTGCGTCCTCTTGCCGAGACTTGTTCAAGCGGCACATATTATAGATCGTATTCAGGATCTGGTTCGACACTTCTCGGAAATGCGGGCGTTTAATGGTGGACCTCAGTAGATCCGTTAACACGTCAATTGCATTCGAATTCTGAAGTGAGTCAAGTGTTGTGGACAGCATGGACAAGTTCTTGATAAACTTCAACATGGTGATCTGATGCGCTGGTGTCATGCGCCTCAATTCTTTCAGTACCCCTTTGGAAAGAGCTGTCAGTGTAAATTTCAATGGCTATCAGTCCTAAAGAAGTCTTACTGTGTAGGACCGTTCGCTCGGCGACCATCTCCTTGACATGGTTCTCTGCTTGGGAGAAAATGAAGAAGATGTTTGCAATACGGCCTTCGACGACCTCGGCCAACGCTCCGTCCTCATCCAAAACCCGACTGAGAACGAGGGACAGAGGGTCTAAAACAGAATTCCGCGATAGAATTCGACAAAAGTCATTTTTGGGTGTTGAGCCCTAGAGAGCTTGTCAGTTCGCGCGCCAACATTCATTGCTGGAAGTTCTTACCTGAAGTTCGAAGACACTCCAGATGCCGTTCACACCAATCAAGACAAGGTCTCGCTCATCTTCGTAATCATCCTCTAAGAACTCCACCAGCACGTTCAGTCCTCCTGCACTGACGAACATCTGTAGTGTAAGTGTAGAAGTCTGATACATCTGCTGTACAAATGCCGCGGCTTCGAGTCGAATCTCTCGGGGGTATTTCTTTGATGCGAATTCGTTGATGATAGGTATACCTCCCACAAAGCAGAGGTTCTCCTGTATCTCGTAGTCGTTGAAAATGATCGCATTTACAATCCTCAGGAGGCATAGGATTATGTCTCGTCGACGACACATATCGAGGATCTCAAGAATTGGCAGCATCCCGTGGGCGCTGATAATGATGTTTTTCGTTTCCGGTAGATCACAGAAGACTGTCAGCAGTTGCTCCGAAATCTCCCCGAGAACATCTTCGTCCTGCGAAGTTTTGAGAGAGCTCACAAGCCCCTCGACCTGGTTGCGAAGTCGAGCATGCTTGTCACGGGCTATGTTAGCTTCCAGGTCCATTTCATCCAGCCCTTCCTCCAGCTGGGCGAAGGGATCATCCTCATCATCCTGGTCCCCGAGCCAGGAATTGTTGGACAGCTTCGAGTTCAGCATCAACGTGCTTGGGTCTGGGCGTCGATCATTTTCGGATTTATCCAAAGTAACTACACCTGTGCCTAGGATATCGGAGAAATCCTCATCGGTCTCATTCTCCGTGAAACGCTGGATCTCTATTGCTGATCGGTGGCGCTTGACTGAAATTTGTTTTCTAAGCTGGGGCTGCTGATCTCCCCTATCCTCGGACCGGGGTTGATATCGCACTATCTCTTTCGAGGCCATGTCTTCGAACATCGCAGCGTCTTCGTCCACCTCCTAGTGGGTGTTAGAAGAACCATAGTCTGGTAGATTAGAGAATATTACTCACCTGAAAAGCGCCCAGCTTACGGTCTAGGACGTCCTCGTTGGCCCTGATTAGATCCGAATAATCTTCGACTGAGTTTTCCTTGTAAAACGACGCTGGGCGTGGCTGCCTCATGGGTGGCACCGGATTCGGATTTAGGATCGGTACGTTTTGCATAGGCGCGAATGTGCCGTTAGCAAAGTTATACGGCGAGCGATTCTGTGGTTGCCCGCCTTCGGTGGTTGTTCGTTTCGGCGGCGAAGGGCGGATGGTCTCTAGGGGATCTAATTCTCCAGAATTGAATGAGCCCTGGAAGGAGTCCTCAAATTCATCGAAGCTATCCTCTGACCTCAATACCGTCCCATCAAGAGATGCGAACGCTTTGAGCTTCTCTGAGGACAGCATCCCTCCGAAGTTATCCTGTGGCCGAAGGTGAGGCAATTGCAAAGCGCTGGGAGAAATGGCTGTGGCGAAGTCATCGTCCCAATTGTCCTCTTCCGGAGAGATCGGAGACCGAAATTGATCCGCCACATGGGTAGCAATTGGCGACGGAAGGGAGTCTTTAGTCGGCGTATTTCGAGACGAAGGTAGGCCCCCGGAGTATTGAGGTTTTCGGAGGGTTCCTGCACTCGGTGAACGTAGGGCCTCATTCCACTCCTGAACACTTTTCACGGCTTCCTCGTATTCCGTTGATTTCTTAGGGACCACCGAATCCGATCGACGTGCATTGACTATCCATGGATGTTTAAGCAGTTTCTTTGCCGAGACACGAAGGTTAGGGTCCTTTTGGAAGCACTGCATCAAGAAATCCTTGACGGCCTAGTTTCCTTGTCAGAGGCCGAAACCATCGATCGCCTTCTATACCAGTATGGACGAAAGAAAGAAACTCACCGGTGAGGCACCTTGCGGTAGCGGGGGGTGATCATCGTTCACAATACGAAAAAGAGCAGGCATGGGTTGGAGGTTATAATAAGGAGGCCTTCCCTCTAGCAGCTCAATCACAGTACAGCCAAGACTCCAGATATCAGAGGCCGTCGTTGCACCAGAAAGTTCAATCACCTCAGGAGCCATCCAGTAGGGTGTGCCGACAACACTGGACTCGCTGAGCCCGGTGGTACGGCTAGCCACTCCGAAGTCTGCAAGTTTGACTAGGCCCTGTTTCGTCGTGAGAATATTGGCACCCTTGATGTCCCTGTGTATCACACCTTGCTCATGGAGATACAAGAGACCGTGAAGCACTTGCGACATGTATAGACCCACAAGATTTTCTGGGAAACGACCGAAGTTCTTCGCAATTGAGTGAAGGGAGCCATTCTCGCAATATCTGACGCCATTAGCGATGCAAACTCGCAGTACCGAGCTGGGGAGGTGGGCATACTCGAGGATTATATTCAAAGTTTCGACAGACTTCACGAATCCTTGGTACTTGACAATGTTCGGATGCTGGAGAGTTTGTCAGCTACTACTCTGGGGGCCATCTCCAAACTTTAGTCAGATGCTAAATCTCACATCCAAGTTCTTCAGGAGATCGATCTCCAGCTGCGGCACACCAAATTAGCAGACACCCGGATATCGGGGATGGAAGTACGGTACCATAATAACCCGCAGCTCACTCTTGGGAAGGTCTACGAGCTTGATTTGCTTGACAGCAACGGTCTCCCCGGTGTTCCAGTTGAGAGCCCTATAGACCGACCCAAATGCGCCCTTCCCCAGACAGTCCCCCAGTTGCTTCGGTATGTCAGCGGGCCGAATCTTTGTTTGGAGAGAAACCATGGGTCCAGGTCCATACATAATCCTTGAGTTCCGCAACATCCTTGGCTGATGACTTAATAACCCGGTCGTCCTTTGCTTTATCTTCTCTTTTCGATGGGCTGGAGCCGAGTCTCGCTATGCGTGTTTTGGCGGGGGTATTCGGGGTTTTAGAGGATGGAGGAGGCCCCTCGTTCCCCTCGTTGGCTCGAGAGACCATCGTCGGGCAAGGTAGTGAATCGGCTTCCCCCCTCGTTTTTCGTCGGATCGGTTCAACCTATTCGAGTTTTCTCGGAATGCAGGGGTTCGGGTTAGGAACGGCAGGTGTGGACAGGCAGGAGCCAGGGGATCGATCGAAATCATTCATGTCAGCCGAGCCTGTTTATTTTGGGTGTGAATTGTCAGTCATCGCGAGAAAAAAGCACACCAGAAAGCACCGGCAGTGATCGTATCCACCGAGGGGGAATTATGGCATGATCACCGCTGGATTCGGGGGAAAAGAAGAAAAAAAAGCAAAAAGCAAAAAGCGAAAGAGCCATACAGGAGGAAATCGTGCTCTCACACCCATAGAGCCGCGTTCGACCAACGCGTCGCTCCTCATTCGAGATTTGTCGCTGGTAGAATCCGGGTGGGACTTGAAATTAGTCGATAAAACCCACCGATATCGACGGACAAGATCGATCCAACAAGATATGGCAGCTACCGTGGTGGCTGCGGAGGGAACAGCAGCAAATTGAAGAGTGTTTTGAACTTTCCCCTTCTCCACCGGCGGTTTGGCGCATGACGCAGCGACCGGCTTCTTCTGTATCTCCGATCAGCCTTATCGAAAAAAGCCGATCTGTTTTATTTTTTTTTTTCGGCCAGATTGCTTCGCTCCCCACTTTGGTTTGACTCGAGCTGTCTCATATTTACTACGGAGTACGGAGTAGATCCTAAATTAATCTTGGTTCATTGTATGTACATGATTAGTAACCCTTGATATGCTCATGATTGAGCTCCGCAGATGCAGCAACATCCAAGTAGGATTCTTCCCATAACATTATTACAATTGGTAGAAGGTTAAGATGTATATACAAATTATTCCGATGCTGCTGCTACGGTTGCCGCCATCGAGATGACTACCGCATGGCTCATGACGACGTTTTGGCCTCCCGCAGATGCCGGAGGACATCCGACACAAGGTAAAGACTGCCCGCAATGACGAGCGGATTACCATTAGCCTCCCTCGAAGCATAATCAATAGCAGCGACAATGTCCTTCCCAAACGACTGGACTTCTCCGATCCCCGGGAAAGACCGAACGCAGGTGGCGAGCTCTTCGGGCTCAACTGCTTTGACCCACGGCATCCCGTCAACGGGCCCAAATGCCGTTGTGACGACACGGTCGCCCTCTTTGATAATGGAACCGAACAGCTCGGGTATGTCCTTCCCACGAGAAGCTGCAATGACCCAGGTGACGTTCCCTGCTTGTGGACGGAGCCTGCGGTCCACATATTGCCTAAGGACTTCGGCGGATTGGGTATTGTGCGCACCGTCTAGTAGAATAGGTTCTTCCCGAGCAATAAGAGGCGCTAGAGAGATACTTTGTAAGCGCCCTGGCCACTCCACGTTCGAAAGATGTGGAAGTAGTGAATCAAGCCCGAAATCGGGACGTAGCTTCGGCAAGGCAAACTTGAGAGCTGAAACGGCGCAGCACATGTTGGCCTGCTGATGCGGCAAGAGGTCAAGTTTTGAGAAGAGTTGACCAAGCGACGGAGAGTGTTCATTCGGGGTTTCCGGGTGAGTGTAAGTTGCATCGATGTTGAGTTCCTTGATACGGTCTTGGAGAGTGGTGATCACCGAGGGGGAGTTCGTGCCGTCCACCACGCACGGAACTCCACGCTTCAAGATGCCAGCCTTCTCTCGGGTAATCTCTTCGATCGTGTTTCCAAGCAGGTTCTGGTGATCTAGCCCTATCTTCGTGATCACTGACACGAGGACATCTTTCAGGATATTGGTCGCATCCAACCGCCCGCCCATGCCAACTTCCACTACTCCGACCTCAACCTGTTCATGGTGAAAAATTTCAAAGGCCGTTGCAGTCAGCAACTCAAACTCGCTGGCCCCAATCCCCAGGGACTGATCCCGCTGTTTGACCTGGGCCTCGATCTGGCGGAAAAGAGATTCTTGGACAACTCTTTCGCCGATTGTGATGCAGTCCCATCGGTCGACTAGGTGCGGGGATGTAAATCGGCCACAGCGAACGCCCCCGGAAGTTAACAGATGCGATAGATACGCGCTGATCGACCCTTTGCCATTCGTTCCCGCGATGTGAATGGCTTGCCAGGACAACGACGTCTGCTGGACAAGACGGGAAATGCGACTCAGGCCGAGCTCAATCATCCCTCCAAGTATGTGATCTTGATGACAGGACGAGAGGTGGTTATGTCATAACCCGGGGTAAGGTACTTTTGATTTTATAGAAAATCGACCAAACCGCTGGTCAGTGATTGGATAAGAGAACAAAGAGCCAGAGAGAATAGGCAGGTAACTACTGCAAACCCTTTATAAGGCCGGTCACAAGCGACGCTGCCCTTTTCCCGACGAAAACTCCGCCGATCCTTGGAGTTTCCCGAAGTCGCTGCGATAAGGGCGATACGCGATAAGGCCGTGACTTATGCATGCCTCAGGCGGCTAACCGTCGGTGTTATTCCTATTCGGGAAGGGTTGTTTTTCGAGGACGGCGTTAAAAAGACGAACTAAACACGCTGTGTGACTTAAGAGTCGTTCCGTCCTCCTTCAAGTCATCGGACGGTGGAGAGAGAGTCCGTCATCGGATTCTATTCAGTTATCGCTGTCATCCCCAGATTTATCTCGACTCGAGTCCTCTCATCGGTGTACACCCTATTCATTATTCTCATACTCATAGCGGCTGTGCTGAGTTGTACGCAGAGCCACGTCCCGTTGCGCCACAACTCCCAGCCTTCGTTCTTCCCTTCTGGGCGCGACCGCGCGATCGGGGGAACGCCTCAGGCGCAAATCTCTTTGCCTCCGCTTTTTACCCTTAAGAGGAAAACCAAATTTTGCCGCTGCTCCATCAACAGAATCCATCTTGTCGCCTCTCCCCCCGCAGCCTCCTCTCCTATAATTCGCGTCACTCTTAGCGTGACTCGGCCCTGGTGTCTATCTGAACATCGGATTTTGTTCCTTTCCCATCCCAAAAGTGGTTGATCCACACAATTCATTTGTAGTCATGGGTATACCGTGAGTTTTGCCCTAGTCTTCCTTGCCATTTAATTTGGAATTTGCTGCTGTCGGGGACTACGCGCGCTGTGTTGCGCTGCCGACATCGCTCTTCTAGCGCACAGGGTCATCATAATGGCTGACTCTTTATAGAATGTTCCGCGAGCACTCCTCTACCGAGGCTGCCAAAAACAATCCTATTAAAGACCCCTGTGCCGCTGCGCGCTCGACAATCCGTCGCCAGGCCACCATTCGGCGTCCTTCGCGTTACAGTAGCTCCTCCGCTTTACGCAGCGCAACCCTGCGCCCTCCCTTCCCTCGCCCCCTCGTGGATGAGATCGAACGAGAAACAAACGGACTCCAGCGCCATGTGCGCTCTCCCGCTCCGAACTCGGGCTCCGGCGACGACCCGTTTGATCTGACCAACGGTCTCACGGACTCCAGCGCTCGGGAGGCTGGTCAGCGGCTGCTGAACGATGTCCTCCGACATAGTCGTCCTGGTCAACGGTTGAGAATTCCGCGTAACACGACCGTTTCGGATCTGTACCGTCGCTCATCCCCTGGCGATGATGTGACACATCGACAAGATCAAGAGTCATCCTCATTTACACCACGTTTCACCCCTGCAGTTGTACACCATCGAACTAGTTCCCCTCAACTACGCCCGGATGTCGTGCGCCTGTCCCCCTTTCCCAGACCCGAGAGCTTTGGCGGGGATGTTGCATCGAATATTCCGCTGTTGCGTCGAGTCGGCCAACGATCCATCAACGAGGCAAGCCGCGCAAGCCGTGAGTCGGTTGTCGATGGTCTTGGAGATCGCGAAAGGAGCATGAGCCCTGACGATGACCATGCAAACGATGCGTGGGAGACGCTTTTGACGACCATCACTCCCGACACCACTCTTCCTAGCGCGAGTTCCTCCTTCACCTCGGCATCGGCTGCCGGAACAAATGCCTCGAGGAACGGGACCTCCAGAAGCTCGACCACGTTCGGCACCCTTCCAAGCTCGTTGGACTCCAACCCGGGAACTGTGCAGATGGTCCTTGACCCCTACCCAGAGTTTCTCAACCCGTGTGATTACTCCAGTTCCTCCGATCCGGAGCTAGAGTCCGACGAAGAGGTCAATCAAAATTCTCTATTCCGACGATATCGGCGACGAATGCGCCAGATCGACATGATGAGACGATCGCACAACATTCAACAACAGTCAACCATGGGCAACCATCCTCCTATTCCTACAATCTCTCTCGCTTTCCCTGATACCTCCGCCGACCCCGATCTTCATCAGATGCAGGCCATACTGGATCGACTCGCTCGCCGGGAGGATATCCCGGACGACTGGTGGGCGGCGGCCGGGCTGTCTCGGACCATCGGTCAAAGGGCTGGTTCCAATGATGAGTCCACCAGTAACACCGACGGTGCGGACGGACCATTGAGACAACCGTAAAAGAAAATTTTACATCATTTATGCTTCTGTGTCAAATATTGAGCTTTTTTGAGAATTCTTATATCTTCTTTCTCCGATCTCGGGGTGTGGGGACTTACTGGGGAATTTCGGCGTTGTTGGGTTCTTTTCAAGCGGTGACTTGCAGTTTACAGCGGAGGGCGAGAGAGCACTCGGCAATGAATAGGGTTATTTCTCATACTGATCGAATTCCTGTATGTATTTTTGTGAGATTTGTCGCGGATCAACAGTTAATAGCAACGTGCCTACAGAGTTTGCAAAACCTCATCAAGGGGCGAAGATCGGATCCTGCAAGGCTTAAACCGTTGCTCTGTGGTATTGGCTCCTAGATCTCATTTATAGAAACCATATGGTGAGACAACAGGAGTGTGGCAATTATAGTCGTAGAAATTGATCGAAAGACAGACAGGACAGGATCCTCGCTGCTATGTTCTTGAGCATATGATCATCGAAAATTTTCTGGGTAGTAACGTTGATGCAATAAAAAAAGGGGTTCCCAGGAACTCAGGTCTTTGCACTCCATTCGAGCGGCCCGGAGTGGAATAACATAACATTTGGCCGAGGGAGACCGGATCATTTGAAGCTCCCCTGTGACGTAGCGGCAGGTAAGGTAAGCCTTGGTCCGCGCTATGATGCTACAGATCGCAAAACCCCACTCCGATGACAAGCCCCGCCGCTTGCCTTTATTTATCTCAATAGGCCGCGGAAGCTTTCTCGCCCCATTAACATATTCTAACATATTTCTTTTGATTGCTTTGCAGGAAATCGGTTGTCTATACTCTATAGTCGTTTCATTGCCTGTACGTCCCGCTGGAACGCGACCTTTCTTTATAGCCGAGCACGCGAACAGCAACGCGGGGTTCCCACCGTTTAACCCCATATTATCCGGTCGTTTACCGCCGTTTGGACTGCTTCAGCTACCGCCGGGCGCATTGGTACCGTTCAAAAAGATGGACTCCCAAGTAGACAGGCTCGTGGATAAGATATGGGGTAAGTAAATTGTCTCAGCCTTGTGCAACTTCCCACCGTTGGCGCATCCAACCCGTTCGCCCGGCCCCCCCCCTCCGGGGCTTCCCTAGTAGCGAATCCCGCAGTTAGGCCAAGACAGATACTAACAGGTCTCCTCAAGGTAAATTTCAATCCACGCCTTCGGATGCCCGTTTGATGATCGGAGTGAGTGGGATCCCGGGGTCCGGGAAGACAGAGCTGGCCAGCACGATGGCCAATCGCATCAACAAACTCTATAGCACACAACACCCCGACGCGCTACCGGTGGCGACGGTCGTCCCGATGGACGGATACCATTACACGCGGGCCCAGCTGGCCGAGATGCCCGACCCGGAGTACGCCGTCGCTCGGCGCGGCGCGGCCTTCACGTTCGACGGGGAGAAGTTTCTGAAACTCGTGCAGGCCCTGCGGGTTCCGTTGACGCCGGAGTCGCAAAGTCTCTACGCCCCCAGTTTCGACCATGCGGTCAAGGACCCCGTGGATGGGGATATTGCCATTCCGGCCAGCCGTAGGGTCATCTTCTTCGAAGGGAATTATCTCAGTCTGAATAAAGAGCCGTGGAACCGGGCTGCGCAGTTGATGGATGAGCTCTGGCTGGTCGAGGTCGACTTCGAGATCGCTCGGAAGAGGCTCGTTTCAAGACACGTCAAGGCGGGGATTGCACAGAACGAGGCCGAGGCGGACAAGCGCGTGACGGAGAATGACCTCGTAAATGGCAAGGAGATCATCGAGGAGCGATTGGAGGTGCAAGAGATCATCTCGAGTAATTATGACTCCGGGTGGGACCGGTAAAAGGGGCGTTATGATGAGGAATTGACGACAATGACAACGAATGGACAAAGATCATGAAGATACAGCTATACTTTTTTTTTTGCTTTTGCAGTTCAGGGACATTTGCATATCCCCATATGTTTAACAAGAGGACAATTAGAGAGATTTCCAGAATATAGAAGTCTACAAGGTGCTCAATTGATGCTGGATAGGGTGGCAGCATGTTGTTTGATCAATTCAGGGAATTTTATAGGACAGTACAGAGTACTCCCGCTATTTGTATAGTTACCTACTCTTTTGAATTAATGGAATGCTCAACGGTAAAGAATCCACCCCATTCTAGCGGATGGGAGCAAGGCACACAAGAAGCGGCAGCTCTAGACGGATTTAGCATGATTAGGATCATCTGCTCATTCCGGTTGCCACAAACCAAGTAGCGAAGTAAGGTCAGCACCTAGCACCTTACCTACACCGGCAAGGGCCTCCAATTTCCCGCGCTGAGCGTTCAGGAGCATCAAGCAAATTTGATATTACCTTACCGGATTGATACCGCGCGTGTTACGCTGCAAAAAACCAAACACCCGGGGTGTGGTTGCAGCTGACCTGACCTCTTGAAAGTGGGTCCCGCGAGCCGAAAACGCTTATTAAGCAGGATTTGGTCACGTGACGTTCGCACCACCAAATTTTTTCTTTTCAATTCGCACGACCTCTTACACCACCTTACCTTCGTATTCAACCCACCTTCTTCGACCCCCCCCTTCTTTCTTTCTTCAATAAAGCACTTTCCAAACACTTATAAAGCCCTCTGATACACTCTTCATTACAAATACTCATTTACCGCTCCGCAACCGCTTCGGAGCCGCCACGATGGCAAATCTGGCGAAAAATGTGAGTAACCGCTTATCAAGCGCTTTCGAAGCAGTTGTTTTAACTTTTCCCCTCAGAAGTGGTACTGCTGGTATCTGCGTATGGTGCCCACTGGGCAGCTCACCCTCCCCCCCTACGAAACGGTAAGCCTTATTTTCGCCTTCTTTCTGTCTGATTCCTACCTCATTCCGTTTTCCATTTGAGCAATCTTTTCGTGGAAAGGATACTTGAAAGGGAGGGAAAGATTGCTTGAAAAGTGCTTTTTAAGCACTTGAGTGAAAGCGGTTTGAAACCTTTCAGAAAGGGAACTGAGAAGTGCTTTATAAGTACTTCGAGGAAACCTTTTGTTTCCAGCCTCTCAAGTATTTGCTAACTGATTTGGAACTGCTTAGGATAGTGCCGGCAACCTGATTATCTACTACGGAGAGCTTTTTTGCCGGAAGGAGGATTGCGCCAAGGGCCAGGTGAAAAAAAAATAAAATGATTTTAACTGTTTGCTAACTGCTTGTCAACTGCTTAGAGGAAATACACGGCTACCAATAACCTTCGCACCCACCTCAAAGCGCATGAAAACATCAGCCTGGCAGAGGATAACAAGGGCGGTCGGGTCGGACAGAAGGAAATGGATCGGTCCATCAGTACGGATATTCAATATGATTACAACTGATTCTCAAGCACTTGCTAACTGCTCTACAACTGCTTAGAATGGTACAAGGACCTTTTTTCCGGTGAGGAGCCCCAGCTTGAGGAAGGTACTGGCGGCGGCAGTAGCGGCGGCAGATTTGGTTCTGGCAATGCCTCGATTCCCCTGCCAGCTTTGCCCCTGACTAAAAAGGACGGAAAGGTAAGATTATAACCACTCATTAACTGCTTGGCAAGCGATTAATGACTGCTTAGGTTCATATCACGGACATGCGGAAGCTGGTCAGAAATATGGGCAAAAAGATTCCCTGCGGCAGTTGTGGCGACCGTAGAAATTGTTGCAAAGATATCAATCTTTGCGAGCATTTCTTGTTGTTTAATTGCGACAAATTGGCCCCGGCTACCCACAACGATGAGCAGGAAAATGCTGGCGTCAATGCCGAGGAAAACGATGCTTGAAAAAAAAAATACCAGGGATCAAGTGCTTGTTAAGCGGTCTCCAAGCGGTTACAGGAGTTCGGGGGAATTTTCTTTTTTAAAAAAACAGGCGCTTTGGAAGTGTTTTTTAAGTGGTTTGCAACTGGTTACGTGAACTAGGGAGGCGTTTTGATTTGGCCAAGGGCCCAGGATTTTAAGCATTTTTTTTTGGGGGGAAAAACATGGCCGTGGTTAGTTAGTTCAAGTGAAGCAGTTGAGAAGTGCTTCTTAAGCACTTGAAAAACTTCCTTACCAAAAAGTAGATTATCACCTCAAGTAGTTTATAAGTGCTTAGATGGAATCATTCCTTTACCGAAGCTCGATATATCATAGAATATATATCTGTTATATTTAGAAGGGTCCGCCACTAAAATGCTTGCAAGGGACCCCTTAATCAGTTATAAAGCGCTTACGGTCAAGGAAATATATTTCAACCTAGCAAAAGCACTTAGAAGCTGCTTAATAAGTATTTATATCATCTTGCAACTGGCGCCGGCGCTCAATAAGATTCAATTCCAACTCTTCATTTCGTAGCTGTTGCAATCGCGTCTCTTCCTCCTGCTTTCGTATATCAGCTTCAAGCTTTTTAAGCTCAAGTTCCTGACGTTTCTGCTCGGCCGAAAGGGTATTGGTTGAAGCGAGACGACGAAGATTGGTGGTTGATCGAACGGATCTAAGTACTTATTAGGCGCTTGCTAAGTACTTGTGCAGGGGGGAAATATACTCGCTGTCTCTACTACGCCTTGATGATTGAGACCGTGACTGAGAGACGGCCTGAGATTGAGGCCTTTCTTCAGGGTCATATAATGAACCTTGAGAATTCGATCTAGGGCGTTTGCGGGATCCTAAAGAGGGGGTAAGCACTTGCTAAGCGGTTGATAAGTACTTGGGGGAACTCACGGTAAAGGTGTCTCCGATAATGTGTCTCTATACTAGAGGTTCGCGAGCTATGATGAATATTATATTGATCAAAGTGCAAATATTGCTCAATATCATTTTGATCAAGCTTCGCAGAGCTATAGTCTTATTAGTATTATCATAAATACTTGGAAAGTGCTTACTAAGTACTTTCTAGCAGCCTCAGTTAACGGTAAAAACTTTCCTGAGGCATATGACTTTTCATGAGATTGCTCAACCGCATTTGTATGATCGCGAAGGGATTGAAAGAAAACAGGCTTAATTCTTGAACAGGCTTTATTCAAACCTGCTTTAATAATTGGTCGACTTTTGTGTAGAGCCCAATTTCGTACATTGTGATCTTCCAAGGCTGTATAAGCAGTTAGCAAGCGCTTCTCAAGTAGTTAATAAGTAGTTATACTAGTTAATAATCTTATCAACTCATCGTAGTCTTCCTCTGATTTGCATTCAATAAGACTCATCATTCGACTCCATACGCCACTACCATGATTTTGAGTGCCAATCGCAGTCAAAATCGATCGTTGGAAATGGACTTTACAGAATACAATTATATTCTGCAATTGCCATATATAATCTCGATGTTCCGGATCGATTTCAGACAGATATTGCCCCAGACCTATAGAAGCGCTTAGAAAGCATTTGTCAATCAGTTGATAAGTACTTACCAGTATATTGTTTATTATCCATATCAACAATTATACCGTAAATCCCATTGCCATGAATAGGATAGAACTCAACTGGCTTTCTTGTTACCTTTGCAATAAGCTGAAAAGCTCGTTTAAAAAGTAAAAAATAGCCTTTTGTTGTTTCCTGGTTGGTAAAGACGCGTAAGAGGGTAACAACTTTATAAAGCAGTTAGTAAGCGCTTAAATAGTACTTTATTGCTGTTTACTCACTTTTCTTCTGGTCGGTCAGAAAAGTTGAAAAAAGAACTTCATTAAAGTCCTTTGTACGGATCCGTTTGTATGACATATCAACTTCAAATGAGCCTAATTCTGAAAGAAGCTGAATTTGCTCTTTGAATGCGCAAAAAGCCATACTACCATTTGAATCATGATAGTATTCTCGTAGATATTCCTTAAGTAAAGTAAATAAATGTAACTACTTAAGAAGCGGTTACTAAGTACTTACTTTTATTAAAGGATCCCGATTTTGTAAAAAGATTAAACCATTCAATCCTTGACCTGCAGGATTTGAAAGAAGACGTTCTTTTTGAATAATTGCAGAGATTCGATCTTTATTTGAAAAAGATGAATGGATTTGAGCTAAGGTTGAAGAATTATACTGCTCACAAAACTTTTCAAGTTGTGGAGATCGGAGAAATTGAGCTATTCTAAGCAGTTAAAAAGCAGTCCGTAACCGGTTAGAAAGTACTTACACGTTGTTAAAGTAGGATCCCGAAGCTCACGAATAATTCTTTGCACTCCATTTAAAATTTGTTCTGGAGGCTTGTTTGGAGGTGGTGGTATATGTTGATGAATCCCATGCGAAGTGAAGATGAAATATGGACATTCTTGAAGCTGTAGAGGCAATAATGCACTGAATTTAACATTGCATTTAGTTGTAATAATCCGTCCACTTCCTTGCGGATGGTCTTGATCTGGATAAGCAGTTAATAATCGCTTAGCAAGTAATTAAAAAGATAACATACCGCACCACTGTCTTCTGGAGGTAACAGGTTCAAAACTACCACATTCTTCAGAAGAAGGTAGTAAATCTTCATTACAAAGACTTTCTAAGAAGCCTATATCCATATTTGTATGATTTGGAATAGACTCTCGAAGATGAGAAGGATTCTGACCCCCTAGATCATTGACACAAGCAATATAGGGTTGACGTTCTCCTATAGCGTTCTAAAGTAGTTGTTAAACAGTTCCTAAGCACTTAGAGGAAATAATGCTTACCACTTGATTATACCGCTTAAAAAGCGGTTTACATGATTCCCGATTTTCAACACATGCATGCCCTCGGTTGAAACGCTGCGTAAGCATTCGAAAAAAACTGGAAAAATTAGATCAAGTACTTGCTAACTGCTTTGTAAGTGGTCATAATACCTGTATGCATTTCGTTTGGTCCTATCTGTCTCAGAAAGTTGAATGCTTCGACGAGCCTTTCGAATCCTTTCCCACAAAGCTTCATCTACTGCAGTATGATGATGTAATCTGAGATCAGAATTAAGGAATTCGCATGTTTTAATTCCTGAGCAATTCCATGTGATTCGGCTGACAAAACAATCCAAAAATGAACAAAAAATCGATTCTTTACGACCACAGATTTGCCGCTTCGCATATTGAACCTAAGAACGTAAGTACTTATCAAGCGGTTATTAAGTGGTTCTGTACCTCTGATAGTAGGTTTTTGCATTCATCATATGATCGTCCTCTTGATGCAACAATATATGAATATCCTTGCAAATGAGATTGAGGGTATTCAGGAAGATCATCAATATATTCAACCTTTAGTGTAGTAAGAGGCTTTGTTTTCGCATGAGTCAACGGAATTGGAATGTCATCTTCGGGTTCCTATAAGCACTTAGTAAGCGGTTACCAAGCGCCGGCAAGCTTGGGAGTTTTCCCTACTGTAGTCAAAGCATCCACATCGATTACTTCATTCAAGGGATCTGCAGTAGAATCCATAGTATGACTTGTAAGAAAGTACTTTGTAATCGCTTAAGAAGCGCTTGACGGACCGGAATAGGGAGTGGTGAAGAAATAAGAAAGAAAGTTGAATTTTTCATGGAAAGCGGATTACTGTAAGATATTTAAGGTCGCGCGAATCGTTCTGCTTATAAATCAAGCCTTGGCGGACCCACATTATGAAACGGCTCAAGCGAGCCTATCGATAAGCTCGCGTGAACTGTATCCACACCCGGGGTTCCCCACCGGAGGAGCCCTCGCTGACCAAGCAGAGTGGGCAGCAAGCGTTGTTCGGGGCAGTTGGACCCGCCGGGAGAAATCCAAGCCGTACGGTAATTCTGTCAGGTGGTGGTAAGGCCGAGGGATCGGCAGGGTCGCCGCCGTCTTGGGTCAACTCCTCCGCTGGAGACTCTTCATCTTTCCATCTCCCACTTCCATTCTTCAGCGTTTCAAATGGTCGTGCTTGCCCATTGATCGTTGCTTGTCGCTCTTTCTGACCAAACAGTCTCTCTTTCATTTAATCCCACGCTCTTTATATTTACTTCGAATACAATCGTTCTTTAATAAACACATCTCCAGACATTTCGATTGCGATCCCCGCCGCGAACTTGAACTAATCGGCCCCCCTAATCGCGTGTTAACCGAAGCCCCAACGTCAAATTACTCCGACGCCATCATGTTGTTCGCAAAGTCCGCCTTCCTTTTGTCCTTGTTCGCTCTCAGCAACATCGCCGTTGCTGCCGATTCCTCCGCCTGTCTCCTTTCCGCCCTAGGGTATGCTAGATTAGCCCCGCTTCGTGGAATGAAACGTTGAACTACCGGTCATTTGCTGACAGTTCGGAACAACAGCTCGGAGAAAAGTCCCGGTGACTTGAAGGCCGTCTGCGTCGACAGAGTGCAGAAGAAGATCGCGGATGCCTGCAGTGGTGATGATAAGGAGGATGCTCTGAAGCAATTCGCCGACACTTGCTCTTCCGCGGGCCACAAAGTTGGTGGGTTCTATCTGGTTGACCTCTGTCGCATTGAACAAATACTAACAAGACTTGCGACACAGTCATCAACTCCTCGTCATCTTCCGCAGACTCCTCTACCGGAACTGCTACCGGAACTTCGACTGGCAGCTCCAAGTCCACCAAGACCGCGACGACCGGAACTGGGTTTGTGACTGCTTCTGCAACGAGCACTTCTGGCTCTAGCTCTGGCTCTGGCTCGGGATCTAGCTCCAACGCCGAGTCCAGCCCCAGCTCGACTTCCGAAGAAACTCCTCTTCAGACCAACTCCGCTGGCTCGTCCGATAAGCATGTTTCTGCCGCTGCGTTTGCTGCTGTGGTTTTTGTCGGATTCGCTGCCACCCTGTAATGGCCGGAGTCACTTGTGTTTGATCCATCTACCATTCAATATTCCAACATTTAAACCATGTAACATTCATTCACTTCGTGTTTCATTTCTTAGTCACATACCTATTAATCGGAACACATTAGCATAAGAAGAATGTGATGTACAAACTGCGGAGGGAATATGGCCCATGAGCTACCTCTGTTTGTTTCATGAGTTACTATGGAGCATAGTATCAGTACTAGTAGATGATTCACATACTCTGTAAGTTCGGTTAAATCTTCTCAAAGAAATCATTTGACCAGTTTTCTGAAGAGTTTGGAGTACAAGACCCGCTTTCATCGATCAAAGTTCCGCAAGGAAGCCATGAGGAGTAAGGCATGTTCGGCATCGAGTCAGCCCGGTAGATCTATACTTGGACGAGATCGGGTCGGCAGCGTTCTTGTGGCGTGAGGAGCGAGGAGCGTCGGCACGTGACCCGCGCTCACCGCGCGTTTCCGCCGGCGCCGGAAGGCCTTAGGCTCTGCGCAAGGGAAGCCCATTTGGGCCAAACACGAAAATTCGCGTTGATAATCCACCGGCAACGCGTTTGCCCCGGCGACATCAAATATCTACCACGGCCTCTGCCCCTCTGACTTCTTTTCTCTCTTTCCATCCCTCTCCTCCCCTCCCATCCTAATCCTCCCCCATCTTTCAACGACTTTTCTCTTTCTCATACCCCTTGCAGAGCTTCAATACCCTTTTATCCTAGTAATACTATTTCTATCTTTTCTTTCTTTCTAATTTCTGTTCCCACATACCTCGACCTCCCTGCCACCCGTGAAAATGTTTGTCTACAAGCGAGGTAAGCAATCTTGATCATCACCGCCCCTCGAAGAATGAAAGAGGGGAAATACTCGGCTTGGGTTGCCGCAGTCATGGTTTCCTCACCGTCGTTGCCACTTGCTCGAGAAAAGATTTTGCTGACTGAACTACCATGATCAGACGGACGCAAGGAACGCGTACAGTTCGACAAGATCACTGCTCGTGTATCGAGGCTGTGTTATAGCCTCGATCCCGAGCATGTCGATGCTGCCGCTATCACTCAGAAGGTCATCTCTGGTGTCTACCAGGGTGTCACCACCGTCGAGCTGGACAACTTGGTATGGTCCCTGGATGATACTCGTGCTCTTGGGATACGTGCTAATGCCATCTTTTCAGGCTGCTGAGACTGCCGCTTACATGACCGTTACACACCCCGACTATGCCATCCTCGCTGCACGTATTGCCGTGTCCAACCTCCACAAGCAGACCAAGAAGCAATTCTCACTGGTCATCTCCGACCTCTACCATTATGTCAACCCGAAAAATAAAAAGCCAGCACCCATGATATCTAAGGAAACGTACGAGACAATCATGAAGCATGCTGATGAGCTCAACTCGGCTATTGTGTACGACCGGGATTTCAACTACAACTTCTTTGGCTTCAAGACCCTTGAGCGGTCGTACTTGCTGCGGGTGGATGGAAAGGTTGCCGAGCGTCCTCAGCACCTGCTGATGCGTGTTGCTGTCGGTATCCATGGAGAAGATATTGAGCGGGCTATCGAGACCTACCACTTGATGTCCCAGAAGTACTTCACGCATGCTTCCCCTACCCTATTCAATGCCGGTACCCCTCAGCCCCAGCTTGCTTCGTGCTTCCTGGTCGACATGAAGGAAGACAGCATTGATGGTATTTATGATACCCTGAAGACCTGTGCTATGATTTCCAAGACCGCCGGTGGTATCGGTCTGAACGTTCACCGGATCCGTGCCACCGGATCCTACATTGGCGGAACCAACGGTTCTTCCAACGGTATCGTTCCCATGCTTCGTGTGTTCAACAACACTGCCCGGTATGTTGACCAGGGTGGCAACAAGCGTCCCGGCGCTTTCGCCATCTACCTGGAGCCCTGGCACTCGGATGTCTTTGAATTCTTGGATCTTCGTAAGAACCACGGTAAGGAGGAAGTGAGAGCCCGTGATCTGTTCTACGCTCTCTGGACTCCCGACCTGTTCATGAAGCGTGTCGAGGCCAACGGTGACTGGACTCTGTTCTGCCCCAATGAGGCTCCTGGCCTTGCCGATGTTTACGGAGACGAGTTCGATGCTCTTTACGAACAGTAAGTTTTCTTTGTCACTCTGAGACATCATGTGCCAAGACGGATTGGCTAACAATGATATGCAGGTACGAGAAGGAGGGCCGAGGCCGTCGCACTATCAAGGCCCAGAAGCTTTGGTATGCTATTCTCGAGGCTCAGACCGAGACCGGAAACCCCTTCATGCTGTACAAGGATGCTTGCAACAAGAAGAGCAACCAGAAGAACCTGGGAACTATCCGTAGCTCCAACCTGTGCACTGAGATCGTTGAGTACACTGCTCCCGACGAGGTCGCTGTTTGCAACTTGGCTTCTCTTGCCCTCCCTACCTTTGTCGACGCTGTTCGTGGCGAGTACGACTTTGGCAAGCTTCACGAGGTCGTGCAGGTTTTGGTTCGCAACCTGAACAAGATCATCGACATCAACTACTACCCTGTCCCTGAGGCCAAGAAGAGTAACTTCCGTCACCGTCCTATTGCTCTCGGTGTTAACGGTCTGGCCGATGCTTTCCTTGCCCTGCGTCTGCCTTTCGACTCGGCCGAGGCCAGGCAGTTGAACATCCAGATCTTCGAGACCATCTACCACGGAGCTTTGACCGCTTCCTCTGACCTTGCCAAGCAGTACGGTACCTACGAGTCGTACGAGGGCTCACCTGTGTCTCAGGGTATCCTCCAGTACGACATGTGGGATCGCACCCCCACTGACCTCTGGGACTGGGATGCCCTCAAGGCGAAGATCGCGCAGACCGGTGTGCGTAACAGCTTGCTGGTGGCGCCCATGCCCACGGCCAGCACCAGTCAGATCCTGGGTTTCAACGAGTGTTTCGAGCCCTACACGTCGAACATTTACTCGCGTCGTGTTCTGGCGGGTGAGTTCCAGGTCGTCAACCCCTGGTTGCTCAAGGACCTGGTCGACCTGGGTCTCTGGTCAGACAACATGAAGAACCGTATCATTGCGGATGGTGGATCGGTCCAGAACGTTCCCAACATTCCCGCCGACATCAAGGCTCTCTACAAGACCGTGTGGGAAATTTCCCAGCGGGGTATCCTGCAGATGGCGGCCGATCGGGGTGCTTACATCGATCAGTCCCAGTCGCTCAACATTCACCTGAAGGAGCCCACTATGGGCAAGATCACCAGCATGCACTTTGCGGGCTGGAAGATGGGCTTGAAGACCGGCATGTACTACCTGCGTACCATGGCCGCCTCTGCCCCCATCCAGTTCACCGTGGACCAGGAGCAACTCAAGGTTGCTGACACCAACGTCGCTCGGGCCGGTGCCTCGCTCAAGAAGCGGACTGCCGGCGCTGCGTCCAACACCTACTCGGCGGTTCCCCGCTCCTCCGCGGGCGAAGTCAACGGGCACAGCGAGGCCGCCACCAATGGCGACCAGGGTAGCCCCCGGACCATCGCGGCCGATGCCGCAACCCCTCGCGAGGAGGAGGTTGAGAACCGCACTGCCCAGGATGAGGACGGTGCCAAGGAGAGCGAGGAGCGGGAGAACGACATTTACTCGCAGCAGGTTCTCCAGTGTAGCATTGAGAACAAGGAAGCCTGCGTTATGTGCCAGGGTTAGAACTTTTACGTGATCAATTTGGATGGGCGGCGTCTGGGACGTTTTTCATTTTTGCCAATTTTTTTTTTTACATGTAATTATATCATGAGTTTGATGGATATCAGGTTTTACTTTTTCTTTTTCTTTTTTTTTGTTGTTCATTTCATTTCTTTTGTTCTTATTTTTCCTTTACTCATTTCTATCTCACTTTTCTTTTTCATGTCGACTTACGGGCCTTGCTGTGATTTATCCGAAATCTTGTACCTAAAAAAAGACCTCACCCGGGCAAGGCTTGAGATGGCTGATTTCATGTCTGATGGATTTCATGGCGATAGTGATTTATACCTTAGATAGACTGACTTGTCGAATGGCAGTTGTTTTTCGAGATGCGTTGTTCAAAAAGTGGAGTACAGGAAGTCAGCGCTCAGCATGTCACGTCAGACTCGGACAGTCGATGATTATTGAACAGTGCTGCGGTGCATCACTGCATCTTCACAGTACTCCGGACATTCTACTCCGTACAATCTACACAAAGAACGAGAAAAATGTCCGTGAATTTCCGGTCGGGCTCGGACCAACTTGGATGAGGTCATCGTACGGCGAAGCCGATTAATAATGGGTAGAAAGAAAGAAAGATCGCGCGAGATGCATCGGGCTGCGTGAATTAAATCTCTAGGGCTTCAAAGCCCCGCCTTGGACAGGTCCAGCCAGGCACCCCCTCCTCAACGCTGAACGATGATTGACGCAGTACCTGAAGTGAGTCAGGTCCAATGCAGGTCGTGTCCGCCGACCTCTCAGAGCATGTATTCAGCAATTGGCAGGTCCAGGGTGGCGTTGTACGCGCTCCTGAGCCACTCAGCCCAATCCGAGGGTTTTACGATCGAGACCCATCGAGTGGCCAGCAGGCTAGCAGGGCTCAGGAAGAGATTTTGCTCCAGACCGTCTTGCGCCCACCACCCTGGTTCGGTCTGGACCTGAATTCATTGTGCCGGGTCCTCGCGCCATCCGACCGGGGACGCTAACGTTGGGAGAGAGAGTTCAGAGAGGGGTTGTTTGACATGTTTCATGGGAGCCTACGGTGTATTTGCAGGGTTCATGTCGACGGTAGGGTAGCACAAGGCGGGAATTGCGGTCATTGTATGGATGAATCGAATTGGACAGGTTTGAAGGCGCGCGCCGGAAGTCCTGTCCCTGTCTGAGCCTGCTGGATTCCGGCTGTGTTGTGCGTGTCTTAGACCGATCTGTTAGTCTGAGTCTAGTTCCTAGTCAGTCTTAGTCTCTTCGCTTTCTCTCTCTTCTTTTGTGCGTGTGTCTCGGTGGCCGCAAGTGGATCCATGCCCCCCCCTCTCTTGGTCTTTCTTTCTTTCTTTTGTGCGTTGCCTTCTGTGTTTTGAAATTTCTTCCTTTTCTTTCAACTCGGACTGGAGTTGACGCGAGTCGAGTCAACCAGAAACGGTTAAAGCTGTAGGGACTAGACTCGGACCAAGAGGCTAACAGTCGAACTAGATAGCGTGGCGTAGACATGCGAAATCAATAACGATGATCCCCCTGGACCCGACCAGCAAAGGCAGACCTTTTAACCAAGGACCAAGCCTAGGCTAACGAGGTTAGTGGAAGGTTAACGAGGCCCAAATGCCCTGGAAGGGGAATAGACACGACACGCTGTAACGCCGGCGTTGGGTGGAGGCTGCCAATCGGACGATCGGCGCAAGATGAAAGTCGAAAAACGAACAGGATCAGAATTTAAAAATTGGAAAAGGAGCCGTAAGAAGCAAAAGAAAAAAGCGGGTACCTGAATTTGATGATGGAATGAAGGTTACTCGGGTCGGTGGCACAGTCAGTGTCGGAGGGAATGGGATTGGATTGATTGATCAAAATAAAATGAAATGAAATGAAATGAAATGAAATGAAACGAGATGCAATGAGACGAGACGAGATGAAGGAAATGAGAATCAACCACGTCAGGGAGGGCATTCAGGGCAGCGAGGGCCAGTCACAAAGAGGGTGTGCCTGACCGGAATCCATGGAATTGGATGAGCGCAAATGTCGGTTCACGAGCAGCAGCTGGACTCGGTGGGTCCGGGGCTTTTTTTCCCTTTGCTTTCAGTCTCCACCGCGTGTTCATTGGAGTTCCTGAGGTACCTACCTAGTACCTGTTGGTCGAGGTTGTCTCTCCCCGTGCAGGCCGATAAATACCTTACCTCCGCTCTTTCCTCCTGTCTTTTCCTTTCCTTTCCGTCACCACATTCTCTCTCTCTCTCTCTCTCCCACTTTCCTTCAATTGGTATCATAGACAGTTCTACCTGTCGTTCCTTCCTTCTTATCCATCTACTGCTGTGCAGTCTGTCTCATTGATCGCATTCCTTTGTCGATTCAACCCGGACATTCCTTGCTGATTGATACCCAATTCTTTCTCTCTACACCTCCATTCAACAATTCAACTACAATGGCTCCTCTTGCCAAATCCCTGGCCCTTGCCGGCTCTCTTCTGGCAGCCTTCGGCTCTGCCGCTCCTTTGAACAAGCGCGACAACGGCAACAACGTTCACGTCGTCTATGAGACCTCCACCACCGTCGTCTGGACCACCGTGGATCTCACCACCACCATCTATGCCAACATTCCCGCTCCCACCGTGCCTGCTCAGACCACCGTCATCTCCGTCACTCAGGCTGCTCCCACTGTCCAGACCCAGGAGCCCGAGCCCGAGACCACCAGCGAGGAAGCTCAGCCCACTCAGCCTCCTCAGCCCACGACCACCCAGGTCGAAGAGCCGGAGCCCACTCAGCCTGCCGTGACTTCTGTGCCTCAGCCTACTTACACCCCGGAGCCCCAGCCTGAGCCCCAGCAGCCCACCACCACCGCTGTTGCGCAACAGCCCACCATTACTGCCGCCGCTCTGCCTGCTCCCACCACCGGTGGCGGCAGCAGCAGCAGCGGAAGCAGTGGCAGCAGCAGTGGCGGATCTTGGAACACGGGTGATATCACCTACTACGACACTGCTACTTCTGCCAGCAGCCCGAGCAGCTGCGGCTACACCAACGACGGTGAGACCGAGTACGTTGTTGCGTTGTCCCACGAGATCATGCAGGACAGTGACTGCGGCAAAACGATCACCATCGACGTCAACGGCAAGACTGCAACCGCAAAGGTCGTCGACAAGTGCATGGGCTGCAACGCCGGCTCCGTTGATGTGTCCCGTGCTACCTTCGGCGCCTTGGCCTCCATGGCCGATGGTCGCGTGACCTGCAAGTGGAAGTTCAATTAAGCGTTGATCGCTGAAAGCGTGTTCTCTTTTTCTTGACCTTCTTCTTATACCCTCATCTTGTTTGCTTCTCTTCTTCATATCAACTTTGATTCTTCACATTCTTGTCACTCTTTTATGACTTATTTTCAGACGTTGACGAACTCCAACGGAGCATCTGTCTTTTGTTTTTCTTCATGTGGATAAAGCTCTTCACATCTTTCTTTCGGGGTATTTAAACCAATTCTTTTTTCATTCGCTTTTTGAGGAACAAGATAAGGAGCACGCGGGACGCCTTCCGACACGACGCTACGATAGATATATGCTGAGGTCGATAGAATCGGGAATTCTATCTGGGAGACTGAGCCACGATGAACAATGAAAAGTTTTGAGATTACGTAGATCGATCTTGATTCAATTGCGTTTTGTCTAAACCTGAGATTCTTGGCTTAGAAATAGTGACAATATTGACAATGTCATCTGCTTTATTCACTTTGACTGGCTATACTTGTCTCGTACTACTACTATTCACTCCATAACTATGCCGATCTTCCCTACTCCGTATATCTAGACCTTGGCCAATGCACGTATACCAATTGCCCATAGATCAGATCATTCCAACCCAGCCCTCTCCCGAATCAACCTCTCCACGCCAGGCCTCCTCAGCATCTCCCCCAACACCCTCCCCAACCCATCATCCTCACAACCCGGTCTTTTCATCTTCCCATCCCTCTCTTCCGTCTCCCTCTTCGCCAACTCGTCCATCCCCAACCCCCCAACCCGACAATTATACCGTCCATCCCCGCCCCGCAACGCACAGATCTCCGTCCGCGCGCACGCCCCCGTACATTCGCTCACGTTGTACCCGCGCGTCGTCCGCTCCCAGAAGCCCTGGAATACGGCCTCGTCGCGCTCCATGGCTTCTGTGACGTTGTGCCAGAATGACGGCGTTAGTTCCGTTGTGGCGGATGTGATCGGGGGCGAGAGTGCCGCGCCGTAGGTTTCTTTGGCGGAGTAGTATTTTTTCCAGTGGAGTTCGGGTGCTTGGGAGGATTCGTCGTGGGGAGATGTGGAGGTGGATTCGTAGGTGGGCAGGTCGGCGATGTAGACTGTATAGTCGAGCACGGCGAACGTCACGGGGTCGATCTCGTAGATCCGGAACGCAGGCGGGCCGGACGTCGGCGTCAATGACGGCGCGATGTAGCCGATGGCCGAGGCTGACTGGGCGGTTCGTTTGCCCGGGGCGTAGTCGCGATACGAAACCTGGAAGAGGTCGGTGTGGGTGTGGCCGTAGAACAGCGCGGCGATGGTATCGGCGAAGCGGTTCACGACCCGGTCGAACGCCGCGGAGTAGTCGTGTAGTGTGTCGGGACCGCCGTGGGGAATGTGCGCTACGAGCCAGACGCGCTGGCCGGCGGACTCGGCGGCCGTCAGCTCGTCGATTAGCCAGGCGAGGAGGCCGTCGGGGTCGGCTGGCATCGGGTCCGTGTAGGCGTAGAAGTTGTACTTGTAGTAGAGGACGCTGTTGTAGGAGATGATGCGCAGGGGGGCGGCGTCCTTGTTGTTGTTTTCGGCGCCGTGGAGGATGGAGTAGGAGCCCTGGGGAGTCTTCTTCGGGGTGGTGAAGTTGGGGCCCATGAGCGCCGTCCAGTCGTCCGACAGGGCGTCGTAGGCCCATTGAGGTCGGTGCGAGGCTGGGATGCCGTTGTCCGTGGCAGGGAAGAGGTTCAGCGGCGCGGCGTCGTGGTTGCCCAGCGCGGCGTAGACGAGGCCCAATCCGCCGAGTCGGTCGTAGGTGGAGTTGAGGTCGCGCAGCACGGAGGATTGGTTGACCATCCAGATGTCGTGGGCCGGCACGTCGCCCGTGTAGAGCGTGAATGCTGGGTCCAGCGCTGCGACGGCCGCCATCATGCTGGCCTCCAGCTGCGCGGGCGAGTCGCCGTGCGGGTCACCGAGGGGACCGCAGGGCGCGGCGTTGTGACCGGGGGCGTCGTCGTCGGTCCAGGACCGGCAGCAAAGCGGCTTGGAGCAGAAGGCGTTGGAGCCCGGCTGGTAGGCATGGTCGACGTGCGTGTCGCTGATGTGGGCGACGCGGATGGGCGACTGACCGCTGGGAGGAGGCCGAGTGGCCGTGGAGGGCGCCGGCGGCAGCTCGAGGTGGTCGGGTTGCACGGGGGGATAGTCGCAGAGGCCGACAACGTGCGCGCAGAAGGTCTTGGAGGTTTGCGAGCCGACGTGCAGCTCTTTGAGCACGTAGTACACGGCCGGACCTTGCGCGGCGATAAGTCCTTTACAGACGTCGGCATCTTCGACCTGAGAAGCAGTCAGCATATGACATTCAGAGGTCGGATCAGATCAGGTCAGACGCGATCGTATCCTCTGGAGATCGACCCGACAGGAAGGAAAAGAATGCAAGCATACGCCACTGATAATGCACACGTCCGTGACGACCCGAATCAACGCCTCCTGACCCAGGCCAGCCACCAGTTTGAGGGTGCCCAAAAGACCTTCGCAGCTGGCACAGGTGACAGCTTCTTTGACATCGTCCCAGATGGTTTTGGCCCAGTCGGACTCGGTCTTCGCCTGGACGCCAATCGACGCCAGAGCAGCAAGCAAGAAGGCGGGTCTCATTTCCAGATCAGTCTGTCCCAAGCGACGAGCCTCAATTCTTCATCGCATTCCAAAAAACCTCCCTCGAACCCGCCATCTTGCTGACTTTATGTAGTCCTGTCGATGGATTCCTCGAAAGCGAGCTGATTGTCATAGTCTCGCTTCCCCTCCGCCCAGATCCGTCGGCATCCGATTCCAGCCCTGGGGAGTAGAGGAAACCGTTACGTTTTGGAATAAGAAGACGAACACCTCGGGCGAGAGGCCGCCCATGTGATGGACGGTGGGTTGCATCGTGGATTGTCATCTCCGCAATCAAAGTTCAGTGAAGCTGAAGATCGCAGAATTAGCGCGCTGCAGGCCTGCGAGGGACCGAAGGGTTCAACGACTGGCCCCATTTCTCCCATCCCTGACTGATCACGGGGGCGTCGTCGATCTCGTCGAGTGGCTTGACAGAAGATGCTAGGGAGGAATTATTAGTTCTCCCAGGATTTGTGGATTAGGGGTGTGTTTGTGTTGGGTGGTCGGAGGGTGAAAGAACACAGTCCGACAATAGGATTCTCAACCCTTTGAAAGATAGCATCATGACTTGGGGTCAGGTTGAGGCTGCGGGAGTTCCGAAGACAATGGGATTATGACAACAGATTGTCTTAGATCGGAGGATTCAAAGCCAAATGGAGAGCGCCAGAGGAGACCGAATCCCTTAAGACCGCAATCGCCGCTGCAGGCCATTTCGATAGTCTGGCTGCGTCGTGCCTGGCAATATCCTGTCCAATTTCAATATTCAATATCCAGATTCACCCGGGGATTAGAGAATAATAAGAATAAGAATACTCTGTAAGGATAACATCATCCGGCCAGGAACCGACCCCCCCAAAGACCCAGCGAAAAGTCCCTTGACCCACCGCCACACAATCCTTTCCCTTTCCCTTTCTTTCCTTCTCCGCTTCTCCTCATCTTCGCTCTCTCTTTCTTTCTCACTCACTTTCTTACTCTCCTCTCCTCTCTTTCGGTTTGTTTGTTTGTGTACTTCTGTATTTCTCATTGAACTGGATTGCTTGCATTTATTCCGCTACTTCCCCAGATCCCCCGCCATGGATCCGCCAACGTGGAATCATCTCGCGCCGCCTTGTTAATGCCTCCGCCAACTCCGATCGCTCAGCATGGACGACCGTCGCCCCCAAGTACTGGTCGTTTCCATTGTCTTTTTCGTCATCGCCTCCATCTTCGTCGCTCTGCGCTTCGTGTCGCGTCTCTGCATTGTGCGCAAAGTTGGTCTTCATGATTATTTAATGCTCTTGGCCTGGGTACGTCGATTAAGTCCGGACATAAGAAAAAAAAAAAAAAAAAAAAAAAAAACGAAACACAAGAATAAGAAAAGAGACAAACAAGATACTGGGGATTGGGCGGATGGATGTGTTAATTATGCGACCAGATTCTTGACTTTGGTTTCTCCTTCTCCCTCTTCTATGCGACCAGCAAAGGCTTGGGTCTCCACGACCCCGACATTGACGCCGCCGCTCGTCCAAGTCTCAATCGCGCCAATTATGCCTTTACCGTACTCTACGTGAGTGACCGTGACTCCGTTTCCGCCGTCATCCGCTTGGCAACGTGCCCCTTCGCTTACCGTCGCTAGAACCCGGCTTTGATGGCCGTTAAAACCTCCATTCTCGTCTTCTACCTGACCTTGACGCAAGGTGAAAAAGTGTTCCGCTGGGCCAACTACGTGACTCTCGCCGTCGTGAATGCCGCCGGTCTGGCCCTGACCTTGGTCAATGTCTTCCAGTGTCGCCCCGTCGGCGCTGCCTTCGCCTACCCCAAGCCGCCCGATGCGACCTGCAGCGACATCCTGACTCTATACCTCTCGTCCTCCCCCGTCAACATCATCACCGACTTGGCCATTCTCTTTCTGCCCAACCCCATCCTCACCCAGATGCGCCTCCCGCGCAAGCAAAAGATTATCCTGGTCATTACCTTCAGTTTCGGTTTCTTCGTCGCCGTTGTCGATGTCATCCGCATTGCCTATTTGCAGAACGCCGCGACTTCGCGCCAAGTGGCTCTGAAAGAGCTTCACCTCCAAGACTCCCCCGGCGATGACTTCAATTGTAATACTTCCCTGCCCTCTACCCCCTGCCCCAAGGCTGACTAGTTTAGGGTTTGCCTCTTTGTCGTTCATGTGGTCCGTCGTCGAAGTCAACGTGTCGGTCATTTGCGCCTGCGTGCCCAGTTTGAAACCGCTGGTAGCTCGTATCCTTCCCAAATTGATTCGCGATTCCGATGGCAGCTCGCAGCCGACGCTCGATCCTGCCATGCCCGAGCTGCCAGAGATGGCCGAGCCTCCGTCTCCGAATGCGATTCCGAGCGGCCTCAATACTGTACCGCAAACCGAGCATCAGAGTAAACCAAACTCGCAGTCGGGGAGTCGCAGCAGCGGTAGTCCAAGAAACATAGAAGGCCCCATCGACATGCTCCAGTTCTTGACGGTCCGTGACCCGGCATCTGCGGATGCCGAAGCTGCAGAGACCAACACGGCAACCATCACCAGCGCCTCCTACCCCCCGACGATCACGTTCTTCGATTTTGTCAATATGCGAACCCCGACGAGCATGCTCAAATTGAGCAACAAGGAATCAATTGCGCCCGTGGCCCTGACTACCGTTCTCTTTTTCTTGTGGGGCTTCGCCTACGGACTGCTGGATATCCTCAATAGCCAATTCCAGCAAATTGTGCGACTGGATGCGTGGCGTTCGCTGGGTCTCCACGCCGTCTACTTCGGAGGGTACTTCGTGGGACCTCCTTTGGTCGGTCGGGTCGTGCTAAAGCGATGGGGTTTCAAAGCCACCTTCATTACGGGCCTGTGTATATACGCCTGCGGCACTCTGATCTTCTGGCCGTCGGCCGTGCTGACCTCGTACTCCGCTTTTACCATATCGAACTTCATCGTGGGATTTGGTCTGGCCGTGCTGGAGACCGCCGGCAACCCGTTTATTGCGCTCTGCGGGCCGCTGGAGAACTCCGAAATCCGCCTGAATATTTCCCAGGGAGTTCAGGCGGTCGGCAGTGTCCTCTCGCCGCTGTTGGCCAAGAAGGTCCTGTTCCGATCCGTGACCGACGTCTCGGCCTTGGTGGACGTGCAGTGGACCTATCTGGGCATTGCGTTGTTCGACGTGCTGCTGGCCGTGGCTTTCTATTACCTCCCTATTCCGGAAGCATCGGACGAAGACCTGGAGGAACTAGCCAACCGGCGTCGCGCAGACAACATGACCAAGGTGCTAGGCGTTCCCGTGATCTGGGTGACGCTGGCGTTGGGGGTCTTTTCGCAATTTTTCTACGTGGCCGGACAGGAGGTGTTGTCCCAAAGCTTCGCCAGCTTTGTCGACTCGGCCGACCCTGGGTAAGACTCCCCCTCCGATGCTCGTCCCATGGAAGGGTTCTCGGTAACTGACATGAAGTTCACAGATCCAGCCTTGATAGCTTCCAATATTTGACCATCGGCCATTCGGTATTCGCCGTGGGACGATTCCTCGCCGCCTTCTTGCAGTGGTTCTTGAAACCACGGTGGATTCTCCTTCTGTCTTACGTTGGCATGATCGTCTTCGCCGTGCTCTGCATGAAGACTACCGGATCTGCGGCCGTCGCGATGGGACTCATGGTGTACCTGTTTGAAAGTGGCGCGTTCAGCATTATCTTCGCGATTGCCCTGCGCGGCACGGCGCAGCACACCAAGACGGCCGCCTCACTGCTAACCATGGCCATCAGCGGCGGTGCCTGCTTTCCCTTCGCCCAGTATGCCGCCGAAGTGGCCGGCGGCGTCTCTTTCTCCTACAGTGTCCTGGTGGCCATGTTCTGCGCCGGAGCCATCTTCCCGCTGTACCTGAATCTGGTTCCTGCAGCCAAGAAGCAAGTCGACCCCGTTCCGAACGAGTATCTGCGCCGTCATCGACGCCGCAGCCGCGCCAAGCCGAACGCCGTTCAGCGAGAGAAAGAGAACCCATCAATCGGAGGTGTCTTCTCGCGCCGACGCAGCGTGTTGTCAGAGCCGCTGTCCACCGTACACCTCCCCGATCAATCGCAGTCGCAGTCACAGTCGCAGTCGAACAACCCTCCGACCACCAAGCGTTCGTCCATCCAGGGCGGACTCATGCATGATCTGGCCCCGTGGCCTGAAAACTGAGGGTTTCGCGTTCCCCCTTACCCCCTCCCTCCTTTATCCTCCCCCCGCCCCCCCTTCTCTTTCCCTCCATCCATCTTTATAACATCCCAATTCCCCTTCAACTCAATGATACCCCAACCTTTACGAATCTTACGGCTACTTATTACCCAGTGTGGCGATGGTCATCTCTAAGAAGGGAAGACCAAATAAAAAAAAAGAAAAGCAAAGGAAAACTATCACCCATCTTTTTGGACCTTTTGCATCAGCGAGGAGTTAATGAACCGGTCTTAGACTCGACCGTTACAGATGATTATATATCCTTCTATCTATTTTTCTATCTATCTATATCTAGATTTTAATTATACGTGCCTAGAAGACCTAATGGGTCCTGGCGAAGCATTCGGATGAAAACGACAGGGATGGTTCAGCCTGGACTAGGTTGGAATTGTACATAGCTAACATACATATACTGCGATGTAAAGTCCGCAGTTTAGTATACCTAACTAACTTTGAGTAATGATAATAATACTATTTCATTTTTTTAATCATTTTTTCTTTTGGAATACACTGTAAGATCCACATGATCCACCAGAATACGATGCAATAAACCATTAAAAGACAAAGGAAGTTGGTAAAATAATAGGTATATATTCATAATATATGCACTGGCATAAAAAACGTCCTATCTACATGAACATTAAGAAACGAAAACCGGCGCCTCTATCCTTAACACACGCGCTTGAGAAACCGAACAAGAAAAAAAAACATCAAACGAAATTCGTCATCATGATCACAGATCGTTTTTGGACATCATCCATCTCTCTTTTGTGAGGATTTATGTAGATGAGTTCACTGGGCTGAACTGGATGCGATAATTTACCACCAGTCACCGTGGTCCTTCATGGCGGCAGCGACCTTGGTGAAACCGGCAATGTTGCTACCGGTGACCAGGGAAGGCAGGATGCCGTCGGCGGGGGTGGCGTACTCGCGAGCGGTGTCGAGACCGTTCTTGAAGCAGGACTCCATGATGTCCTTCAGGCGAGCGTCGACCTCCTGGGCGGTCCAGCTGAGACGGGCCGAGTTCTGGGCCATCTCGAGACCGGAGACGGCGACACCACCGGCGTTGGCGGCCTTACCGGGGGCGTACCACATGGCGGCAGCGCCGGGGTTGGCCTCACGGTGAGCCTCGAAGATGTCGATGGCGGCCTGGGTGCAGCCCATGTTGGAACCCTCGGCGATGAACTTGGCACCGGCGGCGATCAGGGCCTGGGCCTCCTCGCCGGAGACCTCGTTCTGGGTGGCACTGGGAAGGGCAACGTCGACCTTGCCGACGTGGATCCAGGGACGAGCACCGGGGATGTAGCGGAACTTGGAGGCGAAGGTCTCGGTGCCGGAGATGGAGGCGATCTGCTTGCGGTCGACCTTCAGCTTGGCGATGATGTCGATCTCCTCGGGGGTGAAGCTGCTGCCATCCTTGGCGACGAGCGAACCCTGGCTGTCAGACAGAGACACGACGGATCCACCCAGCTCGATGACCTTGAGAGCGGCGTACTGAGCCACGTTTCCGGAACCGGAGATGGCGACGCGCTTGCCGGCGAAGGACTCCTTGCCGTCCGTGGCGTGCTTGATCATGTGGTCAACGTACTATGCGATTGTTAGCTTTTACTGCTGTCTTGACGGGGGAATCCAATGGAGAACATACGTAGACAACACCGTATCCGGTGGCCTCGGGACGGATCAAACTACCACCCCAGCTGCCGCCCTTACCGGTGAGAACACCCTCCCACTGGTTGCGGATGCGGCGGTACTGGCCGAACAGGAAGCCGACCTCACGGCCAGTGACACCGATATCACCGGCGGGAACATCGGTATCGGCACCGATGTGCTTGCAAAGCTCGGTCATGAAGGAAACACAGAAGCGACGAATCTCGCTGTCGGACTTGCCCTTGGGGTCGAAGTCGGAGCCACCCTTACCACCACCCATGTTCAGGCCGGTCAGAGCATTCTTGAAGATCTGCTCGAAACCGAGGAACTTCAGGATGGAAAGGTTGACGGAGGGGTGGAAACGGAGACCACCCTTGTAGGGGCCGAGAGCCGAGTTGAACTGGACACGGAAACCGCGGTTGACCTCGACCTCACCCTTGTCGTTCTCCCAGACGACACGGAACTGGATGACACGCTCGGGGACGGAGACGATGGCGAGAGCCTTGCGGTACTCGGGGTTCTTCTGGAAGAGAGTGGAGTTCTCCAAGGTGGAGGCAAGCTCTGGAGAAGGGTTAGAATCATTTGTTTGCGATGTGGAGATCGTCAAGATGAATGGACAAGAGACATACCCTTGTAGGCCTGCTCGAACTCGGGCTCGACGGGAAGGTTAGACATTGTGACGGAAGGTGGCGATATGTCTTTGGCGGTGTGAAAGGAAGTATTAAGGATTAAAGCTCTGAGCCGTGCAGCGAAAGACTATAAGTCAAGCGAGACGGGAGGCAATTGGGTATCAGAGAGGTAGAGAGAGAGAGAGAGAGGAAGTGAGTGAGTGAAGATGGAAGGGAAGAAGGGACAGAGAAGAGGCTTTATGTTGACGGGCAAGAGCAGCGGAGGAAGGCGAGGCAGCCGGAGTCGGACGAGACGGGGTGTGGGAACGCGCGACGAGAGGAACGGTTGCACCGGGCGGCGATTGGTGGGAAAAGGGCGGAATGACCGGCACGTCCGAAGTTCGGGAAGAGCGATTCAAGTGTTATTCGATCCTTTAAGGTCACAGTTTTCCTCTTATCTATCGGCGGAAACCCGCTCCCCCCGCCAGCCCGCTTTCGGCTTCCGGGAAATCCTCGTGCTGAGTCAACCATCACGGTCGGGAGACCGTGGAAGGGGATGTGGAATTGAAGTAGAAGTGGATATGGCAGGTGGCATTGAGGATAGTATACGGAGAATACGGAGTACAGTGTCCATTCTACCAGACAGCCTCCACGTTTATTCCGTCCCTAAATCTAATGTAACCATCATGGATGAGAGCACGGAGTACAAAACTGCCAAGCATACCGACCGGCGGCACACGTGACCATCATATCAGTTATCAGATCATTTTACTCACCAGGGCTTATCAGCTCTCGCCCCTCGCTTAACCCAACTGGGCTCTCCGGTGGTCTCCCCATATGCCAAGTCACCAGGCGGGCGAGGGGATCGGGGGGGTTCTCTTCCTGTTTCCTCCGAAAACAGGACTTTCCCTTTAATTTTTTTTTATTTTCTTCACTTTTTTTCTTCTCCGGAGTACAACTCTACCGTTCACCGTGGGGTGTGAAAAGGGGTTGATCAACCTGATCATGCGACAACTCTCTACTACAGTGATACCCTCCGAACAATTCTGCCTGTGGGAGCCCGGAATCGGCCGTCTCCCTCCTTGCTATTATTTACAAGTCGAAGTATGCAAATGCAGGAGCGGTGCAGTCTACTCCGACGCACGTACCATTGGCCTGAGCCGGGGAATCGGGACTCGAGTCCGAGATTAGAGTTAACGTTTGGAACCAATCCAAAGCTTTTTTCTTCTATCGGTTCCATTGCCACTTGATTTAGTAATTAGTATACTCCGGTGTAGTCTCCGGAAAAGATGTCTCCTCACTTGCCGCTCTCCTTCCACAATTCTCGGTCGGCAAGGACTTTATCCCCCGCTCTTCCTTCCCCCTCTTCCCTCTTCCCTCTTCCCTCTTCACTCATTCTTCGCCATTCGCCTTTCGCCTTCCTCCGACTTCAGTGCACGACTCAGGGTTGGACGGTGTACCCACCCCCCTCCCTCCCGTTCGAAGGATCGGCCGCCAAGCACTCGAACTAATGCATCTTATTTCGGCTCTTGGGTACGGCTGTCCCCATCGCCATGTGTTCCCCCGTGGCCATTGGTGCGGCCCTCCCACCGTCTCGTCCCATCCTTGCGTCGGACCTTTTTCCTGTCAATCCGTTGCATCCCATTATTATTCATATGATTCACGACTGAAAGTCTTATCGTGCTTATCTCTCTGCCACTATTCCCAATAGTCCGTAGCCTCGTACAATAAAGCCCCTCCCCGCATCGGTGATGCGAAGCGCCTCACTAGTCTTGCAGACTGCAGTCACTTTCACTTCCCTCTTATCTACCCGTGTGTGGGGGACACAGACACTACTCTTCAGATTCGATTTGGCACCTCTTTTGTGTAATACCTTTGACGATATGATTCTGATTTGTCGGCCTGGAAGAACGACCGGGGAGAAGGAGAATCAGAAGTTGCCGCCGCTGACGCTGACGTGGACACGACCTCAGAGAGATGCAATGATCGCTGAGGATCGACAGTTTCCTGCTCATGGGGGTGTGCAACAGCGCGACCGTGAAGGAGCTACTATGAACATGGCCATTTCTAATATCTTGATCCACAATTCTACCTTTCTTTGCCACTACGGAGTCTTCTCCATCTGGAGTCTCCATGTCGGCTGTTACATCCCTGCCCAACTTCCAGAATGCGGCCGATTTCGCTCCACTGGATGTACACCGTATATCTCTCCGTATTCTTTCTTTTTTTCGCGCGCTTCTCTTTTCTTTTTCTTTTTTTTTCTTTTTTTTTTCTCACTTTTCTTCCCTCTTTTTGTTTCTCGTTTTGATTTATTCATCATTCATTCTCTCGACTGCGTAGTTCCCCGAAGCATCTTTAACAACTTTAGCCTCGTCGCTGCTGTGGTTCATAAACCCCGATGTAACCCTTCCTCCACAGCGAACCAAGGTGAAATGACACCGAGCACCACAGAATCCCCGGTCGGTTGAATGGACTATCAACACCATCCATTTCGATGGTTTGTAGCGAGCTAGCCGCCATGATATACACCTGCGCGACATGCCTATTCCCCCAAAGGATTGGTTGCAACCGTTCATTTTATCAAGACATGCACAGGGATAGGGTCGTGTGAAGAAGGCGGGTTGTACAGCTCTACCGACATCGTTCACGGGGTTCCCTCTGTAGGTTGAAAACGGTTCATAATGACGGAGCGAAGATGTCCTTGCCTTTATGACTAGAGTGACTAGAGTGACTAGAGTGACTAGAGTGACTAGAGTGACTAGAGTGACTAGAGACTTGAAGTATTACTCGGAAGGACAGCCTTTCTAGCTGAAGAGCCATCTTCACTCCAGATAGATAACTAAGCCGCGAGTCAATAAAAAGACATACATCACTGCCTTGGGGTAGTGCACCAGCACGATAGAACTAAGAATGGTTAAAGTTACCATCTATGAGCTACAGATATGTATATGCCTAACCTATGATCAAGCTACCGCCCGGCATTCTTCACATGTACCCATGGGACATTTATTGCATAGTATCACTAACTGACCATCAAAGAAGACAAAGAGGCAATCGAGTCAGGATAGATCATAGTACCGTCAACTATCTATCTATCCTCTCTGTATATCTTGACCTCTCAATCCGACCCGCCCTATAACTCACCACATGGGAGAACTATGTACAGTACATAGGAGAACCAAGCATCCACCACGCCAACATGACAAGTCCCCCACGCGCGCTGGACTCCATCAGTACCCCAGTCAAAGTCAAACGCTAATGATAAGCATAAACAGCCAAGCGTTTCGTAATGCTTTATACATGACAAGACCACTAGTATAGGTACTTAGGGGTACTGTGCAGGTATATACTTGATTTTGATGTAGTAAGCTGTCTCAGTCACGATTCATACAGCATCCAGAGGCATACAACAACACGTTTGTGATGGGAATCTAAACGAATATATCTAATCCAGCCCCTTTCATTTGTCTGCATGTGTATACGATTGATGTGCCGATAGTTGTATCCTCCTTGGCGACCTTTACAGGTCATGTTCCATCTATAGTAATGTAGGTAAGGTAGTTTGGACATCTCGAAAACTTCGCGGTATCACACCAACCAACATATAAGGTACCTGCCTACCTACCTAGATAGATAATCCCCTACTCTCTTTCAGATACAGCAACAACAAACCTAATGTTGCTCATTCGCGACAGTTAGAGAATACCGGGATCGGGTTGGTGGGCGAGGCTTATCCCTGAAACATGGATTTGATCCCAACTTACAGCACATGAGCTATCATTCTCCCATCGAGCTCTTAGGACTGACCTGGTCCTTATCTTCTCTGTGATTCAGACTCACTAGAGGGTGGATCATAGTGACAATCATAACGACATCTGCGGGATGGTTTAGGATGTGAATTTCTCCGAGCCGGTTATACTAGCCATGTTGTTGCGAGGCCGAGACCGCAGGCGGCGATGATAGAGGGAACGGTGGAAAAGTGGACTGACGGTGGGGATTCGTTTACAGGTGACGAAAAGAATCTGTCTGTTTGAGTGGGATATAGCAAAGTGTCCTAACAGTGGTTGTTCAATTATTTTTGCTCGTTCGTTTCAGACCCGTTCGGGAAGGCATAACGACGTACCTTTAGTTACTAAGATATCTGTTCAGATTACGGACCCGTTTACCAACAGACCAACGAGGCTTCTTACTATTCTCGTCGCCCTATCTAGTAACTCTGAGGATATACGAGATTGAATTGTCAAGTCAGGAGACATATCATACCGTCAATGGCCTTGGTCATCATCCCTGGACAGAGAGATCGATAAGGTCCAATGCTTTGTCTCTTATAGGGAATACCAAGGATAAGTTCAAATCATTTATATAATTTTAATATGACTATATATATTGTGTCCTGGTCGAGCTCTTGTTGCGTTGTGACTCTGCTCAAGATGTTGCCTAGTAAGCTTGGTACATATGCAACACCCAAGCTTATCCACTGCCCCGTTGCAGACACTACCAGGTCATTCTATACTGTGACCAGAGTCCGATGCCGACGTCGTAACTACAAGATCCCGAGGACATAATATCGTATACTGTCGGTATGGAAGCATTTAAGAAAGGAGGGGGGGGGCCGTAGATACTGCTTCCGTGTTTAAAAACATTTGACTGTTGCTGTATATGATCGGTTAAAGTACCTTAGGTACCCTTCAGTGAACACGATATCCAGCACCCAAATGATAAGATTTTAGGTTTTGCCACGATTGCTGAGAATCAGGTTCAAGACTGAGGGCAGTAGATATGGATAATGATAATCCAAGAAACAAAGTCAATATCGAATGACTTATCCTCTACCCAGCCCTCGGAGAATTCAGATATAGCTGATTTACTCATTGCGAGTATCTAAAGACTCCTGGAATCGGATTCAGACTTCGTGGCCTTTCATCGGTTGTCTTTCGAACATCAGCCAGGTCCATCGAGGTGTGAAGTACTCACAAGACTGTAAATGCACACTGGCAGGATAGTCTCGGTATGCTAGTCAGTCTTCCGGTCGCTTTTTAGATAAAGACATGTCGATTGATATCAATAACCAATTGTATGCCGATCGGGCCTCTGTGTAGTACTCAGAATCGACTTATTGGAGTTATCCAGATGCGCTGGTTGTGGAGTAAACGGGTTCAGCTGTACAACATGGATGATGTTTGAACGGTATTGTGCTAGTATTCTCCAAGTATAGTCAAGCGGAGTACCTTAACGCAACTTCGGTCATGAGTGTAGCTTTGAAAAATCGGACTACGCGTAGAGGTGAATCAAACGTAGGTCCATAAGCAGATTTTAGACTCCCTATAGCGACTCACCTCATGGGTTACGGCGAGCAAAAGATATAACCAGTGTTCCTTTGAACCCAGTGGTAGAACACCCAAAATCAAATCTAAATTCAGGACTATCTGACTTCAGAAAATCACTATTCCGAGGAACAGGGAGAGCACGCGGATGGCTTTCCGTAACCTCGGTTCTTAGGAGCTTCGGCTTCGGCCCTAGATGGTCTAACCCAGGTAGCGGGAAAACTCTGGCCTGCTATGCGAGCATCCATTGGAGTCTGGGAGATTATGGGATACCCCTTGAATTCCTATATCCGATTCGTACTATTCCGTCCTCGGCAGCGTAGCAGTTGAAGTGTCCATCCAATCAGTGGTTT